AAGAACATGAAAGTTCAATAAGGTATTATCGTATCAAAAAATTTAGGGTAAGTTACATTGTACCCCCTCAAGTTTGGGGTCGATTTCAATTTCTTACAATATCTTTAAAAGATTTCAATTTTATACATTTAATTAATCATTTTATTTCAATTTCATACAACAGTTAAAAAATCTGTCAAGTTAATTGTTGAGCGATGATGTGGCAAATATGAGGTCCCCATTTCTGTTGATGTGGTTGCCATATTTATGCCACGTGGCTAAACACTTAATAAAAAATTTAAAATATTAAAATAATTAATTAAAGAAAAGTATATAAAAACCCAGAACCCCCTTCGTTTTCCCCACCCGACACCCCTCCACCCCCTTTGTCTTCTCCACCCGAGCATCCCATTCTCCCATCCCCCACCACCCACCATTTGCCCACTTGAGCCACTATTTCTCTGATCCACTCTTCCCTCTTCAATTCCCAACAGTACTCCCCCAATTCGCAATAGCACCAGATTGTTCCTCTTCCAGAATGCCTCAATCTGCAATCCAATGGCCTCCTAGTACCGCGAGAAAACTGATGACGCTGCAAAGAACGGCTTATCAAACACCTTTTTTCACATCCTGGCCTGGGCCCCCACACATTCTCCTATCCCCTATCACCCACCATTTGCCCACTCGAGCCACCCTTTCTCTGATCCATTCATCCCTCTTCAATTCCCAACAATACTTCCCCAATTCCTAACAGCACCAGATTGTTCCTTTTCCAGAATGCCTCAATCTGCAACCTAATGGCCTTTTAGTATCGCGAGAAAGCCGATGATGTCGCAAAGAGCGGCTTATCAAACACCTTCTGTCACATCCCAGCCTGGACCCTCACCGCATCCTGGCACGGGCCCTCACCACATCCCAGGCTCGACTCCACCGAAGCACGATATTGTCCGCTTTGGGCCCCGACCACGCCCTTACGGTTTTGTTTCTGGGAATTCACACGAGAACTTCCCAGTGGGTCACCCATCATGAGAATGCTCTTGTGCGCTAATCGCTTATCTTCAAAGTTCCAATGGAACCCGAAGCCAGTGAGCTCCCACAAGGCCTCATGCTAGGTAGAGACGCGAATATACATATAAGGCTTACAGAATCCATTCCCCTAGGCGATGTGGGATGTTACACCTTCTTAGCATCGATTTTGTTGAAATTCCACGGCTTGAAAGAGAAAAACCTCATGCCTAGGCCCATACCCGGCTTGAAGTATCTGCCAACCTCGCCTCCGGGGACTGTTTTCGGGTGAGAGGGAAATTGGGGAGGAGGCCCATTGCTGGAGTGGTAGCTCCTCCTAGTGAAGGACAACGGAGGCAGAGACGGAGATGAGGATTTTGAGATTTGGCTGCGGTGAAATCTTAGCAGGCCTTGCAAGATCCGAGATGAGGGTTTTGACATTTGAATTTTGTGGGTTTGTGTAATGTAGGGTTTGATTAGAGATTTAAAATTAGCTTAAACAAACACATGCACAAACTTCACGCGGATTTCGATTTGCGAAATTAACGGCCTTTTTCACCTGCCCACATTTCCCACCATTAAAAATTGGTAATTTCAGGGGATGGAGGGTGGAGTCGTGGAGGGGTTAGAGGGGATGGAGGGGTGTCAGGTGGGGAATACGAAGGGGGTTATGGGTTTTTATTTTTTATTTTTTTTATTTTTTAACGGTTGTATGAAATTGAAATAAAATGATAAGTTAATGTATGAAATTAAAATGTTTTAAATATGTTGTAAGAAATTGAAATCGACCATGAACTTGAGGGGGGTAAAATGTAATTTACCCAAAATTTTATCACAAAAATCATGTTATCCCGTTTGAGTTTAACGTCGATCAAACAAAGAATCCATAGTGATGTATATATTACCAATGGCAAAGTCAGGATTTAGGGGGTCCTGATTTTGACAAAAAAAAAAAAAAAACTTCATTGGACCATTTCGTCGAACACTTGATAGGAACATGTCGATTCTTGCCAAAATATGCTGAAGGCTTATGTCAATATATGTCAACAACTACTATAATATATAGAGACTTGTCAAGGGTGACTATAGGAAACTGTAGAGTAATATTGAATATTGCCAAGACTTTTTAATTATTAAAGCATTTCGTTGAGCATTTGGTGCGCACAATAGAGTCACACAAGAAGAAAGAAAAGGAAGACATAGATGATAAAAAAAGTTAGAAAAAAGATGTAGGAAGAAGAAATTGTAATTTAGTTTGCCATAGTTGTTTATAGGGCCAAACACAATATACATAGGGTTTTTGAAGTTGTTGGAATTATGGACAAATAATGACCCCATTTTAACTCCGTCACTGAGTTTAATGTCAATGATCCAAGAATCCACAGTGATGAATATATATGCCTTAAACCTAGCATTTTCCCCAGCTAGCTAGCATGCATATATTTTGTAACGATAAGGGCAAAGTCTAGTGATTAACAGCGATCCAGCCATCCACAGATTTAACCTAATAAGGGTATATAAATTGGACTTATATCTAATTTCCTCTACTTAGAATGATAGAAAGATAAATCTATTAAGGATGCAGAGGACCTGGATAAGGAGAAGTCTCAGGTTTTATACCTGTGACCAGTGGAAGAGATCTCACGCTATCATAGATTAACAATTTAACTAGATAACAACATTTTGCAACCAAAGTTCATGCACACAGCTTACTTATAGTGGCTTTCTTGATATGGCTATAGTAGCTACCATATACATATATTGACCTAATTATTTAAAAATTTGAAACGAATGTCGGTATAAAGAGTTGAAAGCGAAAATGAAAACGTGAGGTAGCTTTAGCCAGGCTTCATCACATCAAATCAAATCGCATCGCAAATGGTGAAATGTAGGTGTGGACTCGAAACATTGTTACATGGTATTATAATTAAACTTGTTAAATTTTATTAAGTGAAATAGTAATATCACGTGATAATGATCACGAATGCTGAAAAACTGGAGTTACTCTTTATCTGAAGCAACTTTAAACCTATTGGCATAAGAAAATGGCGGATAATAAAGTTCTAGGTTTTGGTGCAGAGAGATTAGAGAGTGAAAGTGTGAGAAAGTAGGTTGGGGATGAGAGAACATCGGGGCGGCTTGCGAGCCTTAAAATACGGGTCAAACAAGATTGTAAGATGGTGCCATTTTCTTACAATCTAAGCAATGCAGATATATAAATTTCACATTTCACAATTCACAATAAATTAAAATATTAATCCCCTCCAATTTTTTATTAATTCCTTTCCCTTCGGAATTTATTCTTTCTTTTCCTTTCCCTCCCTTTCACCACCCACCCTTGACATAACACTCCTCAAATTCACAACTAAGAATTTGCCCCATCTACTACAGACCACATATATATTAATACTATTCCTCATTCCCCTTGTCTTAGTAATTAGGTCATTGGAAACTTGGCTTAAGTATTTGTCTAATCTTCTCATTTGTTGTTTAATCCAACGATTTTAATTAGATTGCACTACTGTTATAGTTGCATGCAGCTTTCATATATATATATATATATAGAGAGAGAGAGAGAGAGACAGAGAGAGAGAGGAGATCGAGCTAGTCAATCGAGAAATTATTTCAACATCTTTGCACGCTAGTAGGTATGAAATTTTATTATAAAAAACTTCAATACAATTAAAAATAATACCACTGAATACAAGTTATATATTTTTTGTCAAGTTTATGATGTGAGACTTTTTTACATTCTTCAACGCAATTCTCCAAGCATAAGTGTGCCCATGTTATAACGGCACGCAACTCGATATTAAGGCATTGGATTTCTTCTTAAGCTAACTATTAATCGAATGAAAGAAAGAAAAAAAAAACTCTGATGGCCGGCGGCTTAGCCAGACGAATCATTGAACAAAGCATACAATCATTGAAGCTGTTGACAGCACTAGTTAAAATATGGACAACGCAGCATTTGGATAGCTGAAATAGACAACTAGGTTAGATTAATCACAATGCATTCCTTCTATGAAAATGTAGGTAAACTCCTATAGATACGTCGCAATATATAACTTATCTTGAATGGTGCCTAGTCTTTTTCTGTGGACATCACTGATGTGTTGAGTAATTTTATAGAGTTAGAAAGCTCCTTGAAGTAGGAGTTTGGGAGATGACCGACAAGGGGAAGGAAAAAATAACTTTCGACATGAATTAGTTCTTCGTCCCATCAAGCAAACCTCATTTGTCCTATATTCTTTTTATATATGACTTCTAATGTATATTTTTTGATTTATCCCAATTGTATTGTTGTGTGTGTGATTCTTTTGCTTGTAAATATGACTCACTAAATTAGACAAGGAATATATATATATAACTCACTTCGATTAATTAACCCATCTAGCTGGATATGCCAGAAGGAAAAAGGGAGTGCTTGAACTAATTTGCTGTTGATCCATATGTATTAGCTAGTTGTAAAGAATGGGAAAATCAATGTTTGACAGATTATAGTTCTGACTAAATCATATGGGTCTAAAGTTGGTCTTAGCCATCTTCAAGTACAAATTGCGGTTTTCACACGGTGATGCCGATATAAAACTTCGTTTTCGGAACAAGATCCCAGATACAGGCTTTTTCATCAAAGGTGCGTTCTTGATTTTGACAAGGAGCTAACATGCCTATTACAACGTAATAATGAGATATATCTCCTCAATTATAAAACGTGAAAGAGAAAAAAAATGTTTGGTACCGAGACATACTAATATAGTTCCTGATACATTAACATTGTTGTTATACATATATTAAAGAATAATAAAATAGAGAAGAGATATTTTATTTCTCTAATTTATTTCTCAAAATAACTTTTAGGAGGAAATTAAGTTTCCTTACCCTTATGCATTTAGGCCTGCTTGTTCAATTAGGATTGATTTATTTCTTGTTTGAACTTAGTTTTCTATCTTGTGTCTTATAAATACTTTATGGAGAAGAATAACGAATTATGTGGGTGTGTTTTTTTTTTTTTTTTTTTTTTGTCAAAGTGAGTGTGTTCAACTATACATTATATTATAGACATGTACTGTAGATTGACATTTGGTATCAGCAAATAGCAGTTGTACTCTCTAATTCTAAACACTCATCGGGAGCTAGCTAGTTTTTCATTTTCAATAATAGTTTGTCTTAGGTTATTAATTAAAAACATGTGTGTTATTTATAAGATAATTTGTGTTCAACTCTCAAAGAAAAAAGAAAGGGAAAAAAACTAGTTAATTAGGTCTTTCCTGAGAATGAAGCAAGAATCACATGCAGGCATGAAATCAAATGGTTGATTCAAAAAGTCAAAACACATTTAAGGAACCACACGTGAGCGAGAGAGAGCTAGCGGTCACAGAGTTGGCATTTATGCTTTTCTTCCCTCTCCCTCTCACTATTCTCTCTCCATTGATGCTTTTATCTCAGACTGAGAGTGCTCTATTGGATTCTGGAGAACTATAATTCTGGAATCCTCGTACATCAACCAAAGAAATATTTCTCAGCACCAACAAACAAAAGTTCCTCAGCTTTCTGCTCCCCTTCTTATAATCAGAGTCAGTAGTTTAAACTCTCTTAACACTCCAACCCCTTTTGTCTCTTAATTTGTTTTATAAAACCATATTAACGGTAGACTACTTTTTATATAGTGTACCTTGCCTTTGAAGTTCACTCATATTAATTTGTACAACCTATATTATACTTCCTTCTTCAACCCTTCCTCTCTTTCTCCTTTAGCAACTCCACCACCCTGAGAGAGCATGCCTGAATGTCCAGAGAAAGGTAATAATTATTTTTTCATATAATTGCAACGTTTTCTATGGGAACTGACTTCCACGCAAATTTTTCTCTCCTTGCACACCTGTTTTTTTCCTAGCCTTCGAAATGAAGAAATCAAAAGAATATATAGGAACGGAAATAAATAGGAATGAGCAAAAGGAGAAAAGAGTTTGCGGAATCAATTCCCTTTCTATATTTGTATTATATCTGTCATCACAATTTTGTTTATGCGTTAATTTTCTGCTTCTAGGGAGAGAGTTGATGAGATAGGCAAGAAGTTTAAGAGAGAAACTGATGCTTCTTCCCATTATCAAATGGGAAGAAGACACATGTTGGGCCCTCCAGGAACCCTAAACACCATCACTCCTTGTGCTGCCTGTAAACTCCTCAGACGAAGGTGTGCACAGGAATGCCCCTTCTCTCCTTACTTCTCTCCCCACGAACCCCAGAAGTTTGCTTCGGTCCATAAGGTCTTTGGTGCCAGCAACGTCTCGAAGATGCTCATGGTAATTAAACTATAAGTCCTAATTCTTATTAAGTCATCATTATGCATTCATCATGTACTTTCAATTTCGGAGAAAAGTGTTTGATACTGGTGCCAAGCTTCATCTTGTCCATATTTTGTTAATATTTGGTTTTTATGAAATAAATCCTAATCCTTCAATTCCCTCATTATTTTCGTTAAAAAGAATATTTGGTTTTTATCGATAATGTATATCTTTTAGATTTCTCATCCTGGATTTTTATTTCTTGTTCCTTAATTACCTTATGCGTCGTGCATATAATTATTTAATCAGGAGGTGCCGGAGACTCAAAGAGCAGATGCAGCAAATAGTCTTGTTTATGAAGCAAATGTGAGGCTACGAGATCCGGTGTATGGATGCATGGGTGCAATTTCGGCTTTGCAACAACAAGTTCAATCTTTACAAGCTGAGCTCAACGCAGTAAGGGATGAGATACTTAAATACAAATACAGGGAAGCCAATCTCCTTCCATCTAATTCTCATCATATGGCTTTGTTCTCTACTTCCGGGGCTGTTTCTGCTGCTTCCTTGCCCCAGACCCCACAGCCAACCCCACCGCCGCCACCGCCACCTCCTATGCCTCCTGCTTCATCTTCTTCTTCTATGTACACTAATCAACAAACCAGTGCCGCGGATTATAGCTCCCTTTCAAGTGAAAATGTTTCCTTCTTTGGTTAAACTTTAATTTTTAGGCTGAAATTAAGACATCGATCCCATTTAATTTTCTTATTATGATGATTCTTCAAGTGGAATAAAATGATGATAAAGAGAGACGTTTTATAGTGGATATACTGTTTCTTGGAAGGTTTTTAGTTTCTTAGTTAATGTCAATCCATTTTAGGTCCTTATTTTGTCGCCAGATATTGTTGGTTGTTATGTTCCTTTCCGCATGCTACTTATTAACTTTAATTTCTACCCCTTTTTGTTCTTCTCCGTAGATATTGGACGAAATATAGCATGTATCCAAATTAAAACTCGTACTCTAGCCACCAAAGTCAAACGTGTTAGTTTGTTCTGTTGTTGCACATTATTCATGGTATTATGTTGAACATGCAGAAGTACCTCTCTGCCATGTACCATGTTTTTGAATTTATTATTTGATCCTTGTATATCTTAGTAAGAACGCGATTTTAATGAAATCCTACTACATGATATATAAAATATGCTTTATTACATGTTGTATACCTCTCTGCCAACCAAGGATCATGAATTATTGTTAATTTGAAGAAATTAATATTGAAGTAGGGGGAGGTGACAATTAAATTAAGGATTGTGAATTGAAATCCCCAGCATTTGGGTCACATTAGAAACTCTAATGCGAATCTGGTATATGTATCTAATTTCTACCAATGTTGCCGTTATTTAATATTTACTACCCTTATATTGTAATGGGTATGAGGGTGAGTTTTGGCGAAACGGAAATGTTGCTCCTTAATTTGTGACCGAAAGGTCACGGATTCGAGTTGTGGAAACGGTCTCTTTGCAAAAAGCAAGGGTAAAGCTAGTACGATTGATGTTTCCCTCGTAAAGCAGGAAGCCTTGTTGGCTTGAGGATCGCCCTTTTATATGGGTACTGGAATACTGGGAATAGTAGTAGTGGAAGCTTCATTGTTCTTCCTTATTCTTGGATAATTTGTGCATTATGCTAGTTGATCACTAATTTGTTAAAAACATAATAAAGAGTTGGCAGAGCAATTGGGGTACAGATCATATTTCATCAGACAATTCTGGATAAATTATGGTTTCTATTTCCTTAGTAAGATTTTAAGGGCCAAGGTGGTAACCCTGACCCAGCATGATGAGAAACTGAATAATTAAGTATTAGATAACTCATTAATTTTGGGTAGAGTCACCACCAACCGATGGCATGGCATGAGTGGTAGCATTTGGGACACAGCTAAAATAGAACTTTTGTACTGGAAAAGCTGTAAAACAATTTCATAGTTCTCACAAATTAATTTAATTTTGATTTTAAGAGTCATCTGGTTGATGGAGTAGTGGTGTGTATATATATATAAATAGGGTTCCTGCTCAAAAACTAAAGATTCTTTGATTTATTGCACGACTGATAAAATTGAAGGTTGTTGGATTTGCTACAATAATGAATCCTACAAATATTTGAAACCTCATTGCTACGTGAAATTATCATAAAATCGAAATTAAATTAATTCCTGAAATTATATTGTTATAAGGAGATCAAATATTCTGCACTCAAAATGAGTGTGGTCTCTCTTTGGCTCCGATCATTGTCTGACGTATATTTATAAACTTAACTTTGTTGTAAAAACTTAACATGTGTCAGCCAATAATTGGGATCATAGAGATGTCACACCCATTTTATGTGTAAAAGATTTGATCTCCATTTAAACTTCAAACAGTCAAGGTTATTTTGATCAAAATTAAAAGAATTGAAAATGGGATTGTCTTTTTATTTTTTTTCAATAGGAATAAGGTGCGTTATTGAATCACCATTAGACAATACATGAACAGTGCAATAGATAACCGTAGAATATTCAAAGCCAAACCCTAAACCCCAAGGACATATTTACTTAACAAAAATGAAAAAAAATGAAGGAATCAAAGATCCTAGAAGTATGAGAAGTAAAGAAAGGGAATCATATCAACTAGTCCCCTATTATCGAAGGGGCAGTTTTGTAAAATGAAATGATCAGTACTATAATCACACAACGCGTACACATATATTGCTATTTAGTGAAGTTACAGCATTTTGTCAAGTAGATGTATGTATTTGTTGGATGGTCAATGGTCTTGCCAGCTATATTAATTTCTCAAAGCAGTTTTGTTTCCTTGGCGTGTGGATTTCAACCCAAGTGGAAAGTAGGCGAGGAACCTGAATCACATAAGCAAGATCTTCATTAACAAATTTTATTAAATAATAGTAAGAAATATTTCTAACTAATTAACAAATATATACACTTGTACTGAATTAGCTAGGTATCCCTCCTTCAAGATTATAGAACCAATTAGATGTGATGGAATTTGGTCTTATGTCATGGTTGCTTACAATAATGGCATCTTACTTTGTCTTCATACAACTCCCTTTGATTCTCTCCATTGAAAACTGTCGAAATAACTGTCATGATCATCTCTTCTTCCCTTCGTTCCCTAAATGTCATCCATGCCCTCCTTTAATTATATGGCATGGATGATATCAACGGGCTTTATCAATTGTTTTATGTACTAATTGATTGGAAGTTCACCATTGACTAAAGGTGTTTAGGGTTTGTTTGTATTTCCTTGATATACATATATATACACAAGGTCCATAAGAGAAGGGATCTCCATTTTCTTAAAATGGGGATTAGTTGTGGGCTCACACCATATCGAATTTCAACGATCCGAACTATCTATTTTTTATGTTATACCTCTTAGACCATCCTAGAAAAATATTAGCCAAATTGAAAATATTTGTGACATCTAATTGAGTTTAAAGAAATTAACGAGCATTTTGTTCTATAAGAAAAATAAAATTTCTTTGTGATAATTAAAGAGGCAAATGGTTTTGGATTGAATTAAATTTCTGCAAAGATTATCTATGAATTGAAACTTACAAAATAGACATCTTTTCTACTCATCTTCTTTAATATTTATTTTTTATCGTTTTTGTTTCATTAGAATTTTATTCCACTTGATTGGAATTGATTCTTATTCAATCGGCAGGAACAAAATTAGGGACGAATAAGCAAAATAAGCAAAATAAGGTGTATAAACAGAACTTCTGTTTATACACCTTATTTTGCTTATTCGGACGGACCAACTAGACTAGTTACGACATCACATTAATAGCCTCTACTCGTGTCCTAGCTCGTCTGAGAGCTAAATTTGCCTCAATTGTTTGTCTCTTGCCTTCAGCTTTCCTCAAATCAGCTTCCGCTGTTTCAAGAGTTTGTTGAGCTTCTTGTGGATGGATCGTTGAAGTTCGATGTAGAGTGAGTCCCACCACTAATCTCATTTTTATTAAAAAAAAAAGAGGATTCCTTCCCTTAAAGGCCTCCTACACACAACACACACACACACACACACACACACAAAATACAAGCCCTTTAAGGAAAGGGATTCCCAATTTTTGAGAAATTTGGGATTAGTTGTGGGGCCCCATCACATCGAGCTTTAAGGATCTGAATCGTTTATTTTTCAAGTTGCACTTCAAAGATCATCCATGCAAAATATTAACAAATTCAGAAATATTTGAGACATCTAATTGAGCTCAAAGAAATTGACGAACACTTTATTATAAAATAAAAAAAACATTAAAATTTCCCGTAATAATTAAATCAGTTTCTTGAATCTATCAATATGCTGTGATGTGAGTAGAGGATTCCCAAGATCTAAGATCTATAAATTTGCTTCATAATCTATATACATAATCTCTCTCATGAAGTCACTAATTGGGTCTTTAAAGTCACAGTTATTTGACTATATATGTAGGAAGAAGTAAAGGATGATTATGGCTTATGGCCATTGGTAACAAAGTTTCGATCAAAATTTAATTGGTTCCTAAATCAAATATTTGACCAATGTTTCCTCTCTCTCACAGAGTAGCACATATTTGCGCTCAAATCTCGAGGGTAAACCTAAAGCAAATACTATCTGGCTGTAGCCATGCATTAAGGAATAATCCATACAAATGTTTAATTATTGTGCTAAAAGAAATTAAGATAACAAAATTATGAAACTCCACTTGTAAAAATGGAAAACTAATCAGAATACACAGTTTTGACAGCTTGTATTTTAATTTTTAACATGTTGGAGCACCTCCTATGCTGAATTTTAAACAAGTGCACACATGACTTTGGGAAGTTAAAGAATATGATTATATTTTTTTAGACTCCCATGGCATTTATGTGGGTTGACAATGGGATTAAATTAAGCAAAATTGTTTAATGTGATGCTTACTAAACAGCACCATACAATTCCACAATTACAAACTTATTCTTCAGCCACTAAGGACTGTAAGTCTTAAATCCATCACTCTAGTCACGATGACTAAATTAACTTTGCAAATTGAAGAACTAAAGGGACCATGAGGAAAAGATTGCCCCAACCTCCGATGATTTTATAACTGTTAATAAAGAAGCTTTGCTACAAGTCACCTCCAACAAATGTCGAGCATCTTTCTTATAATTCTTTGCCAACCGCCGAAATCACAAAAACATCATCTCAGATCTAAACAACATATGTCAAAGTCATGACCACGACTACAACCATGAAAACTCTCTCCTCGACAAATCGAGAAAGCGACCACAACCACAAAGACTTTCATAGACAAAGCTAGAGTGACCACAACTGGAAGCAAAGAAAGAAAGAGATAGAAGAGATAGAAAATGATTCCCGAACCAAAGTTGTTTGCGAATCAGATTTTTCTTTTAGTTTTGAATTGTTTAACCAAAGTTGTTCGATACTTTAAACCCTACAAAAAATAAAAACTGCCACATTAATGCTTATAAAATGAACGTGATGGTGCATAAAACTTTCGTTTGGAAAATTGTAAAACGTTGTTAATGACAATTTTCCAGATGATATAAGATCATTCAATTAAAAATGTGACATGCATATGCATGTTTGTGCACTCTTAGCAGACTCGTATGTTGGCTGCAAATTGCTAAGTAAAATTTGGTGCAGTCACGTGCTAAGCAAAGTTGGATAAAGTCAACTAAACAAGAATGTTATCTCTGAAACCAGTACTTAATTAGGATGATTATTAGTTATTAACAAACTATCATTGATGGACTTTATTGTTAGCAAAAAATCTATTGTATTTGGATAGACTGGTAGTATCATTAGTCATCTTTTGGTTACAGGCTAACATCATTAGTCATTGCTAATTAAATTGCTTCTGAATTGATTAAACATGTGTAACTAGTATTAGCATCTCAATATGTGAAGGGCCAAAAAAGAAAACCCAACCCAATTGTGGATCCAAGCAGATGACCGTAGCTCTAACATTAAAGCCCACAAGTGGAGAGCCCATTTTGTTTGACGCTCTTTTAACTATCACGAAGTTGTTACACATGGTTTCTCCCTTCTTTTAAAACAGGGGACTAGCAAGTGGTGTCTCCATCGTAGTTCACTTTTTTCGGGGGTTAGGAAGACCTACAGAAGCATTTCAACCTTTCATGACCATCATCATGCGATTCTCCAGCGGCAAGAATCGAACCATGACGTGCCGTGTAAAATACAGGTTTGAAATTCATCATTTTCTCATGAAGCCTTTTTTTTTTTTTTTTCCCTTTTTCTAGGTCAGCATGTTTGTTATGTTAATTTTTTTTATTTATTGCCCACGATTTTACTTAGGCGACACATCTTATTTCGAATAAAGATGCAACTTTTGTTTCATGATTTTCACTCTTGAATTTCGAACCGTCTCATGCTTGTCCTGTGTATTCATTAGAATGGAAATCCATCTTAATCCCAAGACATAATTCAATTTGGGTGAATCACGTTATAGCTTACGCATTGTCTGTGTATAATTGCGTGGTTTTACTGATTTCGTGCTCAATTTTTGGCATCTAAATTTTCGTATGCTAACTTCATAACCTAATCAACCAATATTACTGATGTCAAACAAAAGCGAAATTCTAACTACTATTTTTCTAAGGTAAGAAGATCTCCCGAAAGCATAATTAATTGATTGTAAAAAGCCATGCGTGCAACCATTCTAATCAAACGATGGGGATAATCCTCCTGCAATTCAATCTAATCTCGCCAGCCGGTCCAATGAGGGGGTTGATGGTTCCCATCTTGATCATTGCTGACACAAAGTCGTTAAAGAAGGATTCCTGGTGTTCACTATACTCACGTACGATCTAGTCAGTTTTGCCTGCACTGAACAACTGCTGATCGGAATGGAGGAGTCCTTTTTTTCTGGACAAGGTTTTTGTAGTAGCTGTTGTCGAACACTATCGGGGTTTGAGCATTAATCGGAGCCAAATGATGATCCCATGAGCCTTTGGCTTTAGGGCATTTTGATCTCCTTTGTTGTGCTAGATCTGTGTCTATGTTGGTTTTGATTGTATATCCGCTTTCTGAAGTTGTGGCATTGTGCTTGCCCAAGTGTATGAGCTCCTGCATTTACGTAAAGTAATTAGTTTTATAAACTGCACTAATTTATAAAGGATTAATAGTGGGTATATGTTGGGTGGGACTATTTGTTTAGAGTAATCAGTAATGTTCTCTTGTTAGATCAATTTTTTTTTATCACATTCAGGACGAACCGGTTAAATGGTTTTGAAAAATATGCGAATGTGTTGATGTAATGAATCAAATACCAGATACAGCAACCAAGTCCCTCTTGTTGAGTGCAATACCACTGAATCTAAGGATGAGCTCCTTTAGGTTAGCCCTTGCGGTGGGTATGATGACGTTAGTAACAACTGGGTTTGTAGCCCTAGCTAGCGTCTTTTCTTCCCAGTTGAATGCCCCAACTTGGCCCGCCAAGCTGCAATGTACGCATAGTATGCTCATACAACTAGATACATGAATGGAAATTATGTTCATGACGCTTTGAAAACAGAAGTAATATTAGATCAAGAACTATTTGGTATGTAACTTACCATGACAACAGAGTCTCTAGCAACAGTGGCCACTATGTCAGCACACGACGGTGCCGGGGCACACTTTCTCTACTGCAGACTTGACTTCATCAATGACTTCAAATCCCCTTGAAGAATTCTTATTAGGAGGTACATTTTTCTCTTCAATAAAGTTATATAGGCGCATCATCCAGGAGCACCGACCCATCACATCCCTGCACACCAATAATACTTATTTCTAAGACAAACCAAATGAAGAAAACAAGGACTAATTACCACGTTAGTTATAATAATGCTATAATGCGTGGCCAGTTTCTAAATTGCTCAATGCATGATAACATTCAAAGTTTATGCACAGGGATGACGGAGAAGATTTACATTAACAAAACAGTTGTGGAAGAAGAGGTGGAGGAGAGAGGCTCCCATTCGAGCCTCTTTTTTTATTGCGGATTCGACTATGGATTTCACAGTGGGGAAGAGCTTTGGGCAAGATGATGCATAATAAGTTGTTGAGAGTCCATCACTTTTCACTACGTCAACTTGCACAATTAGGAAAGATAAGATCACAATGGCCAGAAGGAGTAAGAGGAAGCCATTGATCTCATGTATGTCTGTTCTTAATTTGGTTAATCACAGAAGGATTTGGAATTGGCCCAAGCACTCTTTGGTTTGTGCACTATGTTGGATAGGAAAATCTTCAACTGGGGCAGTTGATTAAATCAAATAAAAAATTAAAAGAAAATAAGAGTAGTTTTTGCTTCTAGTGAAATCAGCTTCCAGAAGACAAGTGTATATATATGATTGATATATTCAGCAGCTATGCATGGATTTTACTTTCGTAACTGCTTAATTAGCTACTTATAGACCCAGTAGAAGTGTATCAACTCAAACTCATCCTACAAAATAGCAGTTTACTAAACAGTCTTACTATACACCTGGTAGTCCACTTATTACGTACAAAATAGAGTACTTCAGCACACATATTCGCTTCGGAGGAGGATTCTCTCCTCTCCTATTCTCATCCCCTTCCCTCCCCTCCTTTTACACATTGTTTTTTGTCTTATTGTCTCTATAAAAAAACTAATATAAGATATTGACGTGACTAAACCTTAACTGTTCAAATAGGAGGGAAGGGAAGGGGAGAGAGATTAGGAGAGGAGAGAATCCTTCTCCATTGGCTTCAACAAGGGACACGTGGTTTTTGAACATAACAACCTTCCGACTGAAAAGTTTGACCAATTTATGTTTAAAATCTCTTCGTTGGTGATTTGTGAAATTTTTCTAGTCTTTCTTCTTTTAACTTATAAAGAGTTGGGTTCTGTCTTGAGTTTCTTTTCCACCCATTCCAATCTTGAATTCCGAGGTAGGTACATCATGAAAGTTTTTCTTTTGCACACACAACAAATCCACTACACTTACATTTTCTCTTGCCGGTTTAAAATGTTCTCTATGAAGAGTTATAAAATTTTCTCTCTTCTGAAATTTAATTATTTCATGTTTTTCCAGAAGCTAGACATGTTAATCGCTGTAGTCTGTCAACTTTGTTAATGGGGATGAATACGGTTCAAATTCTCTTAACTATTTGGGTTAGATTAGGTTTACTTCTCCTAGTTGTATTTCTATCTTGCATGCCAAGTAAACTAGCCAGCTTGCACTCAAAGTCACTGACTTGGACATCTATTTGTACCTTGAGGGATCATCATTCAGTTCTCTAAATTCTACGTAGCTAAAGGCGTGGCTTTTATGCATAGCCTTGTTGTATTTCTGTAATTTCTTACGAATAAGCACAAATATATGATTGAAAGCAACTTATCTTGGAAGGCTAGACACTTGAAATGAATATTTGCTTATAAAAAGTGAAGAATATTTATAGTAGACCTTAACAAGATGATAAGGTCATGAGTTATACTTTCCCAAAACAATTTTATTCTTAAGACATATGCCTTTAGGCTGAAGTCAGGCTTAAGTACCCACGTACTAAGCTTAATTAGGTTTCCTATAATTCTTCCTAATATCCCCATGAGATCCAGTGAGGGGTTTGATATCTCCCATCTTGATCATGGCACTCGCAATCGGAACTGAAGGTATCGTAGCTTTTGCTGTAGGCGCGCACTGTGGAATTGGTGGAACCACCGTCGAAGAGCTGCTGATCAGACCAGAGGAGACCTTTGTTCTTGATTAGGGTTTTGTAGTAGTGGTTGTCGAAAACTGTAGGGCTTTGAAGATCAAGTGGAGCCAAATTATTGTTTCCTGAGCCATAGGTTTTTGGGCAGTTGGATTCCCTTGTTTTGGCAAAGGATCTGTCCACGTTGGTCTCATTGTATATCCCGGGCCTGAATATGGTGCGCCTTGCTTGCCCTTTTGTATGGGATCCTGTTCAATTTTATGCGTCGTCCATATAATGGTGAGGACTGAACATTTGGATGATTTATGTGGACACCAAAAGTTCATATTTGTGAAAAAGTTGAGGTTCTATCATAAAATTAATTAGTTATATGAAGAGTAGTTCAACTTCCATTCCTACACCCTAAACACTACAAGGAAAACTGACAATAGTGAGTGAAATTAGTTTAGAATCTGGTGGGGGTGGAAGGCTTATCATGAGTAGCTACCGAGGTGAGTACAAGGCTTATCAGTGGTTAATGGGGTTATTAGCCATTGATAGGCGTTTTACGCATCATGTTTAATTTTGTACAATTAATATCAGTAACTGTTGTATCATATATTAGGCCTCAATATTTGGGCATCACTACTTAGCCTATGATATATGTAAGAGGTGAGAGAAACCCTTATTCTATAAAAGGGATTATTCACCCTCACTTTAAGGGATGATAAACCCTAGCTTCTCTAGCAACAACAATGTGGACGTAGCCCTAACTCGGGATGAACCACGATATAATTTGTGTTCATGTGTGTAAGTGTGATTTACGCTACGTTGGTCCAAGATCAACCAATTTTGTAGATCAACAGTAACTATTGTCAAATTTTGTTTTTGTTTTTTAGCAAACAATATTATCCAAGCTAAGGGAGAACGGGTGAGTTTAACCTTACAATAGACTAGCAATAATGTGGTTCAATTTCACTTTTGGGAAGAAACAAACATAAGACTCTCAATCATAAATGAAAAAGAATATCATTAAATCGTAATACTAAGTAGTAAATAGGTTATACAATTAAGTTAATAAACTTACCATGGCAACAGAATCTCTGGCAGCAAAGGGCCAAAGGCCAATATATCATGACACCACGCGGAGGCACACATTTTCCAATGCGGACTTTATATCATCAACCACACGAAATCACCATTGGATTCGGCATTTTTCTCTCCAGTAAAGCTTGATGTGTCGTCAGGGAGCAACGACCCACCACGTCCACATCCCTCGAAATTGGCAGCAAGGGCAATTGAGACTTTACCCAATGAAGAAATTAATTAGCTACGTCAAAATGCAAGTCTTTTGATGTGGCGGGTATATTTGAAAGGAAATCGAACAATAACCTTAAATTAGAATCTACGTCCAGTTGGACGAATTTAGAAGGGAGTCTCTGTCGTCGTCTTTAATCATCGTGAGATTTTGTCATCGGATTTTGTGATAAGAAATTATTGTAAATAGTATTATTATAAGAGTGATTTGTAAATTTAAAAGCAGTATATAATAAGATTTTGGAGATCTTATCCTATCATGATTGTATTACCTAGAAGCCAAGCAAAATCTTACTTCTCAATCCCTTTCCTTGGAAGTTGTGCCCAAAGAGAAATAGACTGACTATGATCGATAGGGTGTTAACAAAGATAGTAGATGTTAACGGACAAGGATTGTTTGCCCCTCTATTTTTGGTGTCCTTTCGTGTCCTCTTGTTTGTGTGGTCACGGTTAAGTCACTATTTATTTTTGTCTTATTATCTCTATAAAAAAAACAATATAAAATGTTGACGTGATTTAACCGTGACCACATAAAACAGGAGGACACGGAAGGGCACCTGAAGTAGGAGGACAGACAATCCTTGTCCGATGTTAACAATATTTAGTAGATGTTATCCAATATATATATTTGCGGAATTTAGTAGATGTTAACAAGGATAAAAACGACATATTTCAAATTTCAAATGAAATTCTCCAATTCTTCCAAGGCCATTAGTTGCGCATTCAAATATAGGGCCTGCAAGCTTAGTTGGGCTTCCTACAATTCTTCCTAATCTCCCCCTTGGATCCAGTAAGAGGTTTGATGTCCCCCATCTTGATCATGGCCTTCGCAAAGTCAGAACTGAAGGTGTTGTAGCTATTGCTGTAGGCTCGCACTATTGAATCGGTGGAACCACCATTGAAGAGCTGCTGGTCAGAATGGAGGAGACCTTTTTTCTGGATTAAGTTTTTGAAGTAGCTGTTGTCAAAAGAAGTAGGGCTTTTAAGATCAAGTGGAGCCAAATTGTTGTCTCCTGAGCCAGAGGTTCTTGGACAGTTGGATTGCCTTGTTTTAGCCAAGGAACTGTCCAGATTGGTCTCGTTGTATATGCGAGGCCTGAATGTTGTGCACCTTGCTTGCCCAATTGTATGGGATCCTGCTCAAATTTTACAAACCCAAATTAGTTAAGAAAGGAATACTTGACAGCCAGTGGTTTTCACATGCATTGTAACTTCTTACAGTGCGTAAAGAATTATAAAATACTCAGTTTTGAGAGCAGATGGCTAAAATAGGAGTGTCAATTGCTACCATACTTGATTACAACAAAAATTATTGAGTGATTGTTGTGGAATCCAAAGGATTATATCTGGACACTTAGTTCTAGTGACAATTTTTGGGTGTCTAGAAAAACAAAAGTTTTTGAGTGTCTGCATGCAGAAATTAGAATCACCGGAGAGAATGTTCATCGGGAAATAGATACCGGATAAAGCAACCAAGTCTCTGGTGGAAAGGCCAAGAGCATTGAATGTAGAGATGAGCTGGTTTAGGTTTCGGGTTGGAGGGGGGATGCTGTTGTTAGCAGCGGCTTGGCTTGCAGTCCTTGTGTCTCTTCTTCCCAACTTAACGTCCCAACTTGGCCCTCCAAGCTGCATTATGCATCAAACAAGAACGTAATTAATTAAATTGGTTAACTTGCTGAAACATGTAAATTTAGAATGATTAGCTAATTATAATAAGTTGACTTACAATGGTAACTGAGTCTCTGGCAGCAATGGCCAATATATCAGCACATGACACCACGCCTGGGCACACGTTTTCTACTGCGGACTTTATTTTGTCAACCACGTTAAATCCCCGCGCAGAATTCTTATTAGGAACTGCATTTTTCTCTCCAGTAAAGCTCGATGTGTCGTCAAGGAGCAACGATCCGTCGCATCCCTGTCAATTGGCATCAATGAAAAAGAACTAGTTAAGGAAGGTCATTTAAAGTACACATTTAATAACCAATGTGTCTGAATATAAGTTCAAAGACATGATATATAATACTTTAAGACATACAGTTTTGTTGCCCTTTTGGCTCACAAATCATTGTGTCACTTTTTAATGTATAACTTTGAAAGCTACTGCATAACTAAGTTTTATTTTTATTATTTTATATATAATTATTTCATGTAATAAATTTGAAAATAACATTGACTTGAATGCGCATACATTAACAAAACAGTCGTGGAAGTGGAGGCGAAGAAGAGAAGCACCCATTCGAGTCTCTTTTTGTATAGCGGAACGCACAGTGGATTTCACAGTGGAGAAGAGCTTTGGGCAGGAGCTAGAGTAAAATTTTGTTGAAAGTTGAGCGTTAGTAGTTCTAATGAGCATAAGGAAAGCCAAGGTCAAAATGGCCATGAAAGAAGAGGAAGCCATTGACGCTGAATGCGGTGTATATTCTTAGTGAAATGGAGAATGTAAAGCTCGCTTGTGTTAAAAACAAGCACAAACATGGTGCTATTTATATAGAGGTCTTCTCAAGCTAGTGACTTGGGTCGGCAGGTGACCTAACACGTAGAAATTTTTGTGCATGGCTTTTGATTTTTCTAAGTTTTCAAAAGTAGTAAACAGAACAGTAAATTACAGAAAAGTGTTTTTGACAAAGTAAAAGCCAATTAGAACTCGTTTTTCCTTTTTGGGGTTCAATTAATCAAATTAGGATGTTGAAATTAAGAGCTTTAACTACATATGTCAATAATGTTATTCTTACCATATTTTTGTACCACAATTGTATATCATCTTAGATGGCATCTGATGTGGGCATCCACATCATCTAAATTAATTAGCATTTAATTTCAAAATGTTAATCAATAATTAATAAAAAGATTGTTAATTAAATGATAATTGTGGTATACAAGAAATCTTCTTCTGTCACCTAAGATTATTTAAGTGTTTTAATTAATAAAAAGATTAAAATTAAATGATGTAACTTATCCAACTCATCTATCATCTAAGATGGTAAATAAATACGATATAAAATTATAGTAAAAATAGCATTACCAACTTTCGTTTGCATATGCGGCGGCGATCTGCGAGTCAGTGAGTTTAGACACCTCACTACTTTAGATTATGAAAGTTTGTCTGATGACTTACACGCACGCCTCTAAAGTTAAGGATCCATTTGATACTCATTTCAGTCTTTAATTTTTAATTTTAGCTTTCATCTTTCATAATGTAAAATGTGAAAACTAAAACGGTTTTTACCAAATATAATATTGCCAAATTACTCGCCGATTGAGTTTAGGCAATTTGGCTAGAAGTTAGAGTAGTGGGCAATCAATGTTTAATATCCACAAAATTGTCAATATTTTCGTCCAAATATCCAAAAAATCAAAGATAGATATGGAAAGTGGGGGTGAAATGCAAACTTCACATATATCGGTGAGATACAGGAAAATCAATGATATTTATCATTCATTATAGAAATTTTGTCGAAATCCATTGTAGATTTTGAACTTAAGAATTTTTTTTTTTTTTTTTTTTACAATGTTTTTTTCAAATTTCTACTATATATGAATGAGTTGGTATACACACCCCATTGTGAATTTTCATAATTTCCGCTGAATACAATTGATATTGATATTGATGTATCCATCGATAATTTATAAATGTGCATATTGATATTCCTACCTATATCGATATTTTAAACACGTGTGCAATCAAATAAACTATTCGAATAAACAAAATATTTATTTGTGGAAAAAAATATTTATTCAAATAAACTATTCGATATTTTCGTACAAGAAATGCATGCTTCACATTTTTCTAAACTTTCTTCATATGGCTGGCAAGGAAGAAGCCTTACTTCAATAATTCGATTGGTGTTGAAGCGCGCATGCACTGATTTGTCAAATTCCTTTTCATTTCGTTTTTAGTCTCTCTCCCCCATAACTCGTTATGATAGAATACTTTTGTCTAGTATTTTTAATTGAAATTCAATGTCTGGCTTCCGAAAAGAGTCAAAATCATCTTAAATATATAGACCCCAAAGCATCTTTTGGCAGGTAAGCTACTACTGAAAATTTGAGTAAGAATATTTATCCTTTTCATTGGATAGTGTTTCTACTTTGTACGCGACAGGAACGTGTGTTTGTGTGTGTGTGTGTGTATATATGTATGTATATATAAAACATTCTCCATAGGGATATTTTCCAAAACAAACATACCAAAGAACAAAAACTGGATATTCATGATAAATGGACCAATTTCATGAAAACACATAGATTTAAAGTATTTTTCTTCGATTTCGTTGAAAAGTAATATATATATATATATATATTAGCTTAGAGATTGCGATCAAGATAGTATTGAACTAACTTATTAATGTGACTGCTAATTGCACATATTGCAACGGAGCATTTTTGCTCACCAGTGTATAACTATGGTGTATGCTCATCATACACTTAATTATTTATCACATATCATTTCAACTAACTCTAGTTAACTTTCATATTAAATGTTACTTTTTAAATTTTGAAAAAAAAAAATAATCAAGGTTAAGTGAAATGACACATAGCAAATAATTAAGTGTATGATGAGCATACACCAAGATTAGGATGGTGAGCAAAAATGTTTCCCATATTGCACAATTATCATTCCTTAAATAGAGTACTCAACCGTGTGTGTAGGCAGCATTACTTTTTTTTAATAAGTTGTTGGTATGTCTATTATACTTCATTTTCATCAACAATCTGACATCTAAATCTAATTAGTTGGTCATTAGTGTTTGATATGTGTCTCTTTTTCAATATATAGTGCATGTGGAAAATTTATTGTCGGTCATTAGTGTTTGATACCTATTCATACTGCCATACAGCTATGACTCAAGATGGATTATGTTAGTGTCCACACAAAATATGTTTTTAATTACATATTAATGTCGATTATAGATTATTTAATAATGAAAAGTTAAATTATCAACCTAGAATCCATGACATATGCCAGCAACCATGGATTGCAAAGTTTGAAATGAACACATATATGGCATCTTTTTTAATTACCAAGTAAAATAATTTTATATTAGAAGCTAATTAAGCTCTACGTGGAGGAATTGGTGTTGGTGGCGTTCAATATAGTGGTTACTAACCACTTCTCTATATACACCTACTAGGCTACTACTACTAGTATACTATATGTGAATCGGACTTTTGATGCAAGAATAGACGATTTTCTTTCTTGATCTCACACACACTAACCTAATCGCGCTTCATCAAGTTCATAACTAATTAGTTAATTACTCTTATGATCCTTGACTTTTCTGCTTTGTACTTTCTGGTCGTTGAAATTAGTACTGCAATCATATTAATTTGACTGGGAGTGGTAAGTAGTGGTTTAAGTAATGCCTTGAAGTGCTATTAGTTCTTTGTGTTACCATTGAGATCATTGAATCTTCCTTCTGCTCGAGAAATTATTGTATGTGGTCCAATATCTTCGTGGATGGGGTGTTAAGTTTCTATCTATACGTTTTGAGTTTGAAAACTTTCTCCATCCCCTAAATTATTATAATAATTTTGAACGGTTGCCCTCCCTTAATAATAATAATAATAAAAGGCCCGAGGAATTATTGACCAAACGAAAGAGAAAGTTGTTTGCCCACTAGCTTATTGTAATTTGATCATTTCAGAATTTTTATTATGAATATATATACCATGTCACATACTTCTAACAACGATATATTTATTATATGTTTAATTAAAAATAAATAAATTTACGTGTAATAATTTAAAGAGAATAATAAGATTACATGACTATTATATAATTTATCATGTTTGATTCTTCTTATAGCTAAAAGTGAAAAAGAAAAAGAGAAGCATAATCCACATGATGTAATATAAACTAAAGATCGAAAGTAAAAAAGTTTACATATTGGCAAATAAAAGTGGACTAACCATAATCCATATTACAACGTACGGTAGTCAATATACATGCACCAAACATTCTAACCTTCTTTAGACTTGTAGTCCAAGTGGAGGAGTGGGAATTGCTGTACCCTCCACCATCTTAAGTACGCAACCCTCCTCCACTTCCACAGACTCCCTTTTGTAAAGTATTTGCAAGATGCCCACAAAAATGCCCCTAAGTTGAGAATAGATATGACCATAAGAAATCCGTAGTAATAATCCAAGTGACAGTCATTCAAGTTATTCGCAATCCAACTTTTACCCCCATTCCTCCTGGTAATTTTATCCACCATAGTTACCAGAAAGCTATTCAAGAAGTTACCAACCCCAATCCCACTTGTGAAAAAAGTTGTCCCAAGACTCTGCATGTCCTCCGGAGACTGATCATAGAAAAACTCTAATAACCCAATTGCATTGAAAACATCAGCTATCCCTAGGAGCATATACTGGGGCAGCAACCAAAAAATGCTCATGGGTACTATTTCTTTAGGCCCGTTGACATGGTGCACTCTAATCACACACATTCTCCGAACTTCCACAGCATAAGCAACTGCGATGGCTATAACTTGTATCACGAATCCAATGCCAAGCCTTTGGAGAAGTGTGATTCCCCTAGGGTTTTTAGTTCTAGCACGTACAAGTGGCACAAAGTAACGGTCGTACAGAGGCACCGAAAGAAGCATTGAGAGGGTCACAAAGCTCCCCAAGGAGGCTGCAGGGATTCGGAAGTGTCCGCCTAAGCTTCGGTCGAGGGTGGTACCTTGTTTGACAAAAAGAGTGTTGATTTGTGCCCAAATGGTGCTAGGAATTAGTGTGACAAGCCATATCATGGCCATTCCTACAACAAGCTTTGTTCCTTCAACCTGAGTCACAGTGCATGGTGCCCTAACTGAGACGTCTGTGTTGTCGTCATCTTTTACCGCAGCCTTGTCCAAAAACCTATTCAAACAAGAATTAATTCGTCCAATTAATAACATAATATATCAAACTATCTTACATAAATATTTTTTTCTAGATATTTCTTGTCCCAAATGCTAATGAGAGGAGTTGTGAGGTTCTGTTTGGGTTTAAGTCTTTGAGACAATTATTGGTGGATACCATGATGCCATTCCATACATGAAACAACTTGACTAGGAGAGATTGTGACCATTCGAAGAAAGATACTACAAAAGTAGTGTTATGAACAGTGTACATGGGAAAATTTATTAGAAGGAACGGCTAGAAAAATGTCACAGAAAACCACCAAGTTATATATGCACGTAAAATTGGTGGGCGGCCGGTCCACCCTTCACGTTTGTTCATTCCATCAATGCAGAGCTTTAAACTTGTAGGAAAGGCTACAGAATCGATATGGGGTCTGAATCTAATTGATATATATGTCCTTAGAATATTCCATACCAGATGGAAAAAGGGTAACTTTTTTTCCCAAGCTACAATTACTTCACAATTTACAATTAAAGCAGTAAATTAGGACCCGTTCTATGACTATTTTAGTCTTTAGATTTTACTTTTATTTATTTAAAAAATAAAAAAAAAAAGGGAAAACTGAAAGCTAATTTTGTGAGTTTTCAAAATTTAGCTCGATTTTGAAATCAACTTTAGTTTTTTCACAAACTAAAATTGATTATCAAACAAGTTTTCAGTTTCTAACACTTTTTTTCAAAAAAAGAAAGAAAAAAAAAGTGTAAAAAAAAAATCAAAACGAAATTGCATCCCGCGTCCCATAAGTAATTATGAACTGATAATAATAGTATTGATTAGATAGCTTACCTAAAAATTGGAGTGTGGTACATCTGGCGTTTTCCACTATTAACGTAATATTGTGGTTCAAACTCATGAAGCTCAGATGGGTTGCTAGGGAGCTGAAGATTTCTATTTTTATAGGCAGCAATGGGAACTTGAATGAAATCTCTTGCAGGGCTTTTGGTCTTACTAACTTTGTGCCTATACATTGGGGTTCCAAAATAAAAGATGAACAAGGATAACACGAGACCGACTGTGGGGATGCCATACCCTAACCCCCACCCCAAGTTTTCCTGAATATAAACAAGGCCAAGAGTTGCAACCAGGGCACCCAAGAAAGAGCTGAACATCCACCAGTTGAAAAATGAGGCCTTGAGCTGTTTCTCATAGGGGTCAAAATCGTCAAATTGGTCTGCCCCAAAGGTGGATATGTTGGGTTTTGTCCCTCCAGAACCTATTGCTATGGTGTAGAGAGAAATGTAGAAGAATGCAATCTGTGAAGTGGAGGCCTTGTTGCAAACGCCATTGGTGCAGCCTGGTTTGAAGCTTTTGAGTGAAACAGCCATTGTCAGAAGCATCATTCCCTGTGTTCAAATAATTCTACAAATTAATATTGTTTTACATGTTGGTTGTCGTCTTTAAGCCATCGAGGTACCAAGTTTGGTGTTTTTACTGATGAATACAAATAATTTCATATCCTTTTTCTGTCGGTTAGTAGTACAGTTTCCATCAACGTTGGAAGCATTAATAAAACAGAATATTATCTCCACATATATTATCTGTATTTTTATAGTTTATCATATATATATATGAGGTTAATGCAAATCATTAGGATGTTGAGGAATGAGATTAGTAATCAAATGAGCCATGCATCGGTCCCACAAGGGAAAAGAAGAAATCTTATTAGCCTTAATAAAATATGATCTAGAAAGATGGTGTAGTCTTCTTAACGTAACTCTAAAGTTTGTGGAACAGTCGTTACCTTAACCATAATCAAGAAACAAATTTATTGAAGCAGAATATAAAACGTTGAAATTCTTAGATCAAAATAATTTTTATTTATTTTGTTACAAGTGATAATTCTAATCTAAATTACTTAAAGGATGGGAGGTCAAATTCGGTACCGTAACTACTGGATTAAAACGACCACGTGCAGAATAAACTTTCTTAAAGTAGATAAGTATTAATATGAATTTACCAGTGACGTAAATGAGGGAGGAGAAAGTGAAAGTCCAGAAACGACCCAAGTAAGAGTCAGCTATGTAAGCCCCAAGAATCGGTGTCATCCATATTGCTCCAGACCAATTATTGACATTCCTGACTGAAGAAACTGTGTCTTCGTGAAGTTGGGTGGTCAAGTAATTCACCAAATTGGAAGCTATTCCATAGAAGGCCATCCTCTCAAATGCTTCGTATCCTGAAAGATTGCACGTAACAAACTTATTTAAGATTTGGGAGTAACAAATTAATAAATGATATTTTTGTATAAATTGAGCATGAAATTGTTATGATAAATTACCAACAAGGAAAGAACAAGCTTTCCATTTTCCAGTCTTGGAGGCATGAACAGGGCGTCCCTGGAGATCGACCGTGCCGTCTCGGGTGCAACCAGCAGCTTTGGCTTCCATCAGAGAGTTTGATGAGAGTGATAACTGAAGGAACAACTATATGGCTATAAGAGCTTAGCTTAGCTAGCCAAAAATATGGCTGAAACAATATACTATACAAGAAGGGGAAGTGGTAAATCTTATTTTATAGCCCTAAAAGGTGTATTGTAACTGTAATGCCACGTCATCAAAACCAAGTGGGAGTTCGAGTCTTGAAGTGAGAGCGTTTATGCTGTGAGATGATATTGTTGATATATGTATTGCTTTGATGGTAACAGGATGATACACAAGGATCCAAGGCGCTGCTTAATTAGGTACAACTACTAATACAAAATACCCAGCTAATTTCATAAACACCCAACTAGTTCATACACTAGCCAAATTAATTCTAGTAGCTCGTGCTTGAAGTAGTCTATAAATTCCCTATTGAGTAAAGTATGTAGTTAAGGAACATTGAAATTGTTGAGAATGAATTCCATATAAATAGAATGAGAGACTTTGCATGTGCTTCTATATAATTGCACTACTTCCCATATTACCAATTGGTTTTATAGTGGAATCCTAACTTTCTTCATGGTATCAAAGCAAGTTATGTGTGAAACCTAGCGGCCACACGTGCTTCACATCACCCAATTTGTATTGTCCAAGTGTTAGCCTTGAAAATTCGCAACACGTGAGGGAGCATGTTGAGAATGAATCTCACATTGATGGGAGAAATGACCTTACATGTGCTTATAAGTAATTGAGTTACTCATCATATTGTCAATTGATTTTATAGTTAAACTCCAACTTTTTTTAAAAACTATTGTAGTCTTTTTTCTTTATTTATTTATTTATTTATTTATTTATTTTTATTTAGAAAAAGACTTGTAACTCAAGTATGACTAAAAGTATTCACCTTTGCACTCAAAAGTTTGGTTCTCCCGTCCCCACTATAGCTTCTACATGAAAAAAATATGTGGCCCTTTTTCCCAACATGGGAAACACGTTTGTACTCACCAAGAAAATTAATAAATCGGTGCCTTATCCCTTGAAGTCTAAATTTTAATTGAATGGATGTGCTACACACATACTTATTTTTACTTTTCTCATACCTTTTTAATTTTTGGCGGCCGGATCGAATGAATTGAAGAAGATTAAATGATATAATTAATAAGAGGTGTGTGAGAAGTAAAAAGAAATGTATGGATAGCATACCCTAATTGACTTGTGCCCCCATCTCTTGATATTTTTGGGATGCGGTCCTAATTTTCCTTAATCCTTATTCAGGAATTGTGCATATTATTCACTAATGCAAAATGAAAATTTTAATTAATCAAGATCTTAATAAGGAGTTTTGCCCTCTCAACCCTTTGAAATCTTCATGAATGGCTTTCAAGACCAGGAATTGGAGTTTTGCAGCGCCTAAATTTGAAGTGATACCAGTGGAACATCACGAACTTATGAAAATCGAACTTTAAACCTTAATTTCTTAAATTAATATGCCTAATGGCGCTAATTAGGTCTACACAACTATCTCAGGAGTATGTTCAGACCCACTAGGCCGGTTCAGTAAAAGACATATTAGAAGAATTTCACACATCGCACTAATAGCACACTTCTTTTTACTTCTCACATACCTTTTGTTAATTTTTATTTTTTGATTTTCTTCAATTTATCCGATCTGACGGTCGAAAATTAAAATGATATGTGAGAAGTAAAAAGAGGTGTCTGATAGCACACCTCATCGCACTATATGTCCACTTACACGTAAATTTTCAATTGCTAGTTTATGGCCTTCAGAGTGGAGAAGGAGAGGAAGAAAAAGAAAACAGAGGGTGGAAAAGGATAGAACTGATTGCCTCATTTTCGTCTTAACATTTGGTTGCCAAATTTTACAGGGAGGGTATAAGGTAATGATTCCATACAGTATTCCCCACTTCATTTCGAGTTACACTCGTGTACGGACTTTGTAGGGGAGAATAATTGTAAGTGCTCCAAATTATATTAACTTTATTTTTTGCACTAAGCAAGAGTAATGTCAATTTCTTTAAAATGTCAATAGCAGCTCTCCTTAAATTTTTTATATATACCGTTTCTTTTAATTTTCTAGGTTTACGAATTTTTATTGTTTGTTAATGGAATTATAAAAAAGAAAGAATGAAAAGAAAAACAAGGTAAGATTTGAGAAGGGGATAGAACAAAAGTTCACAAAACTATGAGCTTGTTTGAGAAAATATTTTTCAGTTTCAATCCACTTAAAGTACTTCATACAAGAATCGCCAGTTAGTTGCTTCTTGTGAAAAAGACTTCAAGTGCTTTTCTTAGATTAGTTTACATTTTTGTTACTTAGTACTACAATCTAGTAGTATTCCCTCTTTACTTATAAGTGAGAGATCTTAGGTTCGATTCTCGTCAAAGGTGAATTTGAACCACGTTATTGCTAGCTCATTATGAGGCTTTGTCTACCCCTTTCCTTTGTGTAGATAAAAACGTTTGCTCAAAAAAAAAAAAAAAAAAAAGATTAGTTTACATTTTTTTTTTTAGAAAAAGATTTCATTAAAGAGAAAAGCACCTAAGGCAATCAATTTAGGTACAATAAAAAAGGAAGGCCTGATGGACCTCCAAAAGAAGAGATTTTTTTTTTTTTTTTTTTTTGGAGAAACCAAAAGAAGAGTTTTATCCCAAACATTAGTTTACACTTTTAGGTTGAACCAAAAACATTTTCCGTAGTTTCCAAAAAAAAAACATTTTCCGTTAGTATTCTTTAAAAGATACCCCTTCTCTTTTATTTTTCTTTTCTTAAAGAAAACCAAAATAAGTCCATATCTTTATATATATCAGCTCAACCATCCATTTTATAAGGTCATGGTTGCATCTTGCATGTGAACCCCACATATAAACCTTTTCTTTTTTTTCTTTTTTTTTTTTTTTTAACAAACAATATTATTGTGTGAGAGTGGGATAAACTTCACATTAGGCTAGGTTCAAATCGACTTTGGTGAGAATTAAACGTAAGATCACTTACTTACAAGTGAAGAGGAATACTACTAGACCGTAGTACTAAGTGACAACCCCACATATAAAATTTAAACAATATTACTTTGTAAAATTCACATAATCAATCGTAAAAAACATATTGTTAAATTTTAGCTTAACCACAGAAACCATGGGAGAAGCCATGGACGTTACGTATAAATGGATGTATACATGATAACTTGTACATTATAATTGATTCGACTATCAAGTTTCCATGTGCGTCAAAGAATATAATGTATCATTTGACTCATATATTCGCATTGAATTCTTGTCATGGGATAATTATTATTGCTTTTGACGAATGGTTGAGATCATGACTTCAATTCCTAGAACCCTAGGCAGGCAGAAAACATATATAGCCTTTTTTTCTTTCTTTTTTCTTTGTTTTTCTGGTGGTGCAAGCCTTTGATGATGTGGATGCTTGACAATATATATGTATGATGATTTTATCTTGCACATTATGTCATGTATTTGTGCGATGGTTTTATGTTGAACTATTGGTAAGTATATGAGCTTATGAAATTAGCTATAGCTAGCCATGACTTAGTTAGGACTCATGTTTTATTTATTTATTTATTTTATTTATTTTTGCGACATTCTTATTAATTTAAACTAAAAAAACATATATCACATTCCGGTCCGGAGCGGATCACTTTCCGGGCCCGTTCCACCATCGTAGCATGATATTGTCCGTTTTGGGCTTACCATTCCCTCACGGTTTTGTTTTTGGGAACTCACGAGCAACTTCCTAGTGGGTCACACATCATGAGATTGCTCTAGCCCCATTCTCGCTTAACTTCGGAGTTCCTACGGAACCCGAAGCCAGTTAGCTCCCAAAAGGCCTCGTGTTAGGTAGGGATGAGAATATACATATAAGGATCACTCCCCTGGGTGATGTGGGATGTCACAATCCACCCCCCTTAGGGGCCCGACGTCCTCATCGGCACACACGCGACCAGGGTTAGGCTATGATACCATATTGTCACATCCCGCCCCGGGACGGATCACTTTCCGGGCCCGCTCCATCACCGTAGCACAATATTGTCCGCATTGGGCTTACCATTCCCTCACGGTTTTGTTGTTGGGAACTCACGAGCAACTTCCAGTGGGTCACCCATCATGAGATTGCTCTAGCCCCCTTCTCGCTCAACTTCAGAGTTCCTACGGAACTCGAAGCCAGTTAGCTCCCAAAAGGCCTCGTGCTAGGTAAGGATGAGAATATACATATAAGGATCACTCCCCTAGATGATGTGGGATGTCACAATATATATATGAACTTAAGTGCTGAATTGGAAAACATTATTCTAGTCAACTTAATTATACTCAAATGCCCTAATTTCGACTTACTCATATTTCTAAGTTAGAATTTAGACGTCGGCCGGTGCCGGTCTTTTCGGAATCGTGATGACAAGAAATGAGAGATAATATTCTCTCATCGCATTGAGGTCAATGCAAAATGATAATGCAAGACTAAGTACTATATATGCATGATTTTATTAATTCGTTTAATAGTTATTTTGTTTATTTTTTATTTTAAAAAAATGAAAGAAAAAAAATTAATTTTTTTAGTTTTCAAAATTTAACTTGATTTTGAATTTCAATTTTCATTTTGAAAACAAGTATCAAACGAATTTTCAATTAAAAGAAAAATAACTATAAAAATTTAAAATCGGAAACTAAAATGATTATCAAACATGCCAATACAGATTGCAAATTGGTATTGGCAATTTACCTGTCCAAATAGCACCGGAACAAGTGAGGTTTTAACCGAATAGTCTAACCCAAATCCAAAATTGTTTTGTTTTGCATGTCCTACACATTATTGCATATTTGCATATGCTTCATCGTTAAGAGCATCACCATGTATGTCGTGGTCCACCATATTCATAGTACTTTGGTTGAATAGTGTATTACGTATGTCTGAGGTTATATATGTGATCGTAATGTTAGCTACATTCATTCAATGTACCTCACTTTTGTAATATTTCCCATAATTATTCCTCACAATATTAACGATCTTCAACTATCATTACCCATTTCTTACATTTTAGTATATACGAACGATATTCTATGTGAAATTCATCTTAACTACGTATTCAAATTTGAGTAGAGAAAGAAAACTACACTGCTCTAACTTGATTAAGTGCACGTCTTCTTATAAAAGAAAATTGCTGCCTAAATATGTGAAACTGACATTCTAAAAATAGAAGTTTGTTAAATATCCCTTCAAAGGCGACAGACCATCGCTTTAATCTCTTTTTTCCTCCTTTCAACTCCTGATGATCATCATATACGCATTACTATTTCGTTAACTTTATCTTAACAACGCCATTCGGACCACTCATTCAGCATGATTTATGAGCAGGGAACTTTTGACAAGAATAGCATTTTAGTTTGCAAGGTGAAATGGGTTTTGTGAAAATTGACTGTTGCACTTGCATGACATCGAGGGTAAACAGCAACAGCAACAGCGACAACCCAACTAGATACAATCAAACCTAGCCACACCCTAGATTCTATTAGTTCTCAAGAGCCCCTACCTAAGCAAATGGAAGCCTTTTCTTGTTTAATTTGTGGCCAGAACCTATCTTTGCAATTGGATGTCTATTGACTCTAACCTTAATGCGAGACAAGGTTATTGGCATCCTCAAAGGCTAAAACCCCACCATTTAAGGCGGTGAATTGATGTTTCGCAGCCTTCAACTCATACAGTACAAATGTTGGATCATATGGGTCCTTTTCACTTTTTGAAACATACTTGCATTAACATTTAATATGCTATTCACTAGAATATTGAACCACATGCATTTTAGTGTACTTGAATTATACAAAATTTCATAATCAAAACTATTTATTTTCTTAAGTATCATTGTTAAAATATCATTTGTGCAACAAATCAATCAAATTGGAAATAATAAGATATATGTGTGTCAAATAAATGATGTCGGTTCATGAGGATGTTAATTATTACTAATTAAAACGGTCAATTTGTTCAATATATACTAGTATATGCCCACACATAAAATGTGTGAATTTTTTTACTTTGGTTGTTAAAGTTAAAAAAAAAAAAAACAATAAAATTTTGTTTTGTGAAATTACGTTACTATCTTTAACATTTTTGTTGTAATAAAAAATAAAGATACATTTTCACCATTTTTTGGTTGACAAAGAGGGTTCATTAATGTAGTTTTAGTTTCATTTTTTTTTTTTTTTTAGAGAAACACTAATTATTGTTAAATGGACGATCTAATTATAAAATGTGTACAAGAAGAATACGTTAATCACAAAGAAGCGGTTGAAAGATGACTTCATTATCTTAGCCATCCATTTATACTTCTAACAGTATGAAAGATGGCTTCATAATTCAGTGGCTAAGATATTATATAAGTTATATAGGACAGTACAGTATTCCAGTTTCTCTAAATTTATTTGAAGTATATATCAAAGTTTTGTGGGTGACAGTGATGTATCTGTTGCCAGTTGGGCGCTGCATGCAACATTTGCAAATTGCAAAGAGTAGTCTCAATAATAGGGCAACCTATTGAAATTGGTCCAACATTGCTGTTCGACCCCACTACAACAACAACAACAACAACAATGAACTTCTTTGGCTTCCTACAGCAACAGCTGCACGTCCAGCCATTTTTGTATCCATCGTTCATTATATTCATGTAGTTACATAAACGTACGGACATACCGAAAACAGCAGAAGTTTATGTGAAACAAGAACTCATAAGCATTCAATTTAGTTCGAGAGTTGTCGAAACGAAATGATAGAGTTAGGGTTAGGGTTTACATATGTATATTGACGCGCGCATGCATGCAATCAGAGAAAGACAATTTGGCTTGAATTTGGAATCTTTATCACATATTCAATCACTGACGAAAATGCCAACATGATCCACTGATGTGGGACTTTAACAGTAGACATACTGGCTAGCTTAGCTACGTAGACTCCCACAAACTTAAGTGAACATGATGTATATGTGAGCAGAAACATTTTATCGTGCAGCACTATAATAAAAGAAAAAACCAACGAGAAAAGAAAGGGGAAAAAAAAGCTCCTTCTGCCTTTCAATTCTGGCAAACAAAGAAAAACAGAAGAACATGCCTCAAATAGGACAATGAACAGAGCCATTGGATTCATCTGCTGCTCTTCCACTTGGCATATGGACTTCTGTTAAAATCCAGTAATTATGGGCCTGTTTTAGGAAGGAAAGAACTTCGGGTTTAGGGGAATGCCATGACCCATTAAGCTAGAACTCCTGAATGAGGTACTTCTTAAGTTGGGTTGGGCTCTTGAACTGTTTGACAAGTTTTAGTTCCCTCGAATCAAGGCTAGGATATTTTGTTTTGATATTATGTTAAAATATGAATATTCAACCTAACATTATTGATGATTAGAGATACAATATGATTATTTTGATGTGTGATTCACACTCTCAAGTCCCGACACTTACAAGGCGGTTTTGTAAGGTGAAGTGTAACTTTGGACGGTGAAATAATTGACATGAAACTGCACATTTTTTTAAGATTAGTTGGTGAAGAATTGATTTAAGACAACTGTTTTTCCAGCACGTCGTGCTGAACTTTGGCTCAACGCTTCCAAAAAAACCTTTGAAGCTTGGTGATGAAAGCTCTACAAGACTACGCAAGACCAAAGGTCTCTCAAAAGATGGACATTTCAACCTGCAGGGGCCCTTCCTTGAGCTAAAATACATATAAATTAGACTAAAGTGGAACGTGTGTACAGTCACAAAGCCAAAAGGTAGAATAATAATTTGGAAAAACGAACCTTATATATACTAGTGTGTAGAAAAAGTAGCGAAAGCAAATATCTATCAGTCTAGCTTTACCTTTAGTCCCTTTGAACCGAATAATGGATTGTTACTTTACCCCAAATATTCCGTCTTTATCAAAGCTTGTTAATTTGCTTGAGTTGTGACTTTGTGTGGTTACTAGGCATGAAAAAATGTCGGTTATATATATGTGTGTGTCTCTTGTACTAACCTAGCTGCTACTGCTAGAGAACACTGTAACATGGCTTCCAGTTACAACTTAGTCCTGCTTATCTTGGTCATTGCTGGTGCATTTCTCGAATCCAATTGCAAGCTCACTAAAAATTTCTACAAATGCAAATGTCCAAAAGCATTGTCCATTGTGCAAGAAGAAGTTATAGCAGCCATAAAAAATGAAACCCGTGTCGGGGCTTCCTTGCTCCGTCTGCATTTCCACGATTGCTTCGTAAATGTAAGTATATACCATCACTTAATGTGCTCATTGAGCCATTCTTAACTGAAGGAGGTTGGCATAATTTCTGTGTTAAATCTCAGGGTTGCGATGCGTCGGTGCTGTTGGACGACACTTCAAGCTTTGTTGGTGAGAAAACAGCAGTTCCTAACAACAACTCCATTAGAGGATTTGAAGTTGTTGATAGAATTAAAGCTAAGCTTGAGAAAGCATGCCCTGGAGTGGTCTCATGTGCTGATCTTCTAGCTCTGGCTGCCCGTGAATCTACAGTTTATGTAAGTAACCTATCTTAATTTCTTTCAAAAAATGCACAAACATAACTGGTTACAAACTTTTAGTCAAAAATATAATGCAGCGGACACTAAACAGACAAGAAGCCTTTTAGTGTCTCTCAAGTTTATAACCAATTCATTTGTGCATATTTCCCTAGTTTCGTCCACCAAGTTCTCAAATTTGAAGTAACATTTTAATCAATCTTCTTCATTGGCATCTATTTTTACATGGAAATTCTTGGATTTGCAGTTAGGAGGTCCTCCATGGAAAGTTCGTTTGGGAAGAAGAGATTCAACCACTGCTAGCAGAAGTGCTGCTAACACCTCCATTCCTCCACCAACTTCCAACATAAGTGCTCTCATTTCAAGCTTCTCAGCACAAGGCCTCTCGTTAAGGGACTTGGTCGCTCTTTCGGGTGCTCATACTATTGGCCGTGCAAGGTGCACATCATTCCGCTCACGTATCTACAACGAATCCACCATCAATGCTGCCTTCGCCAGGTCATTGCAGGGAAGTTGCCCGAGAAGCGGAAGTGACAACAACCTTGCAAGCCTTGACCTCCAGACCCCAACACATTTTGATAACTTGTACTACAAGAATGTGTTGAAAGAAAAGGGACTTCTTCATTCAGACAATGAGCTCTACAATGGAACTTCTTCTACGGAGAAACTGGTTAAGAAATACGCAAATAACACCTTTGTATTCTTCAAGCACTTTGCCAAGGCCATGGTCAAAATGGGAAACATCCATCCTCTTACAGGAAGTCAAGGCGAAATCAGAACCAATTGCAGAAAAGTGAATTAAAATTTCACAACATGGAATCATATAAGTGTGTAATTAGTCTTTCTTCACCCACTCCTACTCTTGTACCCTTTTTCTCTTCGACAACAGCCGCCAACTCTACTCTCGCATAAAGCGAAAAGAAGGAACCTGGCCACTGCTTTCTTATACCTAAGTTGTCTCTGAAATTCTCTTTTGTTCTTAGACAAGTTGTCACTGAAACTTTCTTTTGTAAAAATGCTTTTTGTTCATTATGGCATTCGTTTTGTTTGGTTAGTACAGATTTTCGGTCACGTGCGTGTCATTTCAAACAAACCGAGGAGGAAATACCACTAAACCAATAGTCGACAGGTTAAAATAAGACAGAAGGGAAATAAAATCCAATTTGATTCGACAAGCGGAGTAAGGGAAAGAAGTTCTTAATGGTGTCTCTATTGCATGGCATTTCCCACAACATTTTCACAAAACAAAGGGGAAACAAACATGAGGATACAATTTAATTGGAGAGTGCAACCCGTAATTAATTTAATTGAAGAATTGTCAAAATGTAATAATTTATCATATGACTTGCACTCCAAGCAGGCTTAACCTTTACATGGAGGTGGATTACCACACAAGCCAGGGTTTCAACTATTATATAAAACCAAACCCCAAAATCGTTGTACATAAAACCAACCAAAGAGGAGGAAACACCACTAAACCAAAAGTTGGTTAAATTAGACAAAAGGGGATTAAAATCCAGTTCGATTCTACAAGCGAAGTAAGGGAAAGAGTCACAAACCCTTTCGTTGTTAATGGTATCCGTATTGCATAACATTTCCCTAACATATTCACAAAACAAGGGGGAAACAAAATATGAAATCAAAAGGAAATAGTGAGGCTTAAGTAGGTAGAATTCCTAAATGTACTTCCAAGAGTGGACAAGCATTGATGCAGACTAGCCTAAGCGACTTGAGATCTCACTGCAGACTTCCAGATTTGCTACAGTCCAATTGACATCTCGAGTTTCCGAATCTTTTCCAAGACAAACCATGTAGTCTGCAAAATCAGGCAGCATGATATCATAATCATTACTAATAAATAGATGTGTGCTTGTGCTTGTGCTCGTGTTTGTGTTTGAGAGAGAGAGAGAGAGAGAGAGAGAGAGAAGAGAGAAAGAGAGAGAGTACCATGATAGGAAGTGCAACACGGCCAAAACATGTGGGGAATCCAGTAAAGAAGCCAAGAGGACCTCTTGATTTTAGAATTGCAAGGGCACAATCCAGAGAGCTAGCATATCCAGTTTCTTGTCTGACTATGCGAACGTGTTTTGAGGGTAAACTGCATGCTGCAGCAAAGAATGCTGACGAAGCACTTGCACCTGAACAAAAGAACACAATCAAAATTACATAACATGTAAATACAAGAGAGAAAGGGAAAAGATGGAACTGAGATAAAATTGGCAAGGGGGGAGCTTTTACCCAATTGTGCTTTTGCTTCACTAAAACCACAAGACTCCCTGAGATAATCAAGGCTTGGATTATATGATGCGAGCATGCCCATGTCTAACCACATCTTCCTCTTCAGAAAAGGACCTACATAATTCCACATTTCTCGAAACAAAGCTCTCTGGGTTGCCATATTACGGACAAATGAAAATACGTATCTGTAACTAGGAAATCGTTTGGTTGCTAGATGATAATTATACACAAGATACCCAGAGTATAATGGAAAATTGATCAATGCTCCAGTTGCTCCAACAGCCAACCCACAAGCAGCCTCTTGACAAAGAGTGGGTGGCATTCCTTCGTTTGTAGCAATTGCTTTATTTCTCAAAATCCTGGCAAAAAAGGCCAAACAATCAAAAGTTTGAAAAGTTGTCCACTTCTGAATCTAAAACCAAATAGTTGATGCAACATTAATCCATCAGATCACAGAAAAAAACCATGCATATGCTACCATCATGCCCCTTCCTACTTAAAATCAATTGCTCAAGAGCTCGACGAAACTTTATAAAGAGAAATCCCAGATGGCAGCAGTCAGTCCTCAAATCAACGGCTAAAAAAAAAAAGGGATTACATGAGCTCAAGAGAAACTCGACAGATATCTACACTTCAATCTCCATAAAACAACAAAGCTTGTAAATTCTTGAATTAAATAACAAACTACAACAACAGTAAAGAATTTACTTTGAGAGGAAAAAATTAATTTACTTTGAGGCTTCTAGAAAACTTACTCATACAATCCCAATTGCTGGCTCACCGTCAACAGATGAATGTAAATCGCACCGTGAAGAATCTGCAAACAACAACGAAATCTAACAACATTCATAAAAATGCATGTTAACAAAAATGATTTAAATGTTCACAAATCATAAATCTCTGCTAACCCATTTCAATTTCAACATCACATTAGAAATCCCAACTCGGGAAATTTAATTTTTTTTGCCAAAGAAAGATAAATTGCAGAGGAAAACGCAAAAAAAGCTTCCACCTTTCTGAGGAAGCGAACAAAAGGAAAAAGTTGGAACCTTGGTATAACAGTGGAGCATCGGAATCTGGCGACACTGAGCATACATACAGCTCTTGGAGTAGGTAAAGGGAAGCCCAGGAGCCCGCAAGAACGCCGATAGCTCCGCCGTTGAGGAAGGGTTTGATAGAGGGCCAATGCTGCCGCCACCGTGAACGGATGACAAGGGGGTTCGAGGGATCAGCAATGTCGGCCTTGTCCTTCCTCTTCCGGCGGTGTTCTTCCATGGTCAGACCCAGCTCTTTGTTCACGTGCACGTCTCTTGGGATTCCGATGACTGATCTCAGCTTCTCTTCCATGATCTTTTGTGGTGCTCGCACAGATGCTCTCTCTGTGCCTCTCTCCCGCCTTAAATCCCTTCTAAGTTCTAATTATTACTGTATTCGACCCGGATGACCTCGCCCTTTTATTTATTTAGGAAGGGATTATTATGCAGTCATTTTTACTTTTATACACTCTTATTAATTTTTTTTCATTTATCAATTTGATGATCGAAAATTAAAAAAAAAGAATGTGAGAAGTAAAAATGAGTATATGAATAGCACTACGTTTATTTAATATTTAACCCTCATTTAATTGTGTTACTATTGACATGTTCGAAAAGGTTAATTTGTGCATGATACTAATTCTATAGTTAAATTTATTCCCGATTTTAGTCTAAATCGAACTTTCCATTTAAATTTTCAACATTTGACTTATGAGTCCAATAACTACTTGAGTTTGAGGCATACACTGATAAATAAATAAAATAAAATAATTCGTAACCTTATTTTGCGGTTAAATTTATGCTCGATTTTAGTCTAAATCGAACTTTCCATTTAAATTTTCAACATCTACTATGCCTCAAATATTATAAATGTTGGGGCATGCACTGATATAAAAGAAAAAATTCCTAACCTTAGTCTAAATCGAATTTCCCATTTAAAATTTCACCATCTGACTTCTTGGTCCAAAAACTACTTGAGCTACAAATCTAGTAATCTACCATGCCTCAACTATTATAAATGTTGGGGCATGCATTAATAAAGAAAAAATTTGTAACCTTAATTTCCGGTTAAATTTATCTCTATCTTAGTCGAACTTCCCATTTAAATTTTCAACATCTGACTTCTGAGTCCAAAAACTACTTGAACTACAAATCTACTGTGCCTCAAATGTTATACATGTTAGGGCATGCAATGATAAAATAAAAAAATGGGAAGTTGGAAAGATACACCACCATTCAAGTTTGTGCATCATATAATGTCAGTATGTCACCAACATCAAAGACTGACTCAAACCAACAAGGCTCCTTGCCTTACGATGGTTGGAGATGACACATCTATCGTATACAAACTTGCCCTTACTTTCCAAAGAGATGGTTTCCACAACTCCAACCCGTGACCTTTTCAAGACTAGGATATAAAAATCATCATGTAACAAAGTCCTAACTACATTGGAAGAGGCATGAAACTATCCAAATTACAGAGAAGAAGAAGACGAAGTTTTAAAAGGAAATCAAATCTTGTATTAATAGTTGAACAGATTACAGAAAATGAGATAAAATTAACAATTTACACTAGCCTAACTATAACCTTCTAACAAACTCGTCCTAATCCAACCTCCACCATTCAATCATAAACCAATCTCCACCGTACATCTGTTACTACAAAGATGCAAAGCCATGCATGTAAAACTACACATTTAACAGTTATGCTTCCACTTACATAATCAAATCAAATCAAATCAAATCAAATCCGCTACAAAACTTAGTAGGTTAAGGAGACGCTACAAAAAAGGGTCGACAGGGACCCCGAGTGATGGTTCCAATTGTTGCTTTCGTGGAACCTTTACACTTTCTCATACTTTCTTTCATTTACGTGCTTAACCTTCCTCTCTTCTTCATCTCGAGTGGACTGCACACAGAGATAAAGAATTCAAACTATCAAGAACTTACAGCGATGTAAATTGGTGAGCGGTGGTAGTTACATTAGAATTAGTCGGTTGCACACTCTTGTGACTATATGGAGAACAATACAGGTTTCGTCTCCCTTGCTTTCTATACGTGCACTATATAGCTCTTCCATTTACTCTAATCAACTGAATCGACTTCCTCTTCTAACAGTTCAAATGCATCGATCTCTGCGAAGTATTTTCTCTTTTGTTCAATCTCATCAAAAAAAGCTCTTTGCTTCTCGGAATGTTCTTTCCCAGCTGGTACCGCATGCTGCTTCTGTACACACAAATTTAAAGTGAATAACTATAAACCCAAAGCTTGTGGTAAAATGGAACTTAACTTATTTGACCACAGCTGTTCAGATAGGAAAATAACAAGAACTCACTGTTTTAAGACACATAAAACCTCCTAGAACAAACTAAAGGTCCCTTATAAGTTTGAGGATTGTTTAAACAAGTGAAACGATAAACAGACCATATAATATTAAGTGGAATATTTCCCCTCCCTTTTTGTTTTTTACTAGCATAGAAATAAAAACTAATAGACGATAAAAAATAAAAAAAAAAAGTCTGCTGCCGGAATCAAAACACTGAAAGAGAATTTCTCTCTCAAAATGTAGCCCAAACAACTCGACCACACAGTAAAGAACCAATAAATCTTGCCATAGACATACTCTTTGGGTGTCAATACAAAAACATGTTGTTTGATAGGATTGGGGATATATAGAAATTCTAATTCTGATAGCACAATGTTGTTTTGGATTGATATGAAAGCACAACAGAACTGATCAATTTATTGTAGGAACCAGACCCCAAGTCAGATAAAAAGTAGCAGTTTCTACCCGGGACTACGAAAAAGTTACCATGTTATCAAACCTTGTTGTGAGGAGCCATGGATTCCTTGCATACACTGTTGCATCCGCTTGCCTTTGTTTTTTTCCTGTTTCAAATGGGAAGAAGACATACAGCAGCATTAGCAAAACATCACACATGGGACTGACATGTCTCAAATGAGTTAGAGATAGAATTTCTCATATGCATCAATCTATAACGATACCAATACACATGGAATATCAAATTGAAGCATGACGAGGGGAAAATCAGAATGGTAGAATTTATGGTCACACTAAGAAGCAATAGATCGTGTATTTAGGGCTTGCTCATTTAAGAAACGTAGGTTGTTGCAACTTATGAGTGCCTCAGCAGACCACTCAAGTGATACGTTATCACATTACTCTTAAAACCCATATCATATTATATTCACGTACTGACAATCTCCGGGCTCGTTTGGATGTGCTGTGCTTTAAAATTATTGAAAACGCTTTTAGAGAAAATGTTTTTATGGTTCCAAAAGCATTGAAAGTGTTTCCTAAAAGAAGCACAAATGTTTCTTCCAGGAAACACTTTAAGCGCTATTCTAGAATTTACTTGCATTTTTACTAAGAATTGGTTTCAAAAACTTTTTCACCAAAAGCGCTTTCAGTCATTTCAAAAGCGTATCCAAACGAGTCCTACAATTTTTTGATGACTAACTTCTTATAGCAAGGCAGCTAACTTTTCACAACTCCAAGCAATGAAATAGTTTCCTCCCTTTATTTCCGCAACCATAGCACTACAAGGAATTAGACACTTACCCAGCATTCCGGGTCTTTGGTGCAGGAGGACAACTCCAAGATCCAGTGTTTTCCTTCCCTTTACCCTCCCATTTTACTGCAGTCTGTCTTCGAGTATACACTGAACAAGGCTCAAGAGCCTCACGATCGCTGGTACCTAAACTCGAAAATCCAAATATACCCGTAAGGTCTCAGCCACACAGATCTTTCAAAGAAAATGCATAGATGAAGTATATTCGCAGGAGTTAATACTTCCTATTGAAGCATAGCATCAAGTTCAATTCAAGTATTCAAACAAAGCATTCAAAATACGCACTCAAATGCAAACACAGAGCAACACATTTCAACTAATATCAATAGATTCAAGGTAAGATTAAGGATCAAAACGAACAAATTCCAAGCGACCTCTTGTTCTTCTAGGAAAATCCAGAAACCCTAGACTCCCAAATTGAAATTAAAACCAGAACAAAACAGAAATCACACCCGAACCCAAGGCGAGAAACGGAGAAATCGAAAGCGGAGGAGAGAAATTACCAGAAGCGGAGGACGAGACGGGACGAGGGCGAGGAGGAGTGGAGGGAATCGGAGGCGGAACTACGGAGGGCTTAGGGTCTACAGCGGAGAGGAGGTTCCCGGTGACGGAGGCGAGCTTGGGATTCTGGCGTTTGAGCTTGACGGTGGAGGCGGACGAGGACTGCGAAGAGGCGGCTGTGGCTAGGGTGGTGGCGGTGGTGGTGGTGGAGGAAATGGTGTTGGTGCAATCGGAGAGAGGGTTTGGGGCTCTCAGTCTTCTTCTGGATGGCTCAGCTTCCATTTCTTTTTTCTGCTACTTCATAATTTGCTCCTTCTTCTTCTTCTTCATATATGAATGATTCACTGAGTGGATTGCGAGCACGGAGGAAGAGTGTGGCGGAAGCTACTTTTGGAGTGGCGGGAAAATTCTGTTTCGTCGTCCTTTCTTTACCGAGTTACGAGTTAACTCGCAACTCGGTGTTCCGGGTTATGGGCATAATCAAGGTTGGGTTGGGATTGCGGCCCATTAAAAAACTGGGGTGAGTTCCCTTTTTTTTTTTTTGTAGAAAAATCTTTGGGCTGAGTTGAGGTTGGTGTCTTTGAGTCAGCTGAACCGAAAATCGAGTAGAGCCGATACCAAACCAAACGTTTGGAAATATTTAGGGCCTATTTGCTGTCCTACTCAAAAAATTTATAATTCTTAAAAACAACTTGGATGAACTTCTCTCAAGAACAGTTTTTTTTACAACCTAAAAACTTGTTTGGTATTTAACCTGGAAACTATTTTTAATCTTCAAGGATTTAGGCTATATAACCCAAAAACTTGTCTGTACAAAACCATTAGGTGGCAGTGGCTGAGGGAGGATATTAAGGTATCATGAGGACTTGATTTGGAACTCTCAATTTCACACTTCATACTATGAAGTCATGTTGTCTTTAGATGGGTTTTGTTCACATATATGATGGTGGTTTGCTAATTTCAAATGTTGCCATTGAAATTGAGCAAATTGAGTTTGAAATAAAGCTTTGATAATGGCGGAGTGGTGAGTTTGGGGCTTGCGGGTGATTAGAGTGAGAGGACGGCGGGTCAGGGATGGTGGGAAGAAAATATCTCAGTCGCCGGAAAGATTCATGTCACGGTCGCCGAAACATCTCTCTCAGTTGCAGGAAACATATCTCTCATCATCGCCAGTTACTCTTAGTTGATGTTTGGTGTCGTTGGCCTCGACGCCAAGGTCTTGCAGATGTCGCGAAGAAGAAAAAAAAACAGTAAAAACATACTTTTGTTGTTCTCATAATTTAGGCTAGTTTTTGAGTTATTTTTTAGTTCAAGTTTTGCAAAATAGGCTTACCAAATAAATTTTTGAGGTGTGAATTGAGAAACAGTTTTTGAGTTAAAAACTTTGAACTCAAATAGAATACCAAACAAACTCTTATGTTTTTTAGGGGTTTTTATTTCAACGGTCTTTGAAATTGTTTTGACTCCTCACTTTAGTACTTTGAATTCAAAATTGATCAATGTCGTGTTTAAATATAAATATGTCACATCAATGTGGTTTTTTTTATCTTAATTCTATCAAATAACTTGTTAATGTGATGATGCGACACATATGTGTAGCTCATGCGGCTTTGGTTAAATGATTGAGATTCATATCAAAAAAGTAAACAAAAATCATAATTGATTAATTAAAATCTTAGGGTTAGGGTAATTTTATAAATTTGAGAGGGTTAGCAAAACATGAGATATCTCCAAGGGTGTTAATTTGTCTCTGAAAATATTTCGCAAAAATAAACAATTCGGACGTGTCCCAAAGATTTGCACTAATTTCTCCATGAAATCCAATGGCCGTGATGGTTTCGTCGGCAAATTCACATTTTCTTTGGTTTAAATAGTCACACATGTGCTTATTATCTGCAGATTCCATACTTTTGTCTCTAACATGGGCAGTGAGAGCAAAACTTAAAACAAACAAAACCGGAAATTATGATTTTCCCAAATTCTAAGATAGTTTTCTAGGTGAGTATCTTATATTCGGATTATCAATCTATTTCTGATATAATACGTATAATGTACATAGACTCATAAAATATCACCACATCGTTTAATTGAAAATTCAAATTCCATTCAGACAAATACATTAAGATTATGAATTTATTTTTTTGTTATAATCAAGGTTCTAAAAGATGTTAGGCGCTAGTCAGGTGGCAGGTTGGGGCCTAGCCGCCTATTTTTTTATTATAATCAAAGTATCTAAAAGACGCTAAGCGCTAGTCGGGTGGTAGGTTGGGGCCTAGCCGCCTAGGCAGCTAGGCAGGGGCCTAAGTAGATTTAAATAAATTCATTGTATATTGTATAAATAAGTGTCTATTTATATTTAAAGAAACACATAATGTATTAGGATACATAAATTACAAAATAAAATGACATATTGATTATAAAGTATTAAAACATATTGAAAACATGGAGAACAAGCATATAATGAGTGTTTATCCAAGTATTTAACAAGTTCTTTGCATTGTATTGACAAAATAAAATGCAAAATGAAAGTTACCGATTTTATGTCTAAGTGAGAGTTGCAACCTAGACGGGTTTAGGCAAGCTAGGCAGGGCACCAAGGCAGGCTAAACGGATACCTAAGCGAGTCTAAGCGCACTTTCTTAATCTGCAAACACCTAGGGACTAATTAGGATGGTGTCCAACTACCTAGTGCCGTCTAGACGCTAGATGAAATTTTTTAGAACAATGACTATAACACATGTAATGTGCATAAATTCACGAAATATCAGCACATTGTTTAATTGAAAAGCCAAAACCCCTTCAGACGGACATTCATATTATAAATAAATACTAGCATATTGGCACACACAAAGTGTGCGAGAAAATTTTTTATTTTTGTTTTTGAAATAGAATGAGAGAGGAAGAGAGTGATAGAGTATGCAGGAATGAGAAGATTTTTATTTATTTTTTTTTTATATGTTAGTATTACATGTAGATGAGGCTTTTAAAAAAAAAACAGCAAAATTTAATTGTATGAAATTAGATTTCTACATCATATTTCTTATTCATTTCCTGTTTGATTATAGAATTAAACTGATAATTTTATAAAATTTTGATTGACAATGAGTATTTTATTAATTAATAAAGGTACCGAAACATTTTGTCAAATGTAACCGGCCGCTACACTGAAAAAGTTATATGCTTTAGTGATCCGACACTTTTTGACTCTTAAGCATCCTAGATTTTTAAGGCAGAAAGTCCAAATGGCAACAGTAGTACAGTACACATGGTGGATGAAAAACGGAAAACATGCACCACACCACCGAAGATTTAAAAAAACCGGGGTAAGTGTGGCATTTGGTTTACATCTTCCAGTGTTCCAAGCAAAGTGAAAACCACGTAAACCAGGGGCCACACCAAATCTGAAAGTCAAAAGCTCTCCTTATCGTCTTCATCTGTACAAATAGCAACCCTCCTTTGCTTCCACTTCATTCCATTCCACCTTATAAACTCACTCATAGGTTTCGCTTTATCAGTTTTCTGAGACGAAGAAGCAACAGCAATCGAAATTCAAATGGAGGCAATTCAGTCTTGGGTTTCCGAACACAAGCTTACAAGCATTGGTGAGGACACACAGCACTCCAATCTCCCTCTCTTTTAATATTAATGCTTACTTTGTTCATAAATGATTTTAGTAAAAGCGGTTGTATTAAAACCTACAATAATGTTTTTAACAAAAATGTAAGTCATTTTTGAAAAGAAAGAAAAAACACTTAAAATGTTTCATGAACATGCATGTACTTAATGCAAAAAACATTTCAAACGATATTTTAACCCATAAGCACTTTGAACATATTTCTACCAAACAATATAGTCATAAGCGTTTTTAGTGATCGCGTTTATTTTAAAATCGCGTTTAATTTAAAAGTACTTTCAAACAAACTCTAATATGTATTAATAGTTAAGTTTGTTAAACGCAGTGTGCTTCTCTTTGCAAGACTGCAGCCAATTTCGAAACCCTCTTCTCTAGTTTAAATTAGATTAGAAGGGAATAATAACAATGTTAATCTCTTTGGTTTGTGTTATCATTATTACAGGAGGAATATGGGCATCGGCAGTTGGAGCATCTCTAGCCTATTCACGAGCAAGAACACCCCTCAAGCCAAGCCTTAGGCTTATACATGCTAGGATGCACGCACAGGCCTTGACCCTGGCTGTTCTATCTGGTGCAGCAATCTACCATTACTATGAGGACCATGAAGCAGCTGCCCACCACGATGGAGAAAACTAATGCTTCTCCAATAACCACCTGCCTAAGTCAGAGATCCATTGCATAATTCGACATCATCTTATTAGTTTCATTATTTTCTCTGTTTTAATTCCTTTCCCTTTTACTAGTTGTTGTATTGTACATCATATATATAAGGAGATCTTGGTTTATTGACGTATTTCTCATGTAAGTTTGAATCTCTTTTCCTTATGATAAAAATTGATTTCATAGATCGCGGCTGATAAAAACAGTATGATGAATGGTTTCAGGGCTTTGATTTGAAGAATGGTGATGAGTTGTTGAGGTGTTGACTAACACGAAAAATATATTTTGACGGTATTTTGTTTCTTGTTCAGGACTTCGGTTAAAATTTTAAGTTCATCTTAGATCAGCCCCACGCTTTGGATCAACACCTCAACACTCTAAACCCATTGATTACGAGTTTTGGTAAAAAAGTGTCCGTTTTAAAATTTCTTAAATTGCTGTACTCTTATCTTCAAAGAATTAAACAACGTCAAGGTGATCATGAATCATGATTGATCCGATCATTTTGGAGGGTGGTGTACAGACCAGCCAGGCTAGCTTAATTTTTTTAGAGCAACGACATGTAGACTAATTGTACAAGTTTATTAGTGTTAATTAGAGTAGCTAATGGTACGTGTTTTGCCTTGCACATATTTGCTGTTTAAGGTTGTAGGGCTGGAATGTCCTTTTCTTCTTCCTAACATTCTGATTCCTTCAGTTGCCATTTGCCATGGCATTATTCTTTATACATCTTAAATTTAATGCACTCATTGACAACAAATTAAAAATAAATTAAAACGCACTCAAAAGAAGTGGACTACCAACTTCACAATCTTCCCTAATTGACCATAAGAAGCAGCAGCTTCTCCTTAGTCTTCTTCCCCTACTTGTTTCCCTGCGTTTTCTCAAGGTTTTTGTGATACACAAAGGAAGATATGGACTGCTCCATCTGCGCTTCTATGCCATTTATATGTTAAGGCCTCCGAGGAATACAATTTGTTTGACGTGCTATGAGGGAGCTAGGAGCGTTATCTCCTTCATAAACAAGCTTCACACTGCTCGTGGATCACCTGATCAAAACCCTAATCTGTGTAAGGCAAGCTATCTGGTTCCCAACTTAATACTTTCTATGTCCTTTATATTAGCCACACTTTGAATTCTAACTTTTCATTCTCTTCATTGGCATGATTACTATGAGTTATACACACATGTACGTATTGGCTCATTTGGAAATGTGTTTAAATTAGAATATTATTCAGTTTTCTATTTTTGAGAAATTGTTGTGGTTCATAAAGTATATAATCAGTTTATGTGTTATAATATGAGTTTATATTTATTTATACAACATCCACATGTTCTAATACTAAACAATAATTTTCTGGTACTTAAATATGCTTCGTTATTTTTTCGAATACAAGATGTACAACATTATTTTGTTTGCAATTAGGATAAAAAATGAAAGAAAAAAAATTGGGCTTTATTTATCCTCATCTAACATGGGACTTTATTTCTCAATTCCGGCCCACTAACTAGGATGAAAGGCCCCTAAATCCTAGACAAACCTCAACTAGAAAAATCACAAATAGTCGAAGAATAAACCAATTTATACTTTGGAAAATAAAAAAACTCGTGTTCTAAGTTCTTTAAGCTCAAAACTTAATTATGATAAGAAATTATTATGCAATTCTGAATAGTGTCATTTTGTGATGTGCTGCTAATTTCTTTTCTCCTATAGACTCTCGAAAATGTATCGAAATGGGTACATAATATGAACGAAGTGTCCGAAGAACTCAATGAAGATTGAACTCCTAAGTGGGTTTTCTGTTGCACTTAGAGATAAAATCCACACCGACATATTGTTGCAACCTGATGATGGTCCTCCAGTCCCTGCCCATAGAGCCTTATTGGTGACTGATCTCCTTCTCTCTTTGTTTACCAATTAATTAACCAGTTAATAACATATGTACATGTAAAGTTGTTTTTACGAGGCGGTTAACCTTATTTTTCAAATGAGGACACGTGGTTGATATTGATGACATTGTTGATACTGTAAACTTATAGTTGTAAAGATGTGATCGACATAGTTATCAACAGATCATTGATATATCATCCGCGGCGCAGTTAACCACATATGAATGTATTGAGAAACCAATTCTAACTTTTACATTTAGGTTGTTAATGTCATGTACGTAGGCAATAAGATTAGAAATTTTTAACATTCTAGACTCAGATGGATGCAAGGCTCCACCAAACAACACCATAAAACTGCCCGAACTGAACCATGAAGAGCTTGAGTCTCTCTTGGAATTTCTGTACCATGGGGTCTTGTCAAAAGAGTGATGAAGTTTGATTTAGTGTGTTAATTTGAAGAAAGAAGAAGGAATTAATCACAAAAAAAATGGAGAAGAATTTGAATGCTTCACTCTTTGCAGAAATTGCAAAGAGAATGTTTTTCTCTCTATATTCCTTCACACACCATTACACTGTGCATAACAATTAGTTATACATAAGGATTCCTACAATCTCAAACAAAAATGATCTCAGCCACACATCTAGCTAAGTTCAAGGATCCTTCCATATGTCACTTAAACAGAATTACAATATGAGCCCTACACTTGGTGAAATTAACCAAAGTGGATACACAACTAAATACAAGGCTTATTTATCCTAAACTCAGATTCGCTCAATGCTTATACACTAACACTCCCCTTTAAGCTTTGAGCTGATATGACTCCAAGTTTATCTCAAAGGTAGTTGAACCTTTCCTTCGGTAAAGTTTTGGTAAAAATGTCTGCCACTTGATCTTTGGTAGGACAGTAGACCAAATCGATAATTCCCAGCTGTAAAGCATCTTTGATGAAGTGATACCTTCTATCAATGTGTTTTGTTCGCTGATGGAACACTGGATTCTTAGTTATTGAAATTACGGATGTATTGTCACATTGCAAAAGAGTTGCTTCTGTTTGTAGCTCCCTAAATTCCTCCATAACAAATTTGAGCCAGATAGCTTAAGTTGTAGCTTCTGATACACTAATATACTTTAACTCCGCAGTTGAGAGTGCAACACAATTCTACTTAATAGATGCCTATGAGAAGACTCCACTTCCAAATAAGAATGCATAGCCAGATGTGCTTTTGTTATTATCAATGGAACCTCCCCGGTCATTGTCACAATATCCAATTAAGACTGCCTTCTTGCCTTTCTCATACTTCAAACCATAATCCAGCATCCCTTTAACATATTTGAGCACTCTCTTGGTTGTCCTATAGTGTTTACTAGCAAGATTGCCCGCGTGATGTTGTAGGTTTCAAAGCTGTATAAAACGTGTCAAAATCCTAAATGGAAACATATACTTGTAATGAGGAACAACATAGGTTTCCAGGGATGGAGTACTTTTTATATAAATGTGAAAATTTATTTATAATCTTATTTACAATGAGGAACAAAATTGACCGAGGGTGGAGTAATATTTACATGAGTAACAAAATGTGTCCATGGGCAGGGTTCTGCATTAGGTAGAGCTTTCTCCTTTCTTCTCACATGTAGGTTTTGTTTTGTCTGTTACATAATTGGAAAAAACAGAAAGTTGTTAATGTACGTGAATAACAGTCTTAGTGCAAATGAGAGAACAAAACTTAAACAAAGGAATAGCATATGCTGTGAAGAGGCTGTTAAAACTTGTAAGAGTCAATCAATAACAACAACTTCAATTAATACATAGTTTGTTGTAATAGGCACATGAACATATTCAAAAGAAAATTCTAGTTAAACCTAGAAAGTTTTGTATTGAGGATTGTGGGTTTATCAATGAAGTAGAAGATGGTGGAAAAACTCGTATGCTTCCTCTGTCCTATTAAAATCTGATGAATAAATTGTAGCCTAATAATTAACAGAACTCCTCAATTAATCAAGACATGTTCAAATTCACACTAAAATAATAATTGGTTCCGGACCCACGATTCATCAAAATTCATGAATTATGACCTAGATTTTGAGATATTCATGTGAGGGTTTTCTTACATGCTTCTTTTTCTGTGTATGAAAACTAAAAGTCAAACACCGTCAGCAAAATGAATGCAAATTATACTAAAAACAGTGAGAAAAAACAGAAATTATATATAAATATATATATATATATATATATAGAGAGAGAGAGAGAGAGATATGGCAGAAGCAAAAAGCAACAATGATAATTGGAAGAACGGACATACTATACATATCTCCTTTTCTTTTTCCCAATTTATATTTACTTTTCCCTTCTCCTCCTTCAAGGGTCTCTTTACTTTCATGGTTAACTTTTTACTGTAATTGTCTTTTATCCATGATGAAAAGCACTTCTAATGCTAATCTCCTTGTTGGCTCAAACCATGTGGTATATTCAATCCTTTTAGGCATATCTACCATGGTCGTCTAAAATAAGGGATGAAGAAGGATGATGGGAGCAAGAAATAAAGAAATGAAAACAACTTAAATAAAATGTTTTTACCCTTCATTTTGTGCAGTCCTTCTATTACATTTCTTCTTCTAGATTTCTCCCATGTATTTCTACTTCCTCTGTAACGCAAAAATGAAAAATAAAAACTAAAGATATGAAATGCTTATAAAATAGGCCATACATTTTCATGTCCTAGATAAAGTTCCATGTTAATGGCATTACTGACCGTAATCTTTATGGGCATAATGGCTGACGTACTGGTGCGAGGATATGTTGGTTGGAACTCAAGGAGTGCTCTGTTGGTTTTAGAGCCAGGTCTTCCCAAGGTACATGGATATACAAATCCTACCTGGAGACTGCATAGGAGGGATCATGCATTCAAAGACGTTAGTAATTCACTTTATAATGAGTTACATATTTGATATTTGTGTCAAATTCGTATGAGCAGTACTTCTAATTGTGTGTATGTGCGTTTGCGCGTAAATGTACTAAAATCAAACTCAGGTTCAAGAAGATATAGAATATGCTGGAAGTCATTACCAACAAAATTCAGAGAGGATGCACTTTATGACCCGCCTAGTGCTGATGGAACCGCAACTATGAACATCGTTTAAAGCAGCCTTCAGGTGAGTCTTATGAATTGCGGACTAAGCAATGAGATTTATGATGTATTCAGATATCTCAACAAATTCAGTTAAAAAAAAATTATATTCCAACAGAAATAATATTGAAAACACAAATTTGAAAACCCAATTGCCATAACAAATAATGCAATTATTACCTTGCAAGAGGAGAACAGGGTGAGTATTGAAATCGGAGCAGCCTTCTCGACAACCTCATATGGTAACTTGTTAATCCCTTCATTAGAATCACACATTATCTAGTACCAACCAAACCAAACAATTAACTAAAAAAACCATCAACAACAACAACCAAGCTTTATCCACTTGGAGTTGGCTTAATTAAAAAATCCAAAACTTATAAAATTTAAACCTTAACTATTGGGAATTTAGATTGCAGGCAACCAACCTCTACTTGTTTTCTGCTCGTTTGCGTTCAAGTTGCAGACTTTTAGTGGACGCCATCTTGATGGAAAGACTCGTTTGCGCTCATGACAAAAACAGTGCAGCAAAACCTCTAAACATGCCCAAATAAACAAACATTACGTTTAGCAAGTGGTTCATTGTTGAGGGCAACTGACAAATGCAACAAAGAAAAACTACAATCTGTGAAAAAAAAAAAACAAAAACTAAAATTTCAAGCAAGAAAAATGATGTTTTTTCCTCCTGTAAGGGACCATACCAGTATCCGATTCAATCGAGGGTTTTTGTCTTTTTTTCGTTTTTTAAACTTCTGGGTTTTTCTGCTCGGATTCTAAGACGACCCATGATGGTGGTGTCCATAACCCATCTGTGGATTGTTGTGAATATTAATGGGGGTTTTGTTGGGTAAGCGTGGAAGCCCAAATGGGCGAGCTTGGTTGGCTGATAGCTGTGCAGAAATCAAACGATATCGGCGAGGATTTTCAAGATTCCGAATCTAAGGAAAGGAAAAGAAATCTACCTTTGGGGATGTCTGAGTGGTGGCGGTGGACGCTGGAAACGAGATAGAACCGAAGAGATTTTTGGTTCTTGAGAGAGAGAGCTGGAAAGATCGAGATATCTGTACTGGAAGCAATAGAAAAGCTTACCGCGATGACCAACACGTGGCCTTATGCTTTCGAAAAGGGATAACGACAGCTGGAACTCAAGGACCATTATACCCACACGTGTACCACAGGGATAAAACTGCCATTTTACTGTTAAGATTGAAAAATAAAAGGGCAAACAAACAGCAATACAGGGGCTAAAACGTCAAATCACTGTTAATGAACAGTGTTCATCAACTGAGTTTTAGTATATATAATTTGTAGGGCAATGCATATATCTAGCTAGTAAACTAGTTGCATACATCACATCCGGCCTTGTAGCAGTGAGGTATAACAAACTTCCCACAATTTTCCTATATTGCTCTTCACTTGCTACACCACTTCCATCATCCTTGCTTAATTTCTCAGTAGCAACAAGACGGATAGAGACAGATTTGCACTCTTTCAAGCCAAATTTATCCAACAAGGAAGAAGCATACTTCATTTGATGAATGAAAATGCTTGAATTAGTTTGTATCACTCTCATTCATAGGAAATGATGAAGGAGTCCTAAATCTGTCATTTCATATTTCACCTTCGTATCTTCTTTAAATTCTTTTAACATCTCTTCATTGCTTCTGGTATGTACTATCTCATCCACATATATAGACACAATTAAGATTTCTTTATCTCCCCTTGTCTTAGTGTAGAGAGTTGATTCACTCAATCTTTTCTCAAATCCACACTGGGTGAAGTAGTTGTCAATCTCTCCATACTAGGCTCTAGGTGCCTGTTTTAGTCCATAAAGGACCTTGTGCAATTTGTTGACCTTGTCTTCTTTGCCATCAATTACAAATTCCTCAGGTTGGTCAACATACACCTCTTCCTGTAGTTTTTCATTCAAAAATGCAGATTTAACATCTAATTGGTACAACTTCCAGCTTCTTTTTGCAGCAAAAACAATCAAGGTTCTGATTGTATCCAATGTAGCAACTGGAGCAAAAGTTTCATTGTAATCGATTCTGGTTTCTGCACATACCCCTTGGCAACCAACCTTGCCTTTTTCTTTTGTACTGAGCCATCCAAATTCAGCTCAGTTTTGAACACCCATTTCACTCCAATGACTTGCTTATCACTTGGCCTATCGACACTGCTCCCAAGTTCCATTTTTCTCAATCACTGACAGTTCTTCTTCCATTGCTTTTATCCAGGCCTTGTCTTATGCAGCTTCTTCATATTTCTCAGGTTCCACAATGCACAGATTACACTGTGCTAGAATGTCACTTATATTTCTCCACTTCACTGGAGTATGATCATAAGGCTGTGAGATCTTTCCAGACTCATGAATGATATTATCTTGTTCTTAAGTATTGGAAGGAGTACTAGAACTAGAGAGACTTCCTTCAATCTCACTCAACTTATGTGAATTCACACCAATCATATTTTCAGATTGATTCTAAATGTAGGTCACATCAACAGAATTCTCTGAACTTTCCTTCCAATTCCAGGACATGGTTTCATCAAAAACTACATCTCTTGACAAAATTAACTTTTTAATGCATGGATCAAATACCCTGTATCCCTTTTCACTTGTTGCATATCCAACAAACACACATTTGACACTCTTTACATCGAGCTTTTGTCTTATCTCAGTTGGTACATGCACATAACAGAGCGATCCAAACACTTTTAAATGATCAATACCTGGTTTTCTGCCACTGTAGGTCTCAAATGGAGTTAGATTGCCAAGAGCTTTTGTAGGTGACCTATTTAGAATGTAAACAGTTGTATGTACAGCTTCTACCCATAGAAAGTATGGCTTGCTTTTATCATGAAGCATTGCCTTAGCCATCTCTACAACTGTTCTGTTATTTCTCTCCACTACTCCATTCTGCTGTGGAGTATAGGCCATATATAACTGTCTTTGAATTCCTTCAGTCTCTAAAAACCTGTTGAACTCATTTGACACAAACTCACCCCCTCTGTCACTTCTTAGACACTTCACTTTGAAACCACACTGCAATTCCACCATTGCTTTGAACTTTCTGAAACAAGTTAGGCCTCATATTTGTGTCTTAGGAAATAAACCCATGACATCCTTGTGTGATCATCAATAATATAAAATATTTGTTCTTATCAATTGATTCATTTCGCATGGGACCACACAAGTTAGTGTGTATTAGTTCTAGTGGACTACTTGCTCTCCAAGCTTGTTCTTTTAGAAACCAATCTCAATCCCAACTAGCATTCTTCACATACACCATCAACATCTTCGAGATGTGGAAGACCATGCACTATCTCATTCTCTCTAAGTTGCTTAAGACTTCTGAGATTGAGATAACCTAGCCTCTTGTGCCAAGTTCAAGTACAAGGAATGATACTTGTCTTTAACACAATCTGATCATTATGCATAAAAAACAGAGCATAACACCTATTCTCTTTCATTCTCACTTTTATAACCAAACTATCAAGTGATGATCCATCAAAAACACTATATACTTTTCCTCCAAATAGCAAGTAATATCCATGCTCATGCATCTATCCAACACTTAGCAAGTTCTTTTTCAACCCGGTAAATACATCACTTCTCTGATATATTTCCTTCCTTTGGTTGTATCAATCACAAGAGATCCCATTCCTGCCACATTAACCAGATCACCAGTTGGCATTTGCACTTTTCCTGCCGCATTGGTTCTCACATCAACAAAAAGATTGACATTTCCTGTCATGTGGTTGCTGCATCCACTGTTAATGTACCAATTTCCGTTCACCTGTGCTTCAGTAGTTGCACAATTAGCATAAAATAGGTTACCTAGATACCTCCATTTGATTTGCACTGTTAGCCTTTTAAATAACCTTATCCACTAGTGCACTCCCTAGCCCAATGTCCAAATTTATCACAATTGTGACATTTGGATTTTCCCTTATATATGCACTCACCAAAGTGAAACTTTAAGCATACTTTGCACTAAGGTTTTGTCACTTATTGATTCATGGAGAATGATGAATTTGCATTCTGTGCAGGACCCATAAATGACTTTTGCTAAAACTTAGGCTTTGAATCCCACTTCCTACCTTTTACATTCCAGTTCTTCTTAGACTTAAGACTATTGGATTAAGAGTTACCCCTATTTTGTTGCCCTTTTGAACTTACAGAGAATGAGGCAAATGCTTATCAGTAGCATCAACAGTGTGCAAATCAAAACGTTGTTCCTAGCTTTTAAGAATTGCTAGAACCTTTTGTAATTCAACAGTCTATATACATTTTGTATTCTCAATCACAAGACAAATGGGATCATAGGGTTTGCTAAGACTGATTAAAACCTTTTGCACAAGTCTTTCATTAGATAACACTTCACCAAACGTCTTCATTTGGTTAATCAGTTCATTCAAATGTGTAAGATACCTAGATAATTTCATCGTCACGCATTCTAGTATACTCAAATTCACGTTAAAGATTTTGGAGTTTAACCGACCGTAACTGATCACCACCGTGGTATTCTCCATATAGCAGATCCTATGACATCTTTGCTAAATCGGCGTTGGCAATTCGACAGAATATTTAATCCGAGACTGCACTCTGGATAATACCCAAAGCTTTTGCATCTTGGATATATGCAGCCATTGTTTTCTCATCGTTTTCTTCTACTGAGCTTCCTTCAGCCTTCTTTTTCTTCTTTGAATCTGAGGTCGTAACCCTTTTTCAACTAATTTCCATAACCCATGAGATTTAAAGATCGTCACCATCTTGATTCTCCAGAACTCGTAGTTCTCACCAGAGAATATCAGAGTTCTTAGCTCAAAACTTCTAGATCCAGCCATCTCTTAGCTTAGATGATACGAGCACGAATCGAAATCGGATTCTATAGAATTCCGACAACTTCACCTGAACCGAAACGACCTTGAATGTAGCTTGATTACTTCAACGTTGATGACGTTAGCTTTACAGTTTACGCCCAGATCTCAAATGATTGAACTTGGCTCTGAGGCCGTGATGAAGTTTGATTTAGTGTGTGTTAATTTGAAGAAAGAAGAAGGAATTAATCATAGAAAAAATGGAGAAGAATTTGAATGCTTCACTCTTTGTAGAAATTGTAGAGAGAATGTTTTTCTCTCTATATTCCTTCACACAATGTTTTTCTCTCTATATTCCTTCACACACCATTACACTGTGCATAGCAATTAGTTATACATAAGGATTCCTACAATCTCAGACAAAAATGATCTCAACCACACATCTAGCTAAGTTCAAGGATCCTTCCACATGTCACTTAGACAGAATTACAATATGAGCCCTACACTTGGTGAAATTAACCAAAGTGGATACACAACTAAATACATGGCTTATTTATCCTAAACTCAGATTCGCTCAATGCTTATACGCTAACAAAGAGAAGATGAACAAACACATCTACTCCTTGTCCCTTGCAGCTGATAAGTACGGAATCTCGTACTTGCAGAAGCTATGTGAGCGTCATATGCATAAGTCTTTGAGCTCAGCCAATGCTCTTGATGTTTTAGAGGTCGCAGACGTTTGTTCTAGCCTAACACTGAGGGAGAATGCCTTGGAATACATTGTTAAAAATATGCATGACATAATTTTCTCTGCTAAATATGATACGTTTGCACTAAAGAATCCACATCGATGTGTACAGATTTCTAGAGCATCATTGATGGATGACAAAAGAAATTCAGTTGTAAGGGAATGTTATTGATTGATCATGTCCTTACAATTGTGCAAGTATTTACATCTAATTGACCCAAGACTTCTCGGAAAAGTATTTACGTGTGTACTGTTTACTATTTTTCACATCTTCAAATATTGCTACAATATTGCTTTTAAGATTTTTCGTTTTTGGAAAGACATTTTAGGATAAATCACCAAACCTATTCTCAAATTGTTTTATTTCATATGCTATTTGTCACTTGCGGAAAGCACATCTGTGAAGGAGGATTCAAACTCAAATGCCTAGGAGAAGCACATCCGCAAACCAATGTGATTATGCCAAAATAGTCTAAAATTCTATTTGTTTGTTTTCCTTTTAGAAAACAATTTTTTAAACCCTTTTTTTGAAACTTTTTACATACGGTTGAGGTAGTGGACTAAGTCTCACAATAAGCTAGTCATAATAATTTAGTCTGAATTTGCCTTAATTTGGTGGGAATCAAATCTAAGTCCTCTCACTTATAACTGAATAATACCATTAGATCGTAGTACGTACAAAGTAGGTAAAAACATTTTCTGAAACTTTAAACCTAAACCATACATCAGCCCAATATAACTCAAACAATAAACAGAAGCCCACAGATTAGCCTACAAGAAAAACGGAAAGATGGAAACCTTAGCTAATACAAAACCTAACCCGTTAATTACCAAAAAAATAGGCAAGATAAAAACCCTAACCCTAGTCTACTCAAAAGTCAAAACGAGGGTGTCGAATAGACATAGACGACCAGCCCGAAGAACATCTGGAGGGGGCCACTATTGTTTTCCAGAAAGATGATCTGATCTGTGAGAAGGAGGGTTACTAATGTAGAAGAGGTCGTTAAGTCTTATGGCCTTACATGCACATTGAACTGGAATGAATGTATGATGACAGTGGCTCCAACAAAAGCTAATTTGCAACAGCACTATCTTTGATCGGGGTTATAGCGCTCTCATGGCTGTTGCAGTTAGTATGCCCACAAAAATGGTTGAACCAATAATGTAAGGCACAGCTGCTTGCGGAGTCGCTTTTGTATATCCACAAAAGGGGATGGAGATGAGTATGGATGATTTTGAACTCAAGTACAATGATTTAATGGATAAACTCGATGACGAATGTGAACTTGCTAGAGAATTTTTCTGCGTGGCCTTCTATTCGTCAGAACATATTATTACTATTGCTCATACAAGTGCAGCAAGCAACAGATGCAGTCGCGGATCTCGTGCGAGATGAATATAGCCTTCATGGAATGATCAGGGTTGAGTGAGAGAATTATATAGTCAAAATTTACACTCTAATTTCATAAATGTCAGTTTTTATAAAAGCTATCACATATATCTAAAATTTTACTGGAATAGACCTCAATACCCTCAAAGTTAATAACAAACCTAACCCTAAATCAAAACACTACTAGATGAATGAACCTGAATTCATTTCCAAGAAAACTTGCTGTTTGACAATTCCATCCATAGCTCACGGTCTCATCCCCACCTCCCAATCAATCAGATATTTTGTTTATGATTTTAATTTTGCAATAAAAATTGAAATTTGTTTGTCTACATGCAATTCTGATGGGCTTTTGACAAAAGGTAGAGCTCCTAATGATCAGTGAACAGATGGCAACGTGCCATCCTTACCCCCAATTAGCCAGACTCTCGTTCAACTTTCCTAATATATTTCCTATTGATTTGTTAGGTTTTCAAGGCATACCGAAAGTATAAGAGCAAAAACTAATTATTATTTTAGTTTTTTTAATCGAACATTTCAAAACAATATGAAGGAGAAGGATAAGCAGAGGCAGAAGGGGGGAGGGGGAGGGTTGCGGCGGTGGGGGAGGCTTTGGCAACAAGTAAACAGTCTTGTTGTGAGTTCGAATGAAAAAGAATTCCAACGATTTTAGGTGTAGTGTAATTTGATAATAATTTTTAGGGCAGTTTGGTCTATTTAAGCGTGTTTTTACTATAATTGATAGTTTTTATAAAAAAAAAACTGATATTTATGAAATTAGAAGCTAAATATTGGTTACATATGAGAAATTCCCGTTTAGTGATGTGCCGTGCCACTCCACATGCATAACTACCCTTAAAAAATCCTTTGAACCACGTTTTCCATTTGATGTTATTGGCTGCTTTCTTTGTATCCTAGTAAGCAAGTATGCAGTTCTAATTAGTTTGACTTGATTTAACAATTGGAATATTTGCACTCTTTGTCTTTGACATTCACTGTTTCATAAGCATCTTCTTTGAAAGGAAAATCTATATATGTAGGTTAATTAATGAAAGAGTTTTACTGTGTCAATAGTTCAATCTTTTAAAACTCAGCCATATTGCATCTGCAATTAGGGTTAGGGAATGATTAATTTTGTTAATTATCCTTTTTTTTAATGGCATCCAGACACTCAAGACGTGTCCGGGTGGGTGTTAGAATCAATTGAAGAAGTTAAGCACAGAAGGAGAAGATGAAATTCCTTTGGGCCTGCATATGGACAGATGTTCTTGCTTGGAGCGACATACTTGTCCATCCTGGTGATAAAATCTCAATTCGAGCACATAAAATCATATTGGTAGCCCCGGCACTCTCTATGCTAGATCTGTTAATATAATACCCTACTGCATAAAAATATATTTCCCTAATTAATTAAATCAAACAGATCATTATCAATTGCATATTCTTGAAAAATTAGCTGAATTGATCAATTTACAAACTGTCAAAATTTGATAGTATTTGATTTTGATCAGTTTAACAATCAAAATTTATAAAATGATTATATATATAGGGATAGTGTATTAATCAATATATAATTGTAGAATGTGGACTTTAATTTAGACGTTATTTTGTATCAGAAACTATTGATCTAGTAAATTATAACGTTTATATACAGATTTCTTATATCAGAACCACCAGGGTGGGTGTGGGATTGTTATTGCCTATTAGTTGCTTGCAAGATAAGCCTTGTTCTCCAATCATTTTTTTTCTTTTTGTTTGGTGATATAGCTCCAATCATTTTGGGGCCTTCAATTACATAAACCAAGAGTACCTCAACCATTATGAAACGAAATGTCCTTGACCACTATCCTTACACGATACAGGGCCTTCATTCCATCAAGGGCATGTTTGAAATTCTAATTCTTGGACTCAGTACTCTTTTGATTTTTCAGTACCACTGCAAATCTACTACTTAAAAAAGTCTTTTAAACTTTTTCCAGATCTTAATTTAACTACACCCAGTAAATAAATTTTAAAGTGGAACTGAAGCGATGTATGACTAAATTTCAGCAGATCGTGGTCGCTCTGCCATTTACAAGCACTCTAATATTATTAATCAACCTAAGAATCAGAACTATTGATATTGATATGACCCGAAGTTGATTAATTATTCTTTTTATTTAATCAGGATCTAATTCATCCCATTCATATGAATCTAGCTGATCAAGCATTTGTAACTAAGTTGTTTAAAGCTTGATTAATTCCTTGATAATCAACATATCATTCATGCCATCCTAGCCAACTAGCTACTACAACAAAACCGATCTAATACTGAAGTTGTTTGAAGCTTGATTAATTCCTTGATAAGCTACATCATTATCCAAGAAAGCGAAAACTGATGATGATCATCATCAAACATACCTAGGTAGCTATATATAGCAACCGAATCTTGATTACTCATTTTCGGTATTTTCACTCCAGTTTTTTATAGCCACTGCCACTGCTTGCTTTACTGCATGAGCGTCAATGCTTTCACCTTCCTCTTCATTCTATACAATATTAAAGCGAATTTACCTTATAGCTGCTGTCATGAACAAGTTTATATATAATCCATAGTATTTATTTATATATAGAGAGAAATTGAATTGTCTTACTTCTCCTCCAACTGCCTGTAACCTGAAACTGTCTGCACAGGAAACCCTAGCTTCAAGCACATTGAGACCCAAGTCTTCGAAAGCTTCCAGAACGGACACAAGCAAACCTGGGCAACTCTTCTCAGAAAACGCATTTATCAGAAATCCTTTTTCTAGGGTTTCCACTGTAACCTGCTGAAAAAATAAGGACATATACAAATTATAACAAATTAAAAATCCCATTATATATTACTACGCATACAGCTAAAAAGGACATTAATAAAATATTAATCATAGCACCCGATATGGAAAAGGGTCAATTCAGTTTGTATAAGTACCACAGGCAACGAAGTTTGGTCACTTGACGATGAAGTAGTTTGTGCATTTACAATATCTTGATTCAGTCTTTCCACCTTTTGTTTTAGCTCTTCAATGTACTTGGAGGCATCTACTATGATGGAGGTTTTGTTTAGCTGAGACACATGCGCAAACCAAAAACTGTACTGTTAGACATGTATACTATCGATCAATAATCAAAACATATATGTACACACAAACACATATATACATATATAACCAATATGTATGTATACCTATATATACACACACAAACACACTCTCTCGTAGATTGGATATGTGTCATATAATTACATCAATGCCATAACTGACGGCTTGGTACATATAATGAAATTCCAAATTAATTGATCTCCCTCTTTAGATATATATATAGACGTAGTAAATTACACAAATAGATAATTGAATTCTTATCAATATAATTCTAATGCTCGATCCTCAGTTTAAAATCAAGATAACATACATAGAATATTGAGATGTTTCAGAAAACGAATATATATATCGGAGGGGCAGTCATGAGAGACACACACATACACACAAACCGTAAGAACTTTTAGCCTTCGACAACTCACAGCATACTACTTTTAATATTGTTTCAGTTTTCTCTTGATAAGCTTAACAAACCACAGAAATAAATTGGCTCCGAATATAATCTTAACAGAAATGTTCTCATGGCCATCAGGCAACAAGGAAATATATATATATAGTCGCTCACTCTTGGATTTGATATCAAAGGAAGAATTTTAATCTCAACCTTTGAAATCAAATTCAAAAGTGAGTGACCATGAATTCTTAGTAGTCAGGTGACCAAGAGAATGAGATTCAGAATAATAATTCCCCATCGGTTTAAAAATCAAGAGAGTGGTGCTGAAATGAGATATTTAACAGGGGGACCCCATTTCGCCCAAGTTGGTGCGAAACCGGAAAGAAAAGCGGTTTTTCTGGCAGCCAACACAAAACGAAACCAATTGCATGTATTTTGTGTTAGCGAAAAGAAACAATTGTAGTCTAGTGTATACAAAACTTCGAGAATTTAGGCCAATAGAATAAAGGGAAAGCCTGAGAAATGAATGCAGCAGGGGGAATTACAGCATGAGAGTTAGTAATAGAACGAAGAAGTTGCAGCTTTTCATAGAGTGCTGCCCTCTTGTGCTCCCTAGAAACCATGGAAACTGAAAAAAGTAGGATATCGGATTCGATATATATTTCAGATTTCCCAGCTTTCACTTTCGCCTCTCTTCTTTCTCTTCCTTATACAAGTCTCTGAAAAGCTCTGAAAGTTTTTATAAGAGGGCGATGAGCTCTCAAATCTATATGATCCTGTTTGCTTCGCTGCACATGACTGCCTCAGTTTTTTTTTTTTCTTTTCCCACAACAAATTAATAATGTACTATAGAAAACATATTTTGGCTGCAATTACTGACATGCCCCCGCTTTAAGGAAATAACATTTCTCGTTTATCCTTGGGATGATTAATTGCACATAATTAATCATTTGTCTTCTTATTTATTTAGTAATAATGGAGAGATTTTTCAATGTGACCGGTACACGGGTGGTACACCACGTGTCATTATACAAATGATAAGATATGTGTGCTAAAAAGGTAATAACTTAAAAAATAAAATTTCTCACCACTCATATTAAAACACATGATGTACCACTTGTGTTCCGTCACAATTAAAAATTTCTTGTACTAATGTGCTTCTTAAACCTAAAGTTTACTTAATTTGTTGGGTATAACAGTGCATATGACCAAATTGTTCCAGAAAAAATCGAATTCAACGTGACTTATTCACTAAACAAAATAATTTAACATGAAACAACACATATTCATCGTATCATGTATATACATGAAAAAGTGGAATTCAGCAATATTGCTGAAAATTTTCAGATAAAAAAACTTAACTACTTATAAATAAGATCACATTAATGTCCTTGATTAAAGACATGCATACCACGCCACGTACTACCTAAACTAATAATTTATATGAACTTTCCAACATTATCAAGCTGTTCAGCATAAAATCATAGATCATATCTGCAAAGTTGCTAATGATTAAGATTATACGGTATATATTCTTCTAGTTTCTAATCAAATTATATGGCCAAGTTTTTATATATACATGTCTTCGACAAAAAAAATCTATACATACATGTATTATAATTACTTATCTTTGCATATATATTCTGTATATAATTTATCTGGTGATAAAAACAGTAATAGTGATATTGAGAGTGATCAGTTTCACATGCATGTTTTTGGAGTAGTCTGCAAGTTGATATACAGAAAGCTAAGGCCACTAGATGGTAAGGTAGAAAACATTTAGGATCGAATATAAGCTTGAAAACAAAAGAAATTTTATGTCTTTCATTCATTCTGAATATTCATTTCACATATATATATGTATGTGTATGTGTATGTATGCACCAAAATTATGAATTGTTAGTGAATAAAGATGCGAAAATGATACAGAGAAAGGGGTAGAAGGGAAAAAAAAAGTGAAGCGCGGGAAGAAATGGGGGAATCATGAGCGCGTGAGGGAGATATATAGAGGGATCGAGGTGGGAGTGGCAACTGTGGATTTGTGGAATAGGCCAACCATCGAGCCATCGAAACAAGTGCATGAGAAGAGAAGCAACAAAATATGATCGCTACATGTTTAGTTTGTGAGTTTTGGAATGCCTCCAAACACGCCTCACGGGGTTTATTTTAGCTTAGCCTCTTCCCAAACACGCAATCCCCCTCCCCATCTCCGTTTTCCCTTTTGTCCTCTCCCTTTCTCTGTCTTCCTCTCTCAACACGTGCCATGTCTACCTTCTCATCATCTCTAGCTAGCAAATAACCTTCTAGTTCATATTCATTATACCTTCTTCTTGACAAACGATGAGATAATCAACATTAAATAAGATGATTCAAATTTGAGTGTAAGGAGATATGCATATATACAATCTGCCCAAATTGGTTACGCTCGCATCTGCTCATCATACCCTCTTTTAATTTAATTAAATTTTTTGAAACTCATATAAATATGTACCATGTATATGCAATCATAGATGCATAATATTAAGTATTTATGCATGAGGATAGTTGATTTCATCATGTTCTAACTAGCTACTTGTTCTTTATACTAATTAATCATGAACCCAAATCTATTTATAATTTTATATCCATTCCAGGACCATATGATCATTTTGAGTGCAACTTGCAGGTCAGATTAAGTTAATTGAATTAGCGCTTCTTTAACTTTTGACAATGCATTTGCATATAAACTTATAAAAGATTAGTCAAATATTTCCAAAAATATATTTCCTTCCATGGACAGGTAGATGAGGAAAAAGAACCTCAGCTTGCACCAAATACCAATAAGCTTGCAAGTTAAATACCAATTTCCATCTGCAGTCAATATATGTACTTTTTATGCATGACGAGACCTTTATATTTATGAATCAAACATATATAGTCACTACGTGTATATATGTATAATTGTAAATGTACATTTATAGGAGACTTAAGAGCAAGAGTTTTCCCTAGCTAGTCCTTGTTCGTTCGAGCATTGTCTCCATTCGCCACAGAGACAAATCACGTACTAACTCTATTCACATGTGTGCCCATTAATCATTACAACCGAACAATACTCTACATACACATACCCTGCTCCCAACCCTTGTCTCTTGCCCTCCATAAAGTAGGGTTTCCTTAGCTTATTTTTAATTTTTTTTTTTATTTCCAAGAGTTAGGGTTTCCCTCAATTATTTTCCCAGATTAGTTTTGGTTGATCATGGCGCATGCGCTTTGATTTTGTATATGTAAACAGATCCATCATAATTTTGATTTGATTTCTCATGCAACTTACTGATCAGGTAGTGCTGGGTTAATTGGTTTTATCTCCATGAAATGCACTACTTGTAATACGCTGGAAGGCATGAATCAAAATACTGAGCGTGACCTGATGCTTATCGATATGATAATATACTGAAGAAAAAAGTAGGAAAAAACAAATTAAAACAGATAAGCAATAATTTGTCTTGATACCTTTGAAACCTATTAGCTAGCATTTCTTCATCAAATTGAAGTGACTGATTTCGTTTTATTAATTTGTTCAGTGCTGTCCAATTCTTATCAGGTTTTCCGTAACCCTTTTTTTCCCTTAATAATCCCTAACCATTTTACATTTTTATTTGATTTGGAAAACCTGTTATGAGGATATATGCATGCAATTTCTACTTGGTTGATGACAATGAATTGATTCATTCCGATTTATTTTACAAATAAATAGATGGTTACGCAATGTTAGTTTATCGGAGTAGAACGATATGTAGGACACAGAGGTTCACCCGCAAACCAGAAGGCAAAGGATCTTAAGCTCTATTTTACCATCCCTCAAACCCAAAATGCAAAGGATTTTAAGCTCTATTTTATCATCAATTTTGAGGGTTATAAATTAACCTATTATACGTACTCATCTTAGGGCTTGTTAGTTGCCAAAAAGTTGGAGGTTGCTGCAGAAGAATCTTTGAGGATTTGATTGTTCTCATTCACCTGTTTCATAATGAAGGGAATGCTTTGGGGTATAAACCCGACTAAGACAAATATGCTTATATTTTATCTTAGGTGGTTCAATATCCTAGTGAATATGTTGTTATGTTTCTACTTATGTGATCCAGGTTCGAAACTCTCATATTTCTTAAATTATTGTAATAGTTTTGGCCCCCTCCCCTTAATATTAATGCATTTTTAAAAGGCTTTTATTTTATTCATTTTTAATTAATTAACTGATCAACGTAGGACATATGTACGCGTTAAACTCTGTTGTATTTGTGAGATCACAGCAATAATGAAATTCTTAACTGTTTATAATAATCTCAATTAGAAAGTGATATGTAGTTAATTATGGTGCACTACTCATGACCTGTACGCGTTTTGGTGTCTGTTAGGTATCCAAAAACATGCGACAAGCAAATCAAAATAACAACAAAGAATTGGAACCAATTAATTAGGGCATGCACAATCATGCAATGAAAGTATTACTTTATTCAGAAATGCTTCTCGTGACATTCCATATTATTTGAAAATGGAATAAAAATCTCATATAATGACAAGCCTTGCCACAATCACCACATAAAGCCATCGTTTTGTAATGCTTGACAACAAATCTGTGCTCCTTCATAAGGTTCCAAAATTCTGTGATTCACTTAAAAAAATAAGCCAATAAATTGTTACTGTCATATACAAATACATAAACATTGTGTCCAAGAAATATTCTTTAGTGTAGTAATATGTATATAGGATTCTTGTGACTCTTGCTAGCAAAAAACTCACGTGAGTTGCACTTTGGGAACGTACATTCACATGCAAATGTAACAGTGGAAACAAAATTTATTTGATGTATAAAGTTGAGTGATAAGGGCCTATGTTGTTCATAGAGAGAGAGAGAGAGTTCTTGTAGGCAATTGAAGAATCTACATGCAAGGATAACATATATATATATATATCAGTGACAATATCCAAAAGTTTGGTTAGATATATCAAATACATACACATTTACATATACATTCATTCTAAGTTGCAGTTAACTAACTTTGCAGGCAATATATTGAGAATTGTTATTATTGGCACTACAAAATTTTCATTCTACACTGCAAACTTTCTGTATTTAGAAAGAAAAATACACTTGTGAAAAGTGTAGAATGAGATTTTTGAAGTGCTAATAACAGTTCCCTATATATTAACGGTAATAATAATAACGACAACATATAAATCATATATCAAGTGCATGTTCACATTTAAGGAACTGTAATGACTCACAAAGACATTTCAACTACCTCTAACCATCATTGTGTAATTCACCGACGCTACAGGTAATTGCAACCTAGAATATCTCTTTACATATGCACTTACATAAATGATTAATTCATTAAATAGATTGAAGAAAATGTCATTTTCATCCCCCATGTATCCCCCACACTCGAGAATAAAAAAGGTCGTTGTCCACCGTCGTCATTTTAGAATTTTTAGCTTACAGTTATATAATCCCTACAAATTGCTTTGCTGTAATAATCTTGTTATGTGCAGAGAGAGCACCCATGACCCTTGTTATGTGCAGAGAGAGTACCCATGACCCATGCAAACAAATCGGCCTAAGACTTCATACAGCTGTATCGCTTTGTACTTTTTCAAGCCAAAATATTATTCTGCCAAATATTTTAAAATGATATCGGCATGCATTGGTTTCTTCTTAAATTAATAACCTTTATACTTTCGTTTGTGTAATACATGTTCTTAAGAAATTAAGTTCTTATATAAAGAAACAGTATGTTGGTTGGTCACTGGTTAATCGATCTATTGACTTATATGCATGGTAAGCCAGAGCAAAAAATTAACGACAGATTAAGATGTATTGAAAGTCATTTTCAATTGGATAGTGCTATATACGTACATTTTTACCTTCAACATACTTTTGTTAATTTGTGTTCACTGATCTTCTTTATTTCTTTCAATTTGACAGCAAAAAATTAAGAGAGGTGTGTAGGAAATAAAAATTGGTAGATAGCACCACCCTTACAATTTCTGAATAAGAATCTAAATTTGGCGTACACTTTGATATAATACTCAAATGCTTCTTTTGGTGCGCAAGATTAGATTGGAATTTTATTCTTTATATTAGAGTGATTTTATTAACAGGGACCAACAAATACAAAAGCGTGCCCGTGCCCCTCTAATAGGCTCGAAAAATATGGTTGTTTGTGTCTTCTAAACGCGAGCAACCAATCCAATGCCTTTCACATATTTTTAGTGACCAATTTCTTGATCTGGAGAGAAATTAGTGCAACCAAAAAATAAGTTAAACTCCTATACAGCTACCGCAAGAATTAAGAACATACGGTACTAATCTGCCACAAAGAAGATTACACGACACTCGGCATTAGATGCGTGTACAAATAGGCCTTTACTAAACTAGTGAGGCCACATCAAACCATCACTACAATAACGAGGCCACATCAACTCGAGACACCAAGACATCACAAACGTGAGAAGTGGGGAATATCACAAAAATTTAAAACCTAACTAATCTGAAAAGGAAACCACCAATCAACTCATCTCCACAATACGGGCAATACCGCTTCTGAAAATATCCATAGCATTCATTGAAAGAGCCCCAGAGTGATACTATATGAGGCATGCAATCTATATTGCTTACTTTCCTTTTATTTATTATTATTTTTTAATCGAAAACTGAATTTTTATTTTTGTAAAAATAACAAAGTACAAAAGATTTGGGGAAGCAATGGAAGCCTCATTAAAAACCTCCAGAGAAGAGGGAAAAAAGAGTACTTCACCAAATTACTCCCCACTTACATTCAATTATCATTCTCCAAATCTACTTCCAAGAAAGGAGCAAGCCAAATTGGCTCCTCCTCCATCCATGTATGAAATCCATCATTATAAAGTCCAAATTTTGCTAACTCATGAGCCACCTTATTTCCTTCGTGTCGTTGCCACTGACATGAAAAATAAGTGAATCTCTTCTTCAGGGTATCAATCTATATTGCTTAATACTCTTTGTCATCCAAATTCCAATATAAATACTATTATACCCTTACATGAATACTTGAAAGAAAATATTAAAAAATAAAAAATATGGACATTAAAATAATTCCGCACAGAAATTTTTTTTCTTCACCTACATATGATCAAAACATATCTCTAATTAAAAATTAAAAAAAGAAAAAAGAAAAAAACCCACGTGGGTTTCTCTCTCTCCCTCTCTCTTTTACATTTCTCTCTTTTCAATATATAAATAATCATTTATATTTACACACTGTATATATATTTAAGGTCAGTTACAATTTGCATTCCTTGTGGTTTACGGCATGCAATATATTTTGCCTCTAATTTTTTGAAATAGAGGTGAATATAGTGATAAACATATAGAGCTTAAAGTATGTCTATCAAGTGCCATATATAAAAAATATATATACAGTTAAGTTGTAGATGTCTTGCGTCTCGGATCATATGAGGTTTAAGTGAGAGGATTAGTCAATCAGACGTGGGTCTGAGTGACAAGATTAGTTAACCTAATTATGTGCCCACGTTTGGTTTTATATCTTACGTCCAGAGACACGAGATCTTAGTGATAGGTTTAGTTAACCCGACTTTCTCTAAAGATTAATTATCTTGAAGGTGACATGAAAATAACTATGGCGGTGGCCTCGTGTGATTTTCAAGGACTTGACATACGTACCCATCATCTTGGAGCCATCATCTTGAAGGTGTCATATTATTACCGATATTGTCCCCAACTTGTTAATTACCAAGTTTTATCACAAAAAACTTCGGTATAGTTAGACTGAGGTTAGGATGTCTAGAGTTAGGATATTTAAACTCTTCTTTTCTCAGAGGTACGGTTGATGCGAGCTATTTCAACACGCCTCCTTACCTGAAACACCTAATTAGTGGGTCACACACAGGAGATCTACACATTGGCAACCAAGGGGGCTCACCCTACACGCGGGGCCAAAGGACCCACCATCATCTCAGTGGGCCAAGGAGACCCACCCATCATGTGGTGGTATGGGTCCGCTCTCTGACTCCGATAACATGTCAAATTATCAGAAAAACAAGCCAAATGCCTACTTCTAACAACATCGATATTATCTTCAACTTGTTAATTACCACCTACACAATCTGTGAGGTTTTATCACAAAAAAACCTCAATATTAGTTAAATTATAGTTAAGATATTTAAACTCTTCTTTTTTCAAAGATACGATCGATGTGAAATATTTGAACCGAGGTGACCTACGTATCTATCATGACAAACAATGGTCTATGTATAGCATCATTATGCATGGCCTTAAGTCACAGAGGGCACATAATTGTTCTATTTCGAGTTGCAATCAACCCCACCGAGTCATTGATCTTGACCCAGATAACACAATAAAAAATTTATAAAAACCAAAAAAAAAATAAAAAAAAAATAAAATAGAGGTCACGGGGTCGGTTGTAGCCATCGAAGATGACATAATTGCAATCACAATGATGAGAAAATAAAATAATTTGCAAAAGTTGTATGGAGCATGGCAAAGTAGAGAAACCTGGATCATATATCAAATGTACGTGTCCCTAGCTATGTGTGTCTTGTTCATCACAGGTAAATTGGAACCTGCAAAGATCCTCCCAGCGATGGCAGAACCAGATGGATCTGTGTGTGTATATAATGCATATATATATATATATATATATATATATATAAAGTCGATTCCAAGCCAACAAGGCTCTCCTCTTTGAGGGGGTTGGAGGGAGGGGAGAGACGTCTATCATACGCAACTCTACTCTTGCTCTGCAAAGATGTTGTTTTCATGATTCAAATCCGTGATCTTTTGGTCACAAAGGAGCAACTTTTCTGTTGCGTAAAGGTTTGTCCTCATATAATGAATATGTATATATGTATATATTTGTACAAGCAAAGCAAGAGAGACATCTCAAAAGGAAGGGTGTTTTCAACTGTTAGGTTGCTGTCTTTTTGTTGATTTTTGGATACTGTTTCAAAGGCACAGATTGTTGGCTCTCTTACTGCTTCATGTCCTCTTTTGGCTTGCAAATTTTCTAATGCCCCACAAGCTTAAGCAAAAGCCCCACAAAGATAGGAGACACAACTGAGATTTTGGGTTGGAGATTGGAGAAGCAAAAGAGTAAAAAGTTTTTAGCCACCTTGTAGAGAAAAGGAAAATTCTACAATGACACTACACATAGCATCAACCAAGTGAATGAACGACTAAACGTGTGATTAGTAATTCAATGGATGAAGATCAAACAATTAATGATCTCAATGTATGCTATGATCTGGTCCATACTAGAAAATTCCCAAGAGAAATGGTTTGTGCAACGGCCAAACTGCCACATGATAATTGGTGTACTGATCTATGAGTTATGGTATGAGCGGACGACACAATTGATATGCACAAATATAGGATTATAACATGGAAATTAGTAACACCACACGGTGTGGTACGTGGATATGCCGATCAAACTCCAAAACAATAAGATTTATTGAGTGAAAGGAAGTACACACTTTCCTTGCTTTTATTCAGTTAAAAAAGCTTATATCCTCTAGAGAGACTGGACAAGGCACAGAATTTTGAACATGGATTATGAATGATTGAACCCGCAATGATATGTGATGTGAATTCCTTCAGTAAATATATAGTGTAGACAAAATATGTCCCATCCCCATTTAACACACTTTAGGAAAAGTAGCCAACATCCTCTCATCAGCTCATTACATAAAACAAAGCTGATTAGTGACCTCACTATATCAATCAGAATGTGTGGAAACCCAAAACACGATGAGTTGAATAGCCTGACTTCAGAATAGGATTTCCACTTGGTTTTCCTCAAAGTCGGGAGAAAGACTTACATGTAACGGTTTCATACCCTCTTCCCCTGCACCTCTTAACACGGAGTGTGAAATCCTGTGCAGCCATACAGTTCAATACCTTTGTATCGGTGGGTGTTGTCGAATAGTTGTGAGCCCCAGGGTCCTTCATAATGAACTCAAGTCAATTCTGCCACTTGACCCTATACACAGCCTCTTGAGAACACCGCATGTGCCCGAAAAAACTCTCTGATCAGAGAAGCCAAAAATCCACCATAGTCCATTGCACAATGATATTTCGTTGCCAGTCAATGAGATCAACATTCTTTCACAAGTTCATTGAACCAATGTGGCAACATGAACTTTGTGGGTTTTTCATCTGTAGCCTGTATGTACCTCGATGCTCCGCTCCCAAGCATGAAGAAGAACTGAGCAGCTGAAAAAAAATCCTCGAATGTACATGGCAGTTCCGCCCTTGGAGTTTTATCATCCAAAGATTCATTTACTCTTTTTGATGCTGCCACTTCTCTTTATGTTGATCATATACACCAGACCTGAACATTTTGTCCCCCTACTTGACATGGTTATATTGTTGACATTAATCTTTTCTATTCAGCAAGCTCATCCATGCATCCCCCTTTTTTCTACCAAATTCATATCTTGCAATACATAACGCAAATCTGGAATGTAACCCATGGATTTAAGCTTCACTCTCAGCTCTTCTAACTTTGCATAAATATCATGCTTTTCCGGATGTTGTTGATCCCCTGCATAAAATTTGTGGATTCTACCATTCACAGAAATCCAACTACAACCCGGTTCCTTTTTCACACCTCTGTCTTTCATCAAATCCCTCAGACTAAGTCCATCTTCATAACTCCCTGTCCTGATGTAAGTGTTGGATAGAAGAACATAGGTAGCTGAGGATTCTGGTGTAACCGAAAGAATCTTCTCAGCTGCAATCTCCCCCAAATCAACATTTTCATGTACCCTACATGCTCCCAACAAAGTCTGCCAAACCATTTCGTTGGGCTCAATTGGCATTCTTTCTATGAACTCCATTGCATCATTAAGACGACCTACACGACCTAAGAGATCAACAATACAAGCGTAATGTTCCATCTTTGGCACCACCCCGTATGATTTTTCCATTTGATGAAAATGATAGTGGCCTTCATCTACCATACCACGGTGGCTGCATGCAAACAGAACACACAATAGCGTCACATCATTGGCCTTCACACCCATCTGCTCCATTCTCTTAAAGAGTTCAAGAGCATCCTCCACAAGCCCATGTTGAGCATAGCCTGATATAATAGCAGTCCACGACACTGTATCTGGTTCAGAAATCCTCTCAAAGACCTCTTGCGCCTCGTCTATATTACCGCACTTGGCATACATATCAATTAGAGCACTTTCTATACACTTTTCCGAGTCCAAGCCAGCCTTGCAAAGGAGGCCGTGGACTTGCTGACCATACTCCAGGAAACAAAGGCTGGCACATGCAACAAGCACACTAGAAATGGTAAACTCGTTCGGTGTAAAGCCTTCTTCTCTCAACTTCGAGAAGACTATCAGTGCATCCTCCCATTCAAAACATTGTGAACAAGCAGTCACCAGTGTTGTCCAAGACACTAAATCTCTCTCTTCTATCCTGTCAAAGACCTTCTGTACGTCTTTGAGCAACCCACATTTGGCATATGCATTGGCAATTGCATTGGAGATGCTTGTAACCTTCATTTCCACCCCAGACTTCAAAACCATCCCGTGAATTTCCTTTCCCAAACGCAAACATTTCAAAGCAGCTATTGCATTGAAGACACTGCAGTAAGTGTATTTGTCTGGTTGTATATTGTTTACACACATTCTCACAAAGAGCTCCAATGCTTCTTGGCTGTGACCTGACTGTGAATAGCCAGAGATCATTGCATTCCATGGTGGATTGGTTTTACAACTGGTGAAATTAAAGTCAAAAACAGATCTTGCATCAGACACAGACTTGCATTTGGAGTACATATCGATAAGAGCAGTTCCCACAAGAACACTAGACTCCATGCCCAATCCAGATGCATAACTGTGAACAATTTTGCTCTTGTCAACATTACCTAACTTCCCGACTGCTTTCGAGACACTGATGAGTGTATACAGATTTGGTTTAATTCCTTCTTTCTGCATTCTTACAAATTGATCAAATGCTTCAGGATGAAGGTCATTTGATGTTAACCCTGAAATCATTGCATTCCAGGAGACTTTATTATGTTCAGTCATGGAATTAAACATCCTACACGAATTCTCAACCATTCTGAACTTTGCATACATGTTAAGAAGAGATGTACTTACAAAAGTATCAGACGCAAAGCCTCTTACAACAACCTGGGCATGCACCATTTCGCCCAATTCGATACAATCTAACCCAATGCATGTCTGCACAACCGCCGAATACGCAAACTTGTCTGGTAAAATTCCACTATCCACCATATCACAAAAGAACTTAAACCCATCAAGAAACAACCCACTCTCTGTCGACCCAACGATCATGACTGTCCAAGAGAATATGTTCCTCACCGGCATTTCATCAAACACTCGACGAGCTTTGTCAAAATCCGAGCATTTCGAATAGGCATTGGCAACATGGTTCAACACCACCAGCAAGTCCCTGTCCGAAAGCTCGGATTTTAACACCAACCCATGAACAGATTTAACTTTTCCTACAGAACCCATGTCCTCACAACCATAAAGGATATCAATTAAGGGTTGAATTTGAAACCTTTTCCGAGTTTCATCAACAGAAACTAAGCTGGGAAATTTGCTTCCATTGGGTTTCTGGGTTGTTGGAGATGATTGAATTAATGTTGAATTTTTACTCTGCAATCAATTAAGTTTGATATTATTATTATTACTTTGTGAATGAACGAACATGAAGTTAACGAAGAAAGAGAGACCAAAACAGCAACAAAAGAGGCAGAAGAGAGAGAGAGATGGAGTTGCTTACTTTGTTTTTGGAAGTCGAAGCGGGAAGAACCAGAGGATAAGCAGGTTGAGGAAAGCCCAATTTAACGGCGAGACCCATGGAACTCCGTCGCAGTTAGCCGATTGTCGTCTTCCAGTGATCACAATGAGGTGATGAAGCTGCTGATGCTTATGCTTTGAAATGTCTCTCCGTTATCGGAAGTTATCTTTTCCGATCTCCACCACAATATTCTACAGTACTCTACCGAATAAATAAAAAATAAAAAGCTTCTGCCAAAAAAAAAAAAACATATGTAACTTTAACGAAAAATTTCGATACGGTTGATTTTAACAAAAATTTATATTTTTTTATTAAAAAATTAATTTTAATACTATTTATTTTATTTTTTATGTTGTCCATATAATTAAAATTTAAAATTTTCATTAGTTTAAGAATTTGAAAAGAAAAAAAAAACTAGTTAGCGAACGACGCCGTTTACTTGCCATTCAGAATTAGGGTTTATAAACGAACCACCTAAACCCGCAGAGAGAGCAGCGCACTTAAGAACTCAGAACTCAGAAATAGAAGGAAAAAGGCGATGGGGAAGAAAGCCAAGACCTCCAGGAAGGGAAAGAAGGCATGGAGGGCCAACATCAGCACCGAAGACATCCACGATTTCTTCGAGCAGTCCACCAAGGACGCCCTCTCCGGCGGCTCTCTCGCCTCCGCCCCCGCCGAGTCTCTCTTCTTCGAAGACAAGTCCAAAGGTACCTACTTTCTCCGGAGCAATGTTTGTACCTTCATACCCTTTTGCTTTGGCCAAATTCCCCTATGTATCCCGCTTCCCTGTGGTTGCTAGCTGGTTGACATTGAATTAATTGGTTTTCTGAGTAGGAAATTAGAAATTTTTTTGAGCTGGATTTTTGTGTTGAACTTGTCGAGATGCGACGCGAACGAATAAATGGAAGAGTTTGATTGAATTTCAGATTATTTATTTCGAAAATTTGATTGGTTTGTTGCATTTCTGTTAAATGAGCTTACTTTAGCTCAATGTGAGTGATGGTAAAACAAACTCTGATCATTTACGAAGAACTGTATTTCGAAGAAAATGAGGGCCATTTTGCTTGGATAGAATTCAGCTTGAATTTGATTGTTTAGAGTCGTTTTATGGCTTGGAAGGAATCTTGTTGTATTCAATCTGGGTTTTGAAAACTGTATAGAAATCTGGAGTGAGTCAAATAGTCACTTATTGATATATATACTTTAATAAGTATGGAGTTTGGTTCAGTTCAGTTCTTTCTTGTGTTTAATGCTCTTGCGTTTTCTTAATCGTTGTCCTTTTTTACGTGGAACTGAACTTGTATGCTTTGGCCTGACCAGATCTTTCGGTGAAGAGGAAGATTGAAAAGCACAGACAGAAAGTACTCCATGTTGAAAGCGTGCTACAGAAAAATCCATTTGTACAACCAGTGCCTTCTTCGACTCTGAAGAAATCTAAGAAAGCACATAAAAAGGTTCCAGAACTAATAGATGAATCTGGATGGAGTCCTGAGGTCAGTTGTTATATTATAAAATGTAAACCTGCGGACGTTATCTAGTTCTAGCGATTTGGTATTAATTTTAGTTTGAATCTGGCAGCGTTCTGTCTCATCTTCTGGCATGGCTGACTTATGGGGCTACACAGGTTTCCTCAACCTTAACATCTATTGCATTCTTTCCACTATTTTATTTCTGTTATTTTCTTTTCATACATGGTTCTGTGCGTTGTGTTGACTGTTTTTAACTCTTGTGCAGGTGATGACAACAAAAAAACCAAGAAGGTAAGGCTCATTGTTTAAGTTCAAGAATGTGATCATGTTATTGTTCATGTTGGTTTTTTTCTGTTTCTGTAACTCTAATTCACTTCAGGTAATGCGTGAAGAGCACACTAAAATGCAACTTCTGACCACCAAGTCATAATTATAAATAACAAGATGCGTCATGGATCACATCTTATGTGGGAGTCATACAGACTCCGAAGCAGCACTAGGCTGCTGTGTTATTGTTTGAATAGACACTGTTTTTTATAACATTGCATAGCTCTTAGTTGATATATGTTTATTGATTTTTTTTTAAGACGAGGAAGCCATCAATTATTCCTGCCGTAGAAGTTGAGCCTCCAGGATCCTCATTCAATCCCACATTTGAAAGTCATCAGGTAATTTTTTAATATCACTCATCTAGTACATTTTTTGTTTGTTGACCTTTCAGCTTGTATGGCATAAAGTTTTCTCATCTTTGCCTCTTTTGTCAATCCAGGAAACATTGGCTCATGCTGTTGCAGAAGAAATGGGGAAAGTCTATAAAAAAGAGCTAGGACCTCAACCAGTTCCTCTAACTGTTCCTGGAGAGGCTGTTGACGAAGAAGAAGTGAGTATCTTTCGTTCCTTTCATGTATTAGTCATCACTGGGCTTAATGTAGAGCTTTACATACACGTCATAAAAAAAAATTATAGTTGTCTTGGATAATGAAATATTTTTTGGTATAAAGAATATAACTAGGAATCTTAACAATTGTAGTACAAAACACGATGGACAAGGAGTCATAACAACAAGGATTTTCTATTTTACATATTACTTTAATTTTTATATTCATAAATGAGAATCTTAGACTACCAATCTACTTTTTTAGATGTATTTTCTTGAGGCAGATGAAGGCAGTGATGACAATATGAATCCAGAAAATTTGGATGAGAATGGGGATGCTGCATCCGAGAAAATGTGAGCCCCGTTTTTGTTTGATAATGGGTAATTTTATATTGTATGCATTATAAGGTCATCTAAACTAAATGCCATTAGCTCATATTGCTTGAAAAAACATGGTGCAGGCCTTTAAAAACAAAGAGGGTAACAACAGTCATATTAAATAAGAGAGCTAGGCGTAAAGAACAGCTTAAAAAGGAAGCAGAAGCAAGACAGGCGAAGCAACTTTCCAAAGAAATTGATGGGTAATATACTTACACAACTTTTGTCTCTACAGTACTCTGGTGAAGATTACATTCTAATTTTTGCTTTGCCCTTTGGTCGCAGCTTACCAGATATCATTCAAGAAATAGCGAAAGAGGACGAGGAGAGGCATAAAAGACATCTTCGACGAGTTGTAGCTAAACAAGAAAAACTCAAGTCATGTCCCCCACGATTGGGGAAGCATAAGTATGTCTTAAACAATGCTCTCCCTCTCATACACACACATTTAGTATAGTTTGTTTGTTTACCTTCCTATGTATAATCCTTCTATTACAGGTTCGAGCCTGCCCCGGTTCAAGTCCTCTTGACTGAAGAGATATCAGGATCCCTCCGGAAGCTTAAGGTACACTGCACTTTTCTTTTTTTGCCAAAATTTTCCCACTTTTATTCTGTGTTCAGATAAGACTAAATGAAAGTCTTATTGCTTTTCTTTTTTTCCCCCAAAGGGTTGTTGCACCCTTGTCAATGATAGGTTCAAGAGCTTCGAGAAAAGAGGACTAATCCCGCCAAAAGCGAACAAAAGGTTTGTCAATCTTCTCTTCGTGTCTTAAAACCAAGTTTCTTTGAGGGTTCACTGGATTTCGTCCGAACTTTAATCAAAACTCGTTCTTTGTTTCCTCACAAACAACTTTAAGATTTCTCTACTTCTTTGACAGGAAATAGAGCCTTTTTCTTGATTTGATTAACCAAGATGAAGCATGGATTCAAAATCATTAGTTCGGGTTCGAGAAGATCGGCAGATTTTGTCAGCGTGACTGTTGAGCTCGGAAGTTTTATACTTATCTTATTTCTCACTCTCTCTGTTTTCAATTTTTGTATTTCGCATGGAAATTCTCCGTTCTAAAACAGCTCCAGTTGTAATCGACACAGAGATGTATCATGGCAGCGCCTTTTTGGTTTTTCAGTTACAAAAGAATTCAATTTGTGATTTACATTAACCTCGTCCCTTGAGACTTCTTTGATATCTTTAGTATCTCGTGTATCTGTCATCACGTGATCAAAGCGACAGGCACAAGAGGATACACACGGTTACAAGGCAGATTCTTTTACGTGTAAAATTTGCAAAGAAATTAGAAAAAAAATAATTATAAATTGGTAGAGGAATGTGAGAATAACAACAAAATAGTAAATTCTCTTGATTAAATTGGCACAAGAGGATATGCACCCCGGTTTTTATTTTGGCCTTTTAATCAAAATGGTCTCTGGGATTTGCATAATTCATCACTTTGGTCCTTAAGATTTGAAATCAATAGAAGTGGTCTCTGAAATTGTCCATCATCAATCATTTTAGTATTTCTATAAAAAAATTCCATTAAATAAGAATAAATGACAAAAATACCCTCAATTTTTGTCAAATCATTTTGACATATTGTTTGTTAAATTGAGGTATTTTTGTTATGTTGATCCTTATTTAACATAATTTTTCGTAGAATGAGCAAAATGATTAATGGTGAACAATCTTAAGGACTATTTTTATTGATTTCAAATCTTAGGGGCCAAAATGAGGAGTTATGCATATCTTATGACTTTTTCGCTATAAAAATCTTTTATTTTTTAAGGAGGATATACACCTGGATATAGTCAAATTTTTTATTAAATTAATTTTCTTTATCAAATTGTTAAGGTTTTTTTTTCTTTTCTTTTTTTGCCTGATTCAGGCTTAGTTATGTTGGTTAGAACATTATGCTTTTTTTTTTTGCACTTAAGTTCAAATAACTATGCGCATTTAAGTTCAAATCTCCTTCGTAGTTTAGAAATTTCTAAAAATATTTAAGAATTAATAGAGAAAATAAAATTTTATTTTATTTGGACCGTTGGTAAAATGACTCACTGTATTTAGACCCAAAAATAACAGAAAACCACCTGACCCAGACCCTTCGGCCTTTACTCTTTCCCGGGCGTCCAAGGACGGACCTGTTCTTCAGTTCCGCCGCACCGAGCTTCGGAGGACTCATCTCTTCGCACCATGCGCACGTTAGCATCCAAGCTCGCCACTGTAAGCTCCCTCTTCGAATTGGTTTCCGTCCAGCATTCCCACTCTCTTTTTCTTCGTCCGAATTTCTCCGATTTTGATTGTGATGTGAAAATTTCGTGATCAGTATTCAAAGTATTACTGTACAAGAAACCCGTTGCGCAATGCGCCTTCCCGCAATTTCTCAACTTACAACGGAAGAGGTAATTCGCATGTTTACCCATCTCAAGGTTTTGTCTTTGATTCCGTAATTTGTTGTTTGGTTGCTGAGAAAATGAAGGAAAATTGAATTCTGGTATTGGATTGCAGATGAGCTCTCTCTTGAAGAGGAAGCTGAAAGAAAAATTGGGTGGTTGTTGAAACTGATATTTGCTGGGACTGCAACTTGCGTAGCTTACAACATAATGCCTTATATGGGTATTCTAATCTTTAGCTAATTTATCTTAATTAATCTATGAAAAATGAGAATTGCCTGTTATGCGGTTTCGATTTTCGGGTTTCACCTGACATTGCTCTTGAATTTTACTACTTTTCCAGGTGATACTTTGTTGCAACAGTCCGTGTCGTTGTTGACAGTCAAGGATCCGTTGTTTAAGAGAATGGGGGCTTCTCGATTAGCTCAGTTTGCGGTTGATGGTAACTCGCGTAGCTCTATTTTCCGTTGTGTCAGCATTTCATTTCAAGGAAATTCGTTCATTTAATATACCCGTTGCCTGGTTGGATGTAGTCGTTTTATGAAACTGCATTGTCTTTGAGCTGCATCATGTTATAGGTGATCATTTCTTTGATCTCCAAATCAGGTTGTAAGTTTTTATGTTTACTTTTGTGTCGAGGTTTTCGAATAGGTAGCGCATGAAACTGAGGGTTTGTTTGTTTTGATTTACAGATGAAAGGAGGATGAAAATAGTGGAGATGGGTGGTGCTCAAGAGCTGGTAAATATGTTGGGCGGTGCTAAAGATGACCGCACAAGAAATGAGGCTTTGAAAGCTCTTTCTGCTCTGTCACCTTCAGGTTAGAATTTTACATTGCAGTTAGTACCGCATGCACCTTTGTCTATCCGTACTTTGTTCCACTTTTAGAAAAGGCGCGTATCAACTGAAAGTTAGGGGATGTTACAGATAACCGCCATCATACATCGCTAGTACTGAATGGAAGAATAGGATTCCAGCATATCGTAGCCTAAACGGTTAAACCTTTAGATTTATGAAGCATATGCTATCTGTACCCTACATTCATATTGTGAAACAATATAGCTGTTGAGTAACACACCGGCAAGCGTAATGCATATTTGATAATTGCGGTGATAAAAGATTTGACAGTTATGTTTAGACAGTTGTTGGGAGAGTATGCGATAGAAGTGTTTAGAAAGCAAAAATGCTAAGCATTTTGGATGTCCCTGAAAACATGCTAGAGTCGTTCTGTCGTAATCAGTTCTTTCTTATCTCTTTTGGTCGTCTAATCTATTTTCTGTAATTGCAGATAAAGCTCTTGGAGCTTTACACCAGGCTGGGGCAATCTCAGTTATCAGATCTACCCTGGATTCCCTGGAGAATGCTGAAATTGAGAAATACAAGTCAAGCTTACTCGGGAGATTCCAAGATCTGAGGTACGATTTTCCAGCCGCAGATGTTTCAAGGTCTGTAAACTCTTGATCTCCAATTATAGGCTGCATCACAACCTCTAAAACGCCATGTTTCGAATTCAGAAAGTTGGCTTTAACTCATATGAATGATCACCGGATGTTTCACCGGTGCACAACCCTGTTTCGAGATTAGAAAACGTTGCATACTCAAACAATAGTGGATGAAAGTAACTCTGTAAAATGCCGGGATTTGGCGGATTCTTCAAAAGTTGGTAAATAATTTACCAGAATAATTGTATCTATTTTTGGTACAAACATAGAGAATGTCTTTGAACTCTATAGAAGCAACACTATGAATAGTACACAAAAATACGTGCCAGCTCAACTACATCGCTGCAATAACAAAGCCTTATCCCATTAAGTGGATCAGCTGTATGAATTTTAGAATGTCACTGCAGTTCGGTTTTGTGCCAGGTCTTTCGTTAACTCCAAGTATAACAACAATTTGGAAAATAATAAAAAGGAAAATCAACTAGGACTTGTTCCCAAAAAAGTTATAGACATTGATGGAAATGGCAACTGCACTTGTTACTACTGCCAGGACTACCATCACAGTTGCCATGATCCTGTCAGTTCTTGTAGATATGCCATGTACATCTCTGCAATTTGCACAAAATATAAAAGAATGTCAAGTTCAACATTCTTTTGAACATAAAGATAGAACATATCACTAGTTGGTCTGACGGCTTCTAATCTGAACTTGTTGGAGACTAAGGGCCGATTATACTACTATAAAAAGCACTTATAAGCGCTTTTGTCATAAACACGTTGAAATTTTTATTAAAATTTCACGTGCTTCCTGTAAAAGTAGGTTGATTCTCAGGTCGCTATGCCGAAGAAAAGAGAGAGGTTGCACCAAGAAATGGAGAAGATAAGAGTAGGCTTGCGTTAGTTGTCTGCTATAAGATAGCTAGTTTTGGGGCTTTCGATATAAAAAAGCTTATCCAACGTGGCTTTGCTACGGCTCATGACTTGTATTGTAGTCGTAGTCTTTCAAGTTTTTCAATCAATCATAGTCAAAAATGCTTTGGTAAGTGCTTTTAGTTCTTCTAGGAGTCCTACACAAGGCCTGAGTTTAAATTTCGTAAACGACAATTGTTTAATAAAATGAAAAGCATAGAGGGAGTACCGTAGAACAATCGCACCAGGGAAAATGAAGGCAAGGCAGACAGCAGAAGTTGATCCCAAAAACTGAAAAATGTACCAAATGTTTGGGAAGGCAATTGCAGCCAGGTAAGAGAAAACCAGCAGGCCAAGAGTGAGGAGCACAAATCTCCTACTATCTGCGGCCAAAAGCGGCTTTTGAGGGAAAAGCAGTTCATCCAAATTTACCCTCAGAGAAAAGTTCAAGAGAGGAAAAACCAACATCAGATGGAGGGCATAGCTTAATCTGACCGCATCATTCAGCACTGCCCCCATTGCTGAATCTGAGCTTCTGTCGAAATTCACAAGTATGTCAGCCACGATTGCATCCCCAAACAAAAGGTACCCAAACAGTCCAATGGAGAAGTAGATGACTGCACAGAGCACCAGTGAAATCCTGACCGCTGATATCATATCAGACGGCTTACCAAGCTCGAAGCCAATTGGGTGAACTGCATGAAGTCAATCAGAGTAGGCAATGGTTACAAAGTTTGAGATGACAATAGTAAATTGATGTAGAACAGATGGCGGAATGGATTGAAGAGCAGCTTGACATGCGTACGCTCATACAAGGGCGGAGCCACCCTTAAACTCAGGTGGTTGCTTCTTTGTGAGGGGTCAGGGGGAACTTCTATTGTACGGAGCCTTATCCTTACTTTACAAAGAGATTGTTTTCAAAACTCGAATCCGCGACCTTTTAGTCACAAAGGAGCAACATTTTCGTTGCATCACACAACAGTTCTTTAAACGGAAAAAAAAAAAAGAAGAATTATAGGCCTACTTATGTGAAAATTCCTGGCTTCGTATCCCGATTCAAGCTGACCATGATTGGACTCTAAACTCTCTTCGATCCATTATGCCATATGTTCTACATCGCAAACTGTTCGATTCCTAAAAATGTACATTTCTTACCGTTGAAGTGAAAAGTGAAGGCTGTAACAATGACTGGAACAGCAGTGAAAAGGTCAAAGAAGGAGGTTTGTTTGCCCAAGCTTGGTAACAATCTTGGGGTGTTGACTTTCCCTTCAAAGATTGCATAGATCGCCATGGCAGAACTTATGCCAACAAAAACCACAGCAAGAAGAACTGATATGGCTGAACTGAACCTCAGAGACTCTGCAAAACACCAATTAAATATTAAAAAATTAGCAAAAAAAACCCTAAAAAGTTTTGAGATTTATCATTTCACTTAGTAAGAGTTTTAAATTTAGCACAAAGGGGTTTGTTTACTTGCGTGAATTTACTGACCTACTCGCCTTAACAAAACCAGTGGCAGGAAAATGAAAATAAGCGTGAATAGGAGGGCAATATCACGTGGGTTCCACCAATGAACTCCAAACCACTCTTGCAGAACACCGGAATGCCCAACTCCGGCAGCCCCATTTCCAGATAGAACATCCCCTGAAAAACAAAAGAAAATAATCATCCTTCTAATTTCGTACCAAGCTCGCCGACGTATATGTCCCTGTAACTAATTTGATTCTTTTCCTACCAAGCTCGCCGACGTATGTGAATATTTAATTGGAGCTTACCGATTATAATCTGGTACATAATTAAGCACCCAAGATTAGTAATCATGACACATATCTGTGTGGCAACCGATCCCACCTGCCCAAAGGACTCCCTCATGACGCCGGAATACGTCGTGGACTCGCCGGAATGCGTGAACCTCATCAGGAACTCCACCGAGACGTCAGCCAGCAAAGCAATGATCACAATAAGTACAAAAGCCGGTATCACACCAAGCACCTTGAGAGTGGCCGGAATGGACATGATTCCGGCACCAATTATGCTCGTGGACACGTTGAACACGGCCCCTGAAACAGACCCCCGCCTCACCGGCTTTCTGTCCTGCAGCAGTGCCACGTGGGCTTCGGCTGCCGGCGACATTCCGATGGATGCTCGGTTTTCTTGCTAGAGAAAGAGTGTGTTCTGCGTTATGTTGTCTTTTTGTACATGAAAAGCTTTTGATGTGTGATGACTGCATGTAGGGTAGGGTTGTGGATGAATATGTGATGACCGCATGTGGGGTGGGGGCGATTGAATTTGGCGTGGAGAGTTTTTCTTGAGAGTCTTCTTAACATTTTTCAAACGTCGTTAATGTGCATGGAGTGTGATTATTTGTGGAATAGTCTTATTCAAACATTTATTTTTACATTTCACATATTTTCTGTTATTTTTTTACCATTAAACTTTTCACTTCATTCGATATAATGGTCGAAAATTAAGAATGATGTGTAAGAAGTAAAATTATATGTGTGGATAACATTGCCCTATTTTGTGGATGTTTAACGAACGGTAGAATTGTAATTTAAGTTAGTTTGGTGAGAGCTTAATTTTTGGGGATTTTTTTAGTGAAAATATTTGGGGGATTTTTAAATCAACGGATTAGAGGAGGAGTCCCATCTGGCAAATTTTTAAACCAATCAATTAGGTTTAAATTTTCTTTTAATTAATTTGCCGAAGAAGAAATATAATGGCCATTTTGCTCATATTTTTGGCCTTACTAGGGGATAATTTGATTTAAAATTCAACAAGTGTGATGCTTTGATCTTTTATAATTAGAGTACGATTATCTGCCCTCTTAATCTCTTTCCTCTTTCAATCTCTCATATTAAAACGGTTACGATTACGTCACGTTTATATCGTGTTTTGAATTTTTTATATAAAGAATAAGATAAAGAGAAGAATATGAGAGGAGTGAATAGAAGAAGATAGTAATAAAAAGAGAGAAAATCGTACTCTTTTATAATTAGCTTGTTAATCATGTCAAAAACTTTAGTTGTGACAGAACAATTATACCAGGTCAAATCAATTTTGTTTTTTTTTTTTTGGTCGAGGAAGAAATGCCTGTAGATGAAACTTATCAATTTGAAGACCCATGTAGAGAGTTCCTAACTTAAGTGGTCAAACACTTATTCGCGTTTTTTCGTTGTTAAAATTTGGACCTACCATTTAATTATCGCCCCTTCTTCTAAATTCTAGAAAAGAAAGAACACAAGTAGAAAATAGTTAAGTTGTATAATTAATGGCTTAATTTTAGTTAGTCCCCTGAAACGTTATTTTGATTTTATTTTGCTCCTTATAATTCAAAAGTCATCACTTTACTCTTTGAAACTCAAACATTATTTCACTTTAACTTGTGGACTCTCTCTTTTTCCTAAAACTTATAGGTCGCATATTCAAACATATATGAGACCTAATACTCAATAAGACTATGTCACGTATGCAATAAATTTGATTATGAAGCTCCATTATGTGTTAACATTCAACAATTAGAAAATATTAAATTAAAAAAAATTGAAGAGATGAAAAATAAAAGTTAAAAAAAAATGATTAGCCTGATGCATCCAAATCAAACTCACATAAGAAATTAACAGATCTTAGACAATATAAAGCAAATTTTGAGTTTTATAGAAAGATTCTCATGTTTCAGTGAGCAAAATGAGATCAAAATTGAGTTCCAGAGAGCAAAGTGGACGAACTTTGAGGTTTAGAGAGCAAAGTTGCAACTTTTAAGTTACAGAGAGCAAAGTGAGATTAAAATCAAGTTCCAAATGGCATAGCTAAGAATAATCCATAATTAATTTACTTTGTATTATATATATGTGAAGAAAGTTGACGTTCCTCTATAAAACCAATTGACAATATGAGAAGTAACCAAACTTTTCATAAGCACAAGTTGGATGACGAGGAGTACGAGTAGCCATTGGGCTTCACACGTGAGACAACTAGCTTTGATACCATGAAGAAAGTTGAGATTCCACTGTAAAACTAATCATCAATATAAGATTTATTTTCAATAATATGGAATGAGTTTGCAATTGATATATAATATATGATAATCAGTTCACGTGTTATAATAAAAATAAATTACTTATACTGTATGACTGTGTTACCACATTGACATAATAACTCTTCATTATCCGAATATTGTTGAAAACAATCGGTTGCCAAAAAAAAAAAAAATCTTAGCAAATCGGATAGCATACGAGATGCCACAAACAAAAGGAAAGTAAGGCTGGAGAGTGAGGTGTAGCTGCACAAAACGGGGACACTTCACTTTCTATAATTTTCTGGACATGTGGATGCCATTTGAACATAGGTTGTTCATGATTAATTGGCATCATTCCAGGTCTACTTTTATGCGACATCTCGATCTTAACGTGGTGATCGAGATATAACGCAACATACGCTGCTTTAGAGTCGGACCTCAAAATTAACGTATTGTTAAACTAGTTAAATCTTACATTTACTCTTTTTTTTTCTTTGGTAACAATGACTTGTTTGGATTATAGAAGTAGAGTTTCTACATAGGCAGGAGTCTTGAAACTTGTCAAATGACAACCACTACAGGGTGACTCAGTGCTTGTAGACGAATTTCAGGCTACTATTTTACATTGTATGTCCTGAGTTTGATTTCTGATTTTGATAAATCACACAATGGTGAGCAGGAAGGTTAAAATGACTTTGTGAATTTTTTCAATCCTCGAAAGAGAACTGCAATGTCAAAGTTACTGGTTGATCTTTTTTTCTTTTTTTTTTTTTATTATTATTGACAAATTAAATTAATATCCAACTCACTAGCTATAAAGATATATATAGCCATCATATCTTTGTGATTCAAATATAAAATTTATCCGACAAGTGGACGGAGCGCCGAGGTCACCAAAAGTAGGTTATCAACAATGCATAACAAGCATGTGCGTTTTTGGGCATATGAGTGTGTGGATGCTTCAAGATCATGCTTTTCTCGATGTATTTGTTTTCTTTCGGATAAATGAATAGGTGGATGAGATGTCATATTCAAAGGGAAAAATAGATAAACCTTGCAAATGTGGAAAATACAAAAATAGGACAATTAATTTTGTAAGATAATATACAAAAATGCATCCCCTGACTCTTTTTACGAAAGACCTTTTAGTGCATCGAGAGTACGAATTAGTATATCATAATACTAGCAGTTGAATTATTTTTTTGAGTATTCAACCACTTATATGATGACACTTGATGTACTAGACTATATTCCCGAAGCAGTACAAATTTATCCCGCTTATCAGCATGTTCTTTTATATAGTCTCAAACAAATCCTAAAGAGAGTCGTAAACTTTGAAAATTCTTACATGTAATATATCTCACTCATTACCTGAGGTAGAGAGAAAGGGGGATATTTCATCATAACAAAGTTTTTCTTCTTGAACTGAGTTGGTTAAATATGTACATGAGGGATAAGAACTATACGTATGAACATTCTTTGCACATTGATGTATCAAATTGTAGATTTTCATGATCAAAGATAAATGACGATCCTAAGCCAATAAGGCTCTACACATTGCGAGGGTTGGAGAAAGTGGCTATTGTACGCATCCTTACCTTTTCTTTGCAAAGATGTTATTTCTACGACTTGAACTCATGACCTTTCGGTCAAAAGCAGCAACCTTTCAAGGGCTTGGGGTCCTGTAAGAGTGGAAGGGCAATGACTTGAGCTCCTCCATTGGTTTCTTGTTGTTTCACCATTTTTTGGTTTTATTTATTTATTATTATTTTTATTTTTATTTTTTGTGATGTTTTGGATGTGGAATATATAGTTGACAACCTGATGTGTTATTGGCTGTATGTTGAGTGTTATTTTTGTGGATGCAAATTTTCGCCGACTTTTCTTTGACTTAAATGCACCTGTAAAATAATAGTACCAAAAGCTGCTCATGATGAATAGGGGCCAAAAATCTCTAATGCCAAAGTTCGAATTCTAAAAAGAATGTATTTGAGAGTTTGTGGGTCATGAATTTTGGAGATAAAGAGAAGAGGGACAAGGGCCAGCCCTCTAGGCTTTATGAGTGGCCCTGTCACCTTCTGGACCCGGCTCCACCGTAACATAATATTGTCTGCTTTGGGCCCCAACCACGCCCTCACGGTTTTGTTTCTGGGAACTCACACGAGAATTCCCAATGGGTCACTCATCATGGGATTGGTTTCGCGCGAACTCGATTAACTTCGGAGTTTCGATAGAACCCGAAGCCAGTGAACTCCCAAAATGCCTCGTACATATAAGACACATCATCCCCTCTCCGTTGGTCGATGTGGGATGTTACAATCCACCCCCTTAGGGACCCGACGTCCTCGTTGGCACACTTGCACCACACGACAGAGTGGCTCTGATACCATTCTGACACATCCAGAACCCGGCTTCACCATAACATGATATTGTCCGCTTTGGGCCCTGACCATGTCCTCACGGTTTTGTTTATGGGAACTCACACAAGAACTTCTCAGTGGCTCCCCATATTGGGATTCCTCTCGCACGAACTCACTTAACTTCAGAGTTCCGGTAGAACCCGAAACCAATGAGCTCCCAAAAGGTCTCGTGCTATATGGAGGTGAGCATGTACATATAAGGCACATCACCCTCTCTTCGTTGGTCAATGTGGGATGTTACAAGCCTGCTTTAGGGTGGCATTTTAGTGGGAATATTTCAAATTATTTGTGTAAATAAATATCTTGGAGTAATTAGGTAATTATTCTAAATTAATGGAATTAGGATTACTTGAAGAAGTATTCTCTGATTAGGAATGTATTTATAATAGAAATAAGGAATTATTCTATCATAAATACTTTTTATTTTTCCTACGGGGAGGGATGCCTTCAGCAGTCATGATTCTCTGCTTGCTTTACCTCAACTATGTGCGGTGAATGAGAATGCTCCCTGCTCATTTAATAAGGGGCGGTCTTGTCTTTCTTGAAAAATAATCCACATGTCAACTCCATGATTTTTAGGATTATTTTTGGCTTCACGATTTTAATCCAGAATTAATGGGAATTATGAGCTTAATCTCATCTCTTAGTTCTTGCAGAAAGAAGATGAGCATAATTCTGGGGTGTTGTATTACTTTATCTATGGATCTCTAAGTCGTTGATGAGCCCAAACAATCTACCCGGTAAGAAAACTATTTTAGATTGGGCCTCCATTATTCATATTTGGGCCATGGTTAATAAATTTTTCTTATATTTTATTTTTCACTTTTGAAGAACTTTTTTGTAACAAGAATAATTTTATAAAAAATGGAATTATTTTAGAAGAATATGCTAAAGTATATTAGAATATTATGTGTTTTAATCATCATGATTCAAATTTAAATTTTTTTAAATCAATTGAGCTAAATTTTCATATCATATGGCTAATTATATAACAAAAATCTTTGATTGACTAAGTGATTATATATTTCAAACACAAAAAATGTTTATAGGATTGGTTTAGAAGTTCATTTAAAATAATTGAAAGTTTTTAACGAAAATATTTTTTGATTTTAAAAGCATAAGTATTTTACGTAAAAAGTACATAACTGATTCTTAAATGTTTTAAGTGTCTTTTCAGGTTCACTTGTATTTTACCAAAACTTGATTATAAAACATTTTTACCATATCACTTTTAACTATTTTAAAAGCAGAATAATATTATGCTTATAATCTAATTGTATCATTATTTGTATCGTGTTTCTAATAAAATAACGCCTTCCGTCCCTGAAAGAAACCTTCGAGAACTATTTTGACAAAGATTATTTCCCACCGCGACTTCTGTTTTACCTTTTCCCCTAAGCCTCCTTTTCCAGAGCTCAGAAAAACTCAGGTAAAAACTTGAAAAACAATGGGCGATCAGATTGCTAGGGCGGAGGATTTCGAGAGGAAAGCAGAGAAGAAATTGAGCAGCTGGGGATTTTTCGGTTCCAAACATGAAGACGCCGCCGAACTCTACGACAAATCTGCCAATGCCTACAAGCTCGCCAAATCCTGTGAGTTTTCCTCTTTCTGCGTCTTTGATTGCCTTCCGATCGTTTGATTTCTTTGTCATTGGCTTTATTGGTGTGTTTGTTTCCCGAGAAAATTTGATTGGAGGGAAAATTGCAGACGAAAATAAGAATTGGGGGATCTCTTGTTGGAGGTTTTCACGTCTTTGGTATTTTGGGCGATTGAATTGATTCAATCGTGGGTTTTGATCACAATCAATGGCCTTGATCGATGAATGTGGATTTTCCCTTTTTATAGGGTCTTTTTTTTTTTTATATATATATTTTATTTTATTTATATGAAGTGGAAATCTTCGAATCCTTCGACCTGGTGAACAAAATATTAAATTTTGAACTTTAGGGTTTGCTTGATCTCATTTTGTTGGAAAGGATTAAACTTTGTTTGAATTGGAGGTCTTGAATTGAATGATATGAACAATGAATGGAATGGGCCTCAGATGAATAGGCTTATTGGTGTAAGCCGTGATGAATTTTTTTTGGAAATAATGTTTAAATATTTTGAATTTTGGTAGCTGCAACAACCAAATTCCAAACTTTCCCTATGTAAGAGAAGATAGATATAAATCTGCATATGGTGTTCAATTTACAACTAATTCTAACTTAGTATCAGATTTTCTTTCTGCAATTTTATGAAAAGGATGAAATTGGGATATGGATCCTTCCAACTGATGGCCATGGAAAACCGTACGGTCGCATGTATATGGTGTAATATCAATATGATGGAACTGATGCCTCGCTCTCTCACAATGACAACTCTCATATCGTATTTTTCCCGTGGTGGCTATTTGAAATACAAAATTTACAATATTTATGAGTTGCTTGAAACTAGATCTTGTCAATGATCACTTCAATTGCTTCTAATCTTTACAAAATGGCGTTTCAGGGGACAAAGCTGGAGCAACATATGTCAAGTTGGCAAACTGTCATTTGAAGGTTAATGGTTTTGATGATTCGACTATGCAATTTCTTTCATTTTTAATGTTTTTAATAAAACCTGATAGCAATGCTTTTCCGTTATAGAGCGAAAGCAAACATGAAGCCGCCACAGCTTATGTTGATGCTGCACATTGCTACAAGAAAACAAATGTTAATGGTATGTATATGTTTATGTTACATCTTACGTATATGCTTCCTCACTGCCCACAAAGTCCTGGAAGGGGAAATAATCATCTGGGAAATGAAGAGAATGAGCCATACTGTTTGCTTCGTCTTTCAGATCTGCAAAAGATATGGATAACATACACAAAGCTTCAGTCTGGAGTCTCATTCTTGATAAATCACATAGAGTAAAGTTTTTTACGTTAGCAATACAGAATTTGTTATATAGTGTACCATAAGTAGCAGATATTTTGGTAGAAATATCTACGTTTGGCAAAAAAAACCCCAGTGTTCTTAGCTGGTTCATGACCTTTGAAACAGTTTAGATCAAACTAAGCAACATGGGTACAACAGGTGGTAGTGTTAGTAATTTTACCTTGGTTTATCTTATTGTAATATGGTTGTAGTACTTTTGTGGCATGAAATTTAATTTTCTATTTTTGGTCTTGTTATGGTCTAAAACCATTCTACTTGCATTTCATCCCCAGTTATATCCTTCTTGTTCTATTGTGTTCGTGTCTGATTAGGATAATCTTAATTGTATTTTGTAACATAATTCTGGTCTTCTACAGAGGCCATTTCTTGCTTAGAGCAGGCGGTAAATATGCTATGTGATATTGGAAGGCTTAATATGGCTGCAAGATACTATAAGGTATTGTTTTCCACAGTTATATAAGAATCAATCTTTTGTTTCAAGATGATATTTTAAATCTCTTCTTGCAATTGTGTGCTATAATTTGGTGTCCCATTTGTAAGTTCTCAATATGCAATTCCCTTATTCTACCATTGTTTGTAATAGTATGCAGGTAAGAGAAACAGTATAGACATGTACATTGTATATTTGTAAGTTCTCCCATAACCAAAGAGGATTAGTTAAATTAGAAGTTAGAAGATCAAAGAAGCTGTCAAAGACTAACTTGGGATCAGTTACGAAAGGAGATAGAATATGTAATAGTAAATAATGGAAGATCAGAATTCATGTCTAACCCCATATAGAGGGAGAAGGGAAGGGGTGATGACAAAAAATATTTCAAGTGTTCATCTTTTGTACTCTTGGCATTGATGCTCTTCATGCTGAATGCGTCAGTAGTATATGATGCTATGGAAACCATAGGAATCATTACTTGATACATATTTTCCATGCAGGAAATTGCCGAACTATATGAGTCTGAACAAAATATTGAGAAGGCTATTGAGTTCTTTGAAAGGGCAGCTGATTTCTTCCAAAACGAAGAAGTAACAACGTCGGCCAACCAGTGCAAGCAGAAAGTTGCTCAGTTTGCTGCTCAGATTGAACAGTAAGTCTTTCCCTACCATTTAATAGCAAAAACATTTTGTGTATTCTTGCCATTTTCCAGCATTACTTGGGATTTTATTTTATTTTATTAAAACCTTGTCTAGTTTAATATGATACTCATACTTTTGATAACATCTTGTGTTACATTCTTTGCTATTACAGCTTTATTTATTTATCTATTTTAATTAGAACCTTCTAGTTTATAACTAGTAATCACTCTTTCACTTTTTTTGCTTATCTAGAAGACCTCTTTATAGCTTCTCATTGTTGCAAATGCTGGTAAATAACCAACAAATATGTTATATTCTGCAGGTACCCCAAGTCTATTGAAATTTATGAAGAAATTGCACGGCACTCACTCAACAACAACTTGCTTAAGTATGGAGTTAAGGGGCATCTTCTTAATGCTGGAATATGCCAACTTTGCAAAGGAGATGTAGTTGCAATCACCAATGCATTAGAGCGATATCAGGTCTGAGTTTGGCTCTTGTTTGGGATTTTGGTATTGTACTACCTTATCAGTTGGAAAATTACATACTTTTTTGTACTTTTGCAGGATTTAGATCCTACTTTTTCAGGAACAAGGGAGTACAGGTTCTTAGCGGTGAGTTATTTTGGAAGTATTTTCAGTTTAGTGATGTTTAGTTGTTTCATGGTTGACTGATTAAAAAAATGAAAACAGCACGTAACAATGTAGTAATTTTGAGAAAGTCATCATTGTGTTTTATGCAGGATATTGCCGCTGCAGTTGATGAGGAAGACATTGCAAAGTTCACTGACGTGGTCAAGGAATTTGATAGTATGACCCCACTGGTATGTCTCTTTCGTTCGATGTTATGCATCCAAGTTCAATAAACACCTATTTCGTTTGTGTTTTCTTTCCCATCTGCATATCTCTTCAAATTTGATATTTTGATGTTCGGTGTTGAATTTGCCGTGTAGGATGCATGGAAGACAACCTTACTGCTGAGAGTGAAGGAAAAGCTGAAGTCCAAGGAACTTGAGGAGGACGATCTTACCTAAGGTGAAAAATAATGAAATGATGTTTGTTTGGTTTGTCCATTTGTTTGTGAAGATTGTGTTTTGTTTATCGTGCGTACATCATTCCTTTACACTTCATTGAGAATGTGTTGGAACTGAATTGTAGTTGATTTGGGATTTAATCCGTGCGTTTTCGACTTTAATCGATCTTTGTGAGTCCGTGGGATTGTATGTATATTCAAACCACTGTATGAATTGGCCTTGCTTCTAAAATGTATGGGGTTCTATTCTGCCCTTATCTTAACTTCAGCCCTTCTGTCAACCTGTCCAGTTTACGAGCGTTGGTTGGTTTAACTTTATTAGATTATTACTAATTTCTTGCATGCTCACGGTTCGATCACAAAATGTGGGATTGCAGAAGAACCCAAAACCTGGAGAGATACTCTTGTCAATAATTTACCACACAAAATGTGGGATTGGACGATTAGTGCGTTTTTTGAATATGCGACAAGTATTTATTGCAGGGTTGACTACCCTCATACTATTTTGGTTGCAGGAGAGAATCTTTTTACAACCTTGTGTGAATCGCATATCAATGCCATTCATGTGCTGCAAAGTTTTATGAGAATTGATAGTCATACCCCAATTTCTTTATACACGTCATTCTCTATTTCTGGTCATTGGATTGAATGAAGTCATATGAAAACAACAAACATGGTTAAACAGGGGTGCAGAATGAGTCTTTCTCGTCTATTGAGTACGCATTGCTTGCAACAACTTATTTTCTATTTGCCCTTGCACGCGAGCTTTTCCTCGCATATGATTTGACTACAAAATCTTATTCTTTCCTGACAAAAAGTGAAATTCTAAACCATTTTTATATATGAATTAGTCTAAACAGTTGAACTAATTTACGTCATTTTCAGCGATGGATGATTTCCACCCTTCCACAAGTTTCGGAAACGGATCATCGACCACATCTGTCCTTTACCAAAAAACAATATTTGGTTTTTTAGTCAAAATAATTTTTAAGATTGTCATAACTTCTCAATTTAATCTCTGAGACTTAAAATCAATCATTTTGGTTATTTTATGAATTTTTTTTGTTAAATTGAAGAAATCACCGGTTCATGTGGAATGGTTGATTTGGCAAAAAATACCCTTAATTTAATTGAGATTTTTCATGAAAAAATCAGAATGATTGACGGTAAATAATTTCATAAATAACTTTTATTGCTTTTAAATCTCAAAGAAGTGATGAGTTGTATTAATCTCAAATAACATTTTTAGCAAAAAAAACCCAACAATATTCCTAATTGATAGGTCCACAATATCGTGATATGTCCGCATCCGGAGGTGGGGCGAATACACAATGCAAATACAACATTGTCTTTAATTAATTAATTAATTTAATTGCACTACTTGCCTCCGCACAGTAATGCTTTTCAAAGCTCTCAGTTTTAACCTCCATGTAGCGTAACCTCTCAAGTTTCATCAAACGACGCAGATTTTGGCTAGCCAGTCACGCACCCGACGTCGTTTTGGCAGATTATCTCCCCGAGTTGGCCTCCGCCCCCGCTTTCCCCAATTCGACCCCTTTGTAACTTGTCAAATCTTTGGCAGTTTGTAGTTTTTGGAAACTTCAATGGAGGGTCTTTGATTCTTCACAAAAGGAGAAGTCATCAGGGAAAAAAAAATAAAAATCCCTTTAAAAAGTTACAGTCATGGCTTCTTCTGGTTTCTCCGCCATTTTTAGGTATGTCTTGAGCTCTGACTTTTAACTGTACATTTTCCGTCTTATTTCTCCATGCATAAAGTTGGTTTGATTGGTTTTCTGGGCATCGATAATTCTTTATAATGAAAATGTGTTGAATTGTTCATGTGATCACTGTTTTGATGAAAAATTGGGTTTTTTTTTTTTAAATCAGTTTCTGGGTTTTTGTAAGTATGATGATTCATTTTTCCTTGCAAAATCATGGGTATTGATTAATATATTGATGCTTAGCTAATAGCTAATGAGGGTTTACTGTGGCAGCCTCTTGTTCTTTGAATGTCATGAGGTTTTGATCATATTTTGTGTTTTTATGAATTGGGTTTAATTCTGTATGTGGAATTTCAGTCTTGGTTAGTGGTTTTGGTTCTTTTAAGTTGCTTCCTGGGATTGAAAGTCTTCTGTTTCAATGTGTGATTTTGTACTTGTAGATTCCTTGATTCTCTTCTTTCCGAGAATGCCTTTTAGTTGTGTATACTAGAAATCACATGCAATGAATTGCTTGGTGTTCAACTTTTAACCTCAGTGGAAATGTTGAAGAAAGAGTGCACATTGCGACATTGATGTCACAAGTCTGACATCGATTGGAAGAAAATTGTTCTTTGATTTGAGAATGGTTTCGACTCAAAATGGAAACCACAAGGAGGAAATTGAAGAATCGAATGGTAGTGAAGTGAAGGGTCAAATCCCCCTTGACGTTTCAGCATCCCCAAAGACTTTTTTAGTCAATGAGAAGTCTCCGAAAAGGTTCCCTCCTGATGCTCCTCCTAATAGAGTTAGGTTCCTCAATTTGGTTCTGCATCTGCCAGGTTCAAGCGGTTGGCTGAGGAGAGAGATGAAATGTCACGATCTGTGGCTTCAAGCGGTCATGGCTTCAAAGAACGAATCAATGGGGTTTTTTCTAAGAAAATTGATTGGGTTTCACTCCTGAAAATGGGCAAAGTATGGATTAGAAATCCAATGAACATGGCTCTTTTTGCATGGATTGTCTGTGTTGCTATTTCAGGTGCAGTTTTGTTTCTTGTCATGACTGGAATGTTGAACAAGGCAATACCCAAGAAGTCCCAGAGAGATACATGGTTCGAAGTCAATAATCAAATTCTCAATGCACTTTTTACGCTTATGTGTTTGTACAACCATCCGAAGCGGTTCCACCACCTTGTACTTCTGTGTAGATGGAAACCAGAAGACATTTCCAGACTTCGAAAGATTTACTGTAAAAATGGGACTTATAAGCCACATGAATGGGCCCACATGATGGTTGTTGTTGCCCTGCTTCATCTGAATTGCTTCGCTCAGTATGCACTTTGTGGTTTAAACCTGGGTTACAGAAGAGCTGAACGGCCACCCATAGGAGTTGCAGTATGTATATCTTTTGCTATTGGTGCACCTGCATTTGCTGGTATATACAACATTGTCAGCCCCCTTGGGAAGGATTATGACTCGGATGTGGATGAGGAAGCACAGGTTCAGATCGGAACTGGTGAAGGAGCAGAAACATTAAGGTTAAAATCATTCGAGAGAAGATATTCTTTTGCATTTAGGACTGAACAACGAGTCGTTGAGAATAGACCGCAATGGAGCGGAGGAGTACTTGACATTTGGGATGATATTTCTATTGCATATGTTTCGCTCTTTTGTAGTTTTTGTGTATTTGGGTGGAATATGGAGAGGCTTGGATTCGGGAACATATATGTTCATATTATGACATTTGTTCTGTTTTGCATGGCTCCGTTCTGGATTTTTAACTTGGCTGCTGTTAATATCGACAATGAAACTGTTCGGGAGGCTCTTGGAGTTACTGGCCTTGTTCTATGTCTATTTGGTTTGCTCTATGGTGGCTTTTGGAGGATCCAAATGAGAAAGAGATTCAATTTGCCTTCTTATAACTTCTGTTTTGGTGAACCAGCACTCTCTGATTGCACGTTGTGGCTTTGCTGTTGTTGGTGCTCTCTTGCTCAGGAAGTGAGGACCGGGAATTCCTATGACGTCGTGGAAGAAAAGTTCTATAGAAAACAACCAGAAAGTGGATACCCTTTACCAATTTCACCTTTGCCTCGTGAAGATGGATCGGTTGGGTTTAGATCTGGCCCGAATTCTCCTCTTGGGAACTACTTAAGCCCAACCAAGAATGGCATAGGTGGTTCTACGAGTCAAAGCAGACTTCCAGGGGGATTTCATAGTCCAGTGAAAGAAGAGTCCCATGTAAGAGGTAAGGATGAAACTATGACCCCACCTGCACCTTCAATGATACAAAGGGAAGAAACATAGCCCCAAAAGAGGATAACGTTATGATTTGTATATGAATTTCTGTAGTATAATTTTGAAACAAGTTTTGTTTCTGTGTTCGAATGCATCATTGTTTTTCGTTCTTCAGTTTCTTTTTCACCATTAGCTGTGTTGTGATCATTGATAGTTTAATAGCACTTAGGAATTCAGCAAAAAGAAATTATCTACTCTATTATTTCTACTGAGCAATATTTCTTTGCTGAGCAATATAGTTGCCTGTTTCTCTGTTTTTATTATTTTATCTGACTAAGAATTCATAAGTTGCCTATGTTTGAATGAGTAATTCTCTTTTGATTCTATGGAGATATAAACATCTGATTCAAACTCCTGTCAAGTTAGCTGTGTTTGTCGTCGAGTTTCTGAAAATGGTTGGGCTGCTTAGAGGTTTTGATGACTTTTACATGGTTTTGTACAAGCCTCATCGACTTGAGAGCTCATCTTCTTTTTCCATTTCCATAACTGATGCTTGCTTTTTAGCTCTTGAAGTATTGACTTCAGGTGGTTCCACCTGTGGGGGCTTGGGTTAGCAATGAAATAGAGGAATAGTAGCTTGAGTAATTTCAAGAAGTAATCTTAGTGGTTAAGACTGGTTAACATTTATATGTGAACGAGATATAGCTTCTGCTCTTATGATCCAATCGTGCAATTTATAGAGGATGTTCGTCATGGAATAGATCAAATTGTATAAGTTTGGTAGTGAAGGCAAATATAGGTGCTGAGAGAAGATGGTACTGATTCATCAGTACATGCTAAGCTCACCACAAACAGGAGTGAGAGGAATACTCGTAGCTGTTGGACTTACTGTGAGTTGTTTTCCTTTAGGTTTGAAAAGAGATATAGTCGAGTGGTAAATTTCATCCCAATGTTGGAAGATGTCCCAATTTCGAACCCAAACCCCTTTAAGCACAAGAAAGAAAAAAAAAAATTGAAAAGAGATAATAATAAGGAAAGGCGGGTGTAGAAAGGGTAAAACGGTAAAGATAGAAGACTTTGAGATAGAGGTATAGTAGAACAGCTCTGCGGGTGCAAATACAAGCTTTGTGAGCCTGCATGATGATCCGCCCAGCTGTCTGCCAGATTTCTGCTTTTAGAGAACAGGATAGGCCAAATGCATCTTCATCCTTAAAAAAATGCGCCATAATTCAGTCTATTTAATCCAGTCAGTGAACAGTGATAGGCAAATGCATCTCCACCGCTAAAAAAAAATAGCCTAGTCAATTTTATTAAAATATTATTATTTTTATTATAAAACAATAAAAAATATTTTTAATTTCTGACTTTATAAAAAAATATTAATAATATCTGACAGTTTATTTATTTATTTATATTTTTTGGTGCAAAAATATGGACCGTTGGTCTCGAAATTGAACCGTCGTCATTGTGCCACGTCAGTAGCCATTAATTTTAAATTTCAAAAATTTTTTTTACCGTTGGAAATCCAACGGATATAGATGAGCCACGTGTCCCCATGCCAAAAACCCCATATTGCGCCTGCACAATGGGCCCCACCTCTGCGACGTTGTCGGCCACTCGTGGCCAACACGTGGGCCTAGCGCAAAAAAAAAATTCAATGGCCTTTGACGTCAGGCTTGCGTCACCTGACGTTAGATGGGCCGTCCCATAGCTCAGCACATTTTGGACTGGCCTAGAGACTAACTTGGGTTGTCAACTGGCTTATTGGAGTGGGCTAGAGTGAATCGGCTGGGTGCCAGGCCAAAAGGGTGATGGGAGTCGGCCCAAGCCCTCCCGCTGGACTGGCTCTTAAGGCCTCATTTGTTGTCTCTTAAAATTTAAGGTATATCGAAAGTAAAGGTGAATGATTGGAAATGATTGGTTTGTTTGATAAGTAATTCATCTTCTACCTTCAAGTTGGACACAATTTTTTCATTTCTCCATTGAGATAGTGGGTTATTCATTCCAATTCAATCCTAGACGCCAAACGAGACCTTGATGTGTACAAAATATCTTATTTCTGATATCTATGGCAGCAAAAGGGATATGCTTTTGATTAAGTAGTGACGTGCACCTGGACACATTTGCTTGAGAGAATGGATAAATAGGAGTTTGTACTATGTCTCGCATGATGACTCGGGCCACCAGGTCATTTGTGGGGTTTGCTTGCTTATGTTAGGTTAAGAGAGTAATAAGTTTGTTTCTCGCCTAGCGTTTTCACACTTCCAATTTCTCGTTATGTACTCCTCGTTTTTTTGCCGCTCGATTCTACTTTGTTATATTCAATATTACGGCTAGTGCATGGGAAATAAAGGGAGTTCGATTTCCCTTGTTCCTCAGATAGTTGTCCTATAGGACTGTTGTTCGAGCAATCAACTCGTTTCAGTGTACTAAGCAATGTAGTAACTCAATTATTTTACCTTGGTTTTCCAGTTGTTGGTTTGAAAAAAGTGCTTATATTCCCCCAGTTTTGAACTCTTTTTTCGCTTTGCTTTCGACTTTTCAGGTAATGTCTTTGTTTTCGATATCTTATCGCTTTCGGATGAAGTTTTCATATCAGCCCTCCCCCAGATACTCCTATATACTTCTGTGCAGGCTCTCGTTTTCCAGTTTTGTGAGTCCCTTATCTGCAGAATGCGTGCCCATTTTAAATTGCACTAATTGACAGCATGTACTAGTTGTTGTGAGAACTTTATATAATTTTTTGATGTAGAATTTAATATTTGGTGATGGGTTGGAGCTGCCAAAAGTGACCATGAAGGCTTGAGACTGTAGGGATATGATGAGGACTCCATTTTCTTGCCTGAAGTGCTTAATATTTTTTTTAATCAGGTTTAAATGTTTGCCTTAAACAGACAAAAGCACACCCACCATTTTTAGTACCTCCACAAACATGAACTTTGTTTAGTTGATCCTATAGTTTTTGGGGAATTAAACTATTTTTTTTTGTTAAGAAAGATTGCTTGGCTAGTTACAATTAACGGAGAAAAACCTGAGTTGGGTAACATGATTAGCTGGATTGTCAAATATTCTCTTAAAGAAGCAGGCCCGCTGTATCTGGATACAACTCTCAATGCACAAGGTCTATGTGAGAGTGGCTTGGCCAACAACTAGTTTTTCACTTGTTTGGAAACACATGCTCCTTTCAAGTATTAAAACACAAGATCTCGTTCTCTTGGTCACTGCCTTTTGAATTTGATATCATGGTTGAGATTAAAACGTTAAAAACACATCTACTTATTCTTCACATGTGATATCAAATATAAGTGTTAGTCACTTGGTGATGAGAATAATATTTTTGTAAAACAGAAGGGTAGTGTTATTCACACTCCTTTTTATCTCTTATACACTCTTATTAATCTTTATTCATTGATCTTCTCCAATTCATTTGATCCGACAGTCAAAAATTAAGAGAAGTGTATGAGAAGTAAAAATAAATGTGTAGATAGCACAATGCAAGCAGAAAGCTAAGGATTCCCCTTTTCAATAATGTGTTTGTGTATATATATTTCTTTGTTAAAAGGAAAAAGATGAAATTGGACATGTTTCGGTAGTAGTTCCTCAACTGCTCTGAGATAAAGAAAACCCCCAAACCAAAACCTAACCCTATTTACTAACTCCATCATCCATAGCCAAGTGAATGAGTCCAATGAGCATTTAAGATCTCTGTATTAACCACAAAGTTTTGATCCACTTCTCTGAGAATCTACCAAGTTTGATGCTATTCCACGGAAGCTGACAAGAATAATGTCACAATCCACTTTCCTTCCTTCAAAGCACAGCTAGTGCCGGTCTTTGTCACTTCACCCATGCCTTCCAAAACATTTACCTGCAGTGGTATCCCACTCTGATGGCATTCTTTGGCATCCTCTGTGACATGACTATGAATCATCCGCACCTTTATTTACCATTCAACTTCTTGTTTACTGTGAACCTGTTGTTTTCAGAGAGTGCATGATTAGAAATTTGTGGACATTGGATACTGGATGGCCACGAGCGATGGACCATTTCCATGTTTGATAAAACTTGGGGCTGTTCTAGCGGTCTGATTTGGATCCCATGCTACCCATGGAGATGAATTTACAATTTTACATGCAACTGAAATGTTATTTTGACAGTATTACAAGATAATCACGCATTATCGTGTAGAAAGTTAAAAACACGTGATAGCTGTGTGATATGGTTCGGAATAGCGGGAGAGCAACATCAGAGTTGCATGGTTCGTCCAGAGTCGTAGAGTACAAAGTCTTTATCCACGTCACCAAAAGCCAAGTCAAATGAAAGAGCATGGGTGCCTTTTCAGTAGTGTTTCAAGCCAATGATTCGTTAGCACGTGAGAAACTTAAAACTTGAGATTATGTTCTAGCGAAGCGAGATTTTCTCATGGAACCAAATATTAAACCATCTGGCATTCAGAAATAGGACTACTCGTCTTATAGACGATTGACACAGGTAAATATATATTTTTTTAATCCCTAGCACTAATGAGTCAATGACAGAACAAGATGGTCTAGACTGATTGACATCCAGTCTAGCACTGTACTACTACTGCTGCATATCATGACAATGGAGAATGCCAAATCAATTTGTTTCCACTGGTGAATACAAAATACAACTTGCCATCATTCACCAAAAAGGGGACCTAATTTTGGACCTAATTTTGATTAGTGGATGGGCAACCAAGTTCAAAACTATTGATAATGGAGCACCTTGGATTTTCTACAATGACGGAATAATTGCGGTGCTTGATCAATAAACATTATACAACTGATCGTTTGAACGTCACATTCTGCAACTATTTGGTATGTTCATAAACATCTTGAGTTTTCTACAATATCAGAAAAATTGTAGAACTTGATCAATAAACATTATGCAGCCGATCGTTTCAACACTCAACATTATGCAACTATCTGGTATGGTCATAAACACCTTAGGATTTCTACAATGTCGGAAAAATCGTGGAACCTGAACACTAAACATTATAAAACATTCACATTCTGCAACTATCCCGTATGGTCGTAAACACCTTGAGTTTTCTACAATGTCTGAAAACTCATGGAACTTGATCAATAAACATTATACAGCCGATCGTTTTGAACAGTCACATTCTGCAACAATCCCGTATGGTCATAAATACGACGTCCCAAATCGGTTTTGTGGCATCAATTTCTAAGAACACAAATAAAGAATTAGTTGACTTGAAAGTTTGAAGTTTGAATAAAAGCAAATTGCTATCCTCCTAGGCGTATGACTAAGGGGAATAGCTTCCCTCACATTTGATGTG